AGACCCAGCGGTGGACCTGGGCGTTGAACTCGCGGAGCCCTCGAACTCTACAGTTCTAGACAAGGGCAAAGGACCGGCTGTGGACGTTGAAGAGCCAAGCAAGCCTACACAAACTAAGCGCCGAGTGCGAGTGAGAATACCAGTCCCAACTAAAGCTGGCGCGGCAGACTCAGATGATGAACTGGAGATTACGACTACATCAAAAGACAGAATGAATGCTGTCTTCAACAACATCCCGTTCCGGAAAGCGCAGGATTCACACTCTATGCTGGCCCTGCGAGCTCTGGCTCATGTTACATCACCAGGCAAAGAAAACAAGCGCAAGAATGAGCGAGATGGAATGACTCCCGGCGAATTCCAGGCTAGTCTACTGCAAAAAGCGAGAGAGCAAGCGAGATCCGAGCGAGACAGGAGGCTCGAGTTGCTAAAATCCCAGGGTGTGGTCATCCAGACTTCGGAAGAACGAGAACGACAGATGCAAGAAGTAGAGGATATCCTTGCCAAAGCCAGAGAAGAGGCCCAACGAATCAAGGAGGAGGAGTTAGCAGCCGAGAAGAAAGAAGGAAAAGATGGCGGCGAAGCAGACCCTCTGGCTTGGGACGATAGCGACGACGAAGAGTACGAGGGTAATGATGCCGATGAAGAGGTGTCCGGTGTAGAGCTTTCAGGCTCTGAAGAAGACGAGGCAGAGGGCGAGGATGAGGATGACGCAGAAGACGCCATTGCAGGCTCAGCCATGTTTGAAGCTGAAGCGGAGGATGCGGCATCTGAAACCTCAGAAGACCTCCCTAAGCCTGATGCCAACGAGATGGAAGACGACGCTGATGATGACGGCGTTGAAAAAGTAACACCGATGAAGAGAAGGCGTGCACGGAACAAGACTGCTGTTCTATCTGACGATGAAGGTGAACCTGCCGTCGAAGCCACGCCGAAGTTGAAGAGGACTCCTGTTGGCACCGCGTTCCAGTCTCCCGCTGCACCTACATCTGTGCTACGATCTGCCAAGAAGACGTTCATTCCTGGCCTTCCTGTGCAGGGACCTGCTGGCCTTAGCCTAACCCAGATCTTTGCTGGAACCATGGATGAGAACCAGAAGAGCCAGCTCAATGAACCGACGCAGTCAATGATGCCTGACTTTGATAATTTCCCCGATTCCAACTTTTCGGCTACCATGGATGACAACGCTGACGACATGGTTCTCGACTCTCAACGGGATGAAAGCCGAGCGGTAACTCAAGCTGTTGAACTCAATCTTGCGCAGACGCAGATGCATGGTCTGGACAGCCTACTCCGGGAGGAAATGAACTCTCAAATCTCAGACATGGTTGAGCTCTCTCAAGATGGGGGGCTCCAGAAGTACACACCCCTGAAGTCGAGGTTTGTTGAACCTCCGCACTCTACCGTGGAGACCATATCAACAGACCAGCATGGCGATGCAATTCAGAGTTCTCCGCTTGTACGCAGAGGAAGGCTTCGACGAAAAATGGAAATGTCATCTGTCGATGAAGATGTTGCTGTCCCCATGAGTGGCGAAAAGGGAGGAGAGGCAGAAACGGCACCCTCAAAAACTGCGTTCAAGGTTCTCCAAGATGCTGCTACTGAGCAAAAGAAGAAGATGCTCATTGAAGAGTTTAACAAAAAGAAAAGCAAGGCAAAGGAGATGGTGGAAGAGCAAGCCGAGGAATCTGAGGATGAGTATGCCGGACTCGGTGGAGCGGATGGCGAGGACAGCGACGACGAATTCGACGCTTCTCTACAAGACATTATCGATGATGCGGCTGGCAACGACGAGGATGCTCGCAAGCTGGCCGCGTTTTATGCGTAAGTTTCTACTCCATCTACTTCTAAGCAAAGAGCACAACTAACGCCTCGGCAGCGATCGAGAACGGATAAATGACGAAAAAGAAGTCGAAAAGTTGTACAAGGACATCACATCGGGCATGCTTCGCCGTAAACGCGGAGCTGACTATGACCTCTCCGACTCTGACGACGGCGGAGAAGCTCGACGGAGGATGAAGCGCCGGCAATTTGCCAAGATGCAAAAGGCATTGTTTGCTGATGAGCGCGTCAAGAAGATGGCCGAAAACCCTGGCAACCAAGCTTTCTTGCGCACCATCGAGGACCGTGGCAGCGACGACGAAATGGACTTTTTAGAAATGGTCGACGCACCGGCTTCGCAAGGAGAGGAGTCTCAGTCTCAGAGCGAGCAGCCTGAGCAACAGCAGCCGCGAATCGTTCCTGATAGCCAGCCACGTAAACCGCTGGACGGCGCCGGTGACAACAGGCCTCCGGCACATATGAGACGCACAAAGGATGGCAAGAAACCTTCCAACATTGGCGAGGTTCGCGAGACGCTGTCTGATCTACTGGAGGATGGGCGGCACAGCTCTGTTATTCCGGCCACGGTAGTTGGCTCAGACAGCGAGGACGAGGAAGGCCGGCCAGCATCTCGGGGAAACAAGGAAAACCAATCCCCTGCTTCCCGCCGCACCAGGAATGCCGTCGTCGATCGCATCAGCCTCAAGCGCAACGCATCGTCCACCTTGTCTTCTTCCAACCGCCCTGCTTTTGCCGCTGCGGGGGCCTCATCCTCGTCGTTCAAGGTCCCCGCCTCGCTTCTCCGCCGCGCGACTACCAACTCGTCGCTGTTGTCGACGGCCAGCACGTCGTCGTCCTCGACGACGGCGGCAGGCGGATCTGGCAGTGGGTTTGGCGAAGAGGCCAAGATCAAGAAGGGCGCGGGTAAGAAGAGCGGCATCAATGGGTTCTCGAGAGATAACGAGAAGCTGGCGAGGATGCAAGAGAACGAACGAAGGAGGCAGGAGAAGAAGGTCCGTGGGGCGGAGAGCAGAGCGGGACTTGTTGGAGGGTTGTTCGGTAAGGGTTCGTTTGAGTAGAGGATGCGTTTTTTTCTACGTGTAAGCTGGCTACATGATGAGATATTTGGTTGATAGTATGGCGTTTGGGAGGGGGATTGTGGTCAAGCACAACGGGATTTGGCGTTTTGGGTATGGGATTGAATAATGATGCTCAGCACACAAGGTTCTACGCATGGTGAGTGTGTTATTAGTTTATCTGTTAGAATGATGATGAAAGATGTTTGTTGCAGTTGTCTTTTTGAAGTCTACCCGTTGATTCCACCTTTGGTGACCAGCTTAACATCTTGAGTTGTTTCATCTCTCGGAAACTCCGAGTTGGTCATTAAAGGTAGAATCAACGGATGTTAAACTCCCGGACGCCTTACGATGGAGACCACAAGGCTTCGCACGTGGGTATCAACCAACCAGTACACGTAACAGGACAATGTTGATTGGATATTGAATAGATATAGTAGTATCATGGTATAATACGGAGTAGGCGCCAGAACACCAAAGCTGGAAAGGTTAGCTGTCAAAAATCCCCCAGGATGCTTATCTTCCACGTCTTTAGACCCCCTGGCATGGATTTGTCTCGGGCCATGACAGTCGGTACTTTTTCTGCTTATGCCGCTCAAGCCTAATACCCGTTGACCGCCACTACGGGACGGCAGCGAGAATAACGAGAGCCGGGACGGTTGTCGAGCCCCATTTGCGGGATGGGGTTTTACTCTGAGCATGTAATGTAGAAGTAAAAGCTAGCAACGATACGCAATACGACTTGTAGTCTTTGTCGTTGATTAACACTACCTACTAAGGTAATAGACTGCGTACATGCACACATGCAGGTTCCCAACCCGATGGGCCTCTACGGAGATACTAGCGGATACGCTCCGGAAAGACAGACAAGGCATCAGGCTTGGCAGGTTGCCGGGAAGCGAAAGCAAGAAAAAAGGGAGGGACGCGATACTACGGCATTTGGCCCTGCATCTGCTTAGATTGTTTGGGCCCTGTGGCTGGCAGGGATAGGCTGGAGCTGGGGCGGTCTGTGCCGAAAGCAAACAGCTGTCAGACCGGGACTGGACTGGATGTCTGGGAATGATCACAGGTGGCTTGCGGCGAATGACATGTGCTGGCAGTGGGCGGTTACGGGCGTTGGATGGCAAGGGAGAGAGAGCGAGTGAGGTGATACAGAAATAAAGTGGTGGAAAAAAAGGGGGTGGCAGGCCATTCGCTGTTTTCCGGGTATGAGAGAGTGCATGTATACACGGCAATCTCGGGGTGAGACTGGGCGGGTTTGTTGATAGACTTTGACTAACAAGCTCACCAATTTCTGATCGAATCCATATCTCGAACATGGCAATGGATATAATAGTAAAATAAAAGGTCGTGTGTAAGCCAAGGTTGGCACGGCCATGTCATGATTCCATTGGATGTACTACCCAGGGCAGCATGTACTTGGCATGTACGGACTACCCCCTACAAGGTAAAACGGCTACAGTTGTACTACCAAAAGAACCTTACTTTACAGGTAGATAATCTTTACGATGTGCATGGATGGGCATCATGCACGCACATGTACTCGTACTCTATCTTGCGGGTGCAACAGCCGGCCGGGCATTGCGCTGTGCCGGGTGTTGTAAGCGCGACTAAGAAGAAGCAAAGACAAGCCAAGGCCGGCCAAGGCGAGGCAAGGGAAGAAGAAAAGAAAGCCCGTCTAAATGGTTCTCTCTTTTTTTTTATACAGCCTTCTCTTGTCTCCCCGCCACTTTCTCCTTTTCCCCCTCTTTCTGGGGTTTCATAGGTACCTAATTCGGGCTTGTGAAGGATCCTGGTATAAAGGTGATTGATGATACTTCACTCCGCCGGTTTACTTGGCTATTTTTACGTTTCTCCCCTTTCATACCGACTTTAAAACAAATAAGACCAATTCATACCGAGTTCGGGCTACGAGGTGACGGTGGGCCTTTTGCTTTAAGCCTTTCGTTGACCAGCATTTTGACTTTGGCCGCGGTGACATCACCGTCATCTTTGCTAAGACGGGTTTCCGTAGGAGCGCGAGTCGTTGGAATCGCCAGAATCACAATCATAATCAACCGCCATCATCTTTTCTATTGAAGTGACAACAAAATAACAAAATTCACAATGAAGCTGGATTCTTTTCCAACCGAGTTGATCCACAGCGTTGCCGATTTCTTGGGCCGGCAGAGCGAAATCAATGCCCTAGCCAGATGCAACCGCCGCTTATACGCCATCACCAACCCCTATCTATACCGCAACAACGCCAAATCCTTCCACAGCGGCGCCCTCGCATGGGCTGCGAAAACAGGAAACAAGGAAACGGCAAGAAACGCCCTGGAATACGGGGCCGACCCCAATGCGTGCGAAAAAGGCGACTACGGTGCCCTTCGATGGGCCGTGGCGCAGGGCCACCTCGACATTGTCAGGCTGCTGATCGAGTACGGCGCTGCCTTGGGCGACTCGATGATCATGGGCACGGCTGCGGTCCACGGCTTTGACGACATCATCAAGCTGCTCCTCGACAGCGGGGCGGACGCAAACGCCCTGGGATATTTGGGTAAGACGCCTCTCCTGTTTGCTGCGCAAGAGGGCAACGAGAGCGCTTTCGAGCTGCTCTTGGAGCGAGGGGCCGACCCTTTTGCCAAGTGTGCCGCTGGGTCTTCTGCTCTGTTTCATGCCGTTGACGGTGGCAAGTGTAACGTCATCGAGAAGCTGCTGGATCTCGGCGTCGACATGCTTCAAACCGACTATGAGTCGAGAATCGCCCAGTCCCACGCCGCAGAGATGGGCAGGCTGGATGCTGTCCAGCTCTTCACCCAGCGAGGCGTTGGAGTCGACCACGCAGACAGAGAGGGCCGGACGGCGCTCTCGTGGGCTGCTCGTAAAGGGCATCACGAGCTGGTCCGGTATCTGCTCAAGAACGGCGCATCTGTGCATGCCGCCGACATCTGGGGCCACACACCTGCTCTGCATGCGGCAATGACGGGAAGGACGGCCATAGTGGAAACGCTGCTGGACAACGGCGTCGATATCGAGTGCAAGGCTGGTGACAAGCGGACCATGTTGTCGTGGGCTGCCGTCAACGGCCACATCAAGACGGCACAGTTCCTGATCGAAAAGGGCGCCAACATGGAGACGCTGGACAAGGACGGGCGATCCCCGCTTGTGCTTGTCGCCAATGCCGGATCGGAGAACATGGCCAAGCTCCTCATCGAAAAGGGCGCCGACGTGAACTCGCATTACGGCCGGGGATCGCCGCTGTCACTTGCCGCAGCCCGCGGGCATGTCCGGATGGTCAACATGCTCTGCAAAGCGGGTGCTTTCGTCGACTTTCCCACAAAGAAACGATGGACACCCCTGTTCCACGCGGTGGCGACGCAGAAGCACGCCGTCGTCGACGTTCTCCTTGACCACGGGGCTGATCTGGAAGCCACAGACGAGGACGGCAGAACACCGCTGTTCTGTATCGTCACGCAAGCGGGGAGCGACATGTTTGACCATCTGATCCGGAGAGGCGCCAAGATTGATGTCAAAGACGCTCAAGGCCGGACCTTGCTCACGGAATCGGCGAGCTGCGGCCACGGCAAATACGTGGAACATCTTCTAGAGCATGGCCTGGACGTCAACGAGGCGGACGGGCTCGGCATGACGCCGCTACACCACGCCGCCGTCTGCGATGCGAGGGACTTGTTTATGCAGCTGTTGGAGTACGGTGCCGATCCGGACTTGCAAGATGGCGATGGATGCTCGGTGTTTGAGCGGGCGAGGTTGCAGGGGAATGGCCAGGAGCTTATTGAAGCCGTGGAGCGGTGCGCGGACCATCTCGTGAAGAGACGGAGGTATTGATTATACACACTGCCTGGAGAGAACCGAGTATGAGACTATGGTCTGTTTATCTGAATTTGCTTTTGCTTTTGGTGTTTGAGCTCATGGATGAGTCGAGGCTTGGGAATGGTTGGCGTGCTGGCGAGTTGGGAAAATTGGGTTTGCCTAGGGTAATCTGTACTTGGGCGTTTTGGGCCTATTTGGTTTTTGGAATTTACAATCTTTTCATAATAATCATGGAATCAATGCTACAGTCTGCCTCAAGATAAAACATACATTGTAATTGAAGAAGCGACTAGTAGAATTCCGTCGAGCCGTATCAAGTGGAGGTCAGGAAAAGCGAGACTACAAAATAAATAAAGGCATACATTCATTAATATCAGCACCTAATAAGTTCATCAAGTGATGTTTTTGTACTCCATGACTCCGTAGCGAAATTCCTGCTAACCCAATATTCAGCTAACACCTTGGTTTCACTATATAACTACAATAGCATTTACCGAAGGAGATATAAATATAATAGCAATTATTATAAAAATATAGATATAGTAGTAGGCACCAGAGAAATATAAATATAGCAGTAGGTACTAGAGAAATATAGATATAGTAGCAGATATCTAAAAGAATAAGCGTATAATTTAACGCGTGGGTGTCTGTAATCTTCTCGGTCTTGGTTTTTCTGTCCCCCGCTTGCGTATCCGGAACGGACCCGGAGAGTGGAGTCCGGGGCTTCGGGACGCTCACAAAACCCACAAAAGAATGCCATCATAAATAAAAATACCGCAACTGTTTTGCATCGAATAATGACTGGTTCCGTGGTCTAGTTGGTTATGACATTTCGTTAACATGTTTAACGCCACCGAAAAGGTCCCCGGTTCGAGCCCGGGCGGAATCACCACTTTCTTTTTTTGCACTTTTTCTGCTTGTGAAGTAATGATCATTTATATTCATGTAGAGTATATAGGTAGGTAGTTGTAGATGTATGCAATGTGTCGCCCATTGATGCAGTGGAAGGAAATCGCGAGAATAGATCTAGCTATATGATGGACGATCCAGAGTACTTAGTAAATTAACTCATTGCCAGAATAACTACCATCGGAAGACGCTTTATACCAATTCCTCTACGATTTCGCTGTCCTCGAAGCTCTCACCTCTCTCAAGCCAACGAATAGTCCCTGTGCCCGGATCCAAAATACACCCAAAATGAGTACACTCATTCATAATAGGATACGTCTTCACCCACCGTTGCAACGTCTGTTCGAAAATCGCCGGGCTTTCTCTCCCCTTTCCTCTCTTCAAGTCACGTTGCTGCCTCTTGGCCAGCGCGGTCCATTTGCCCAAAATGCAATCCTTTCGCTCCTCGCTTTCTTCGACCAAGGCTTCCATACCTAGGATTGAAGTGCTCTCTTTTTGGCCATTCGCCTGACTTGATGGGTCCGTTGGCGCGAGGTCGTGATTTGTGTGTACGATGAAGTCGACTGCCGACTTGGTTTGCGCGCTGACGAGGTCTTTTTGAATTATCGTGGTTTCTGTTCCAGAGCAGAGGATTATGTAGCAGGGCGCGGAACGTGTTCCCGTGATGGATTTAGTCACTTTGTCAATCGTGAGATGATGGTGTTCTGGACGGAGCAAGTGTTGGCGGAGGACTGATGAGATAGATGGTTGGACACCGAGGAGCACGAGGCTCTGGTGTATACGAAGAGATAATGCAGAGCAATTGTGAGTTGGTCGGAAGTTGAGGGACATGGAAAGGTTCTGCCTATTGAATCGTAAGCTTGTAACTGCATCAGCGTCTCCGTGAAGGCCTACCTCACGCCGGTCAACACGCCGACAAACCCAGCATAAGTGACCGTCCTCGCAATCACCGTCCTCGGCTCCTTTGAATTCGACCTCACAAACTCCAGCACAACAAGCACACTTCTCAGTTCAGGCATCCCCCAGTCCAGAGTCCGAAAATGCATCATCCTCGCCATCGGTTCCGCATCAGTTTGCTTCTCTCCCAGATGCGTCTCCCCCCCTTTCCGCTTCTTCAGCCGGGTCAAAACACCACCGCTCGTGCATCCCAACAGAGTATCAAGCAGCAGATTAAAAGCAACCAGGAAATGCAGGTCCACTCCACTAGCCTTCGAAATGCCCACCAATTCCTGCGTCTCTTCAGATGAACACACCCGCCGAAGAATGAGCAACGCCGCAAACTTCACAACGGAGCGTAACAACGACCACGGCACCACTGACTCGAGGACTGTGTCAAATAGCGGCGTGATTTGTCTCATTCGCGGCGCGAAATCCGAAGCCAACTTGACGTAGCGCTCGGCTGGGGGGAGGGAGAGGTCGATGCGATACGTGGGGATGGGATCCTCCTCCACGGCGGAATCGGCCACCAGTATTGAGCGGCGTGATGCCATACTAGGGTTTAGGGTGTTTAACGTGTCTCAGTTTATGCGGCGGACAGGAAGAAACAAATCAACGTGGTTCGTTTTCTGCGGGTTGGATAATGGTGGTTTCTTTAGCCTGTTAAGGTTCAGGTTCAGGTTCACGTTGAGAGCAGGCAGCAATGCAGCGGTTGTGAGACGGATGACTCAGGTATCGAGGCTTCTGGGTTTAACCAAGCGTTTGCCTTCAGCTGCTCAAGTTGTGATTTCTTCTCTGCAAATGTTGGAAGAAAGTTGATGGATGTTTGTACAGTTGGTAGGGGTATCAAGTTGTGAATTAACTTTAAAAATAGATGCTTGGTATGTCATTATCAGCTAACTTGGCGACGCCCATTTCGCGATATCCCCCTTCTAACAAAGATTAACAAGGAAAATGAAAACTTTTGAATTACCAGTGACACGGCGTCTAGCATATATCATAAAATCGTGCCAAAACAACATGCGTATGCCCATCATCTCACTCCCTCTGCCTCCGCTCCCTCCATTTTTGGTGTAGTATACATACATGAGCCGCCAATTCTATCAACAAAAAATCTATAACCCCCTTCCCAAATGCCGCCTTCTTTTGCCATTCTATATATAATTAAAAGACAGAGAGCAATGAAATGAATTCTACTGCTCCTGTCTCAGCGGCCCGCCGCCAAACTCTACGCCTCGCAGACCTAGCATCCTCTTGATTCCCAGCCACAGCTCAAACGCCTCCAGCTTGAGCTCTACCCTGACGAAGCCGATCCAGGCGGTGAAGGCGCGCATCACGTTCGGGGGCCAGAGCATCGATCCGCTGTGGACAATGTCCTCGAGCTGCTCGTGGAAGACGGTCCGGGTGCAGTACCGCGCGAGGATCATAAAGGTACGAATGGGGCCCTGCCTGGTGTGGAGGTTTTCATCCAGGCTGCGCGTCAAGTCGTTGGTCTTGAGGATGAGAAGAATGATGCGGGGAACTCGGCCGAGCATCTGAACAAGGTCAACGATGAGTCCTTCCTGCAGGGCGCCGCTCATGTTCTGCTCTTCGTCTGCGCTTCGCGTCTTGAGGATGGAGCCTTCTTTGCTGACGATGCTGAAATCGCGGCCCGTGATGGCGGAGGCAAAGAGGGGGAAATCCTCTTCGCTGATGCCGGCCACCTCGTGGGCGTACTTTTTCATCCGGTCCATGTCTCCGTCAATCACGGCGAGCCACATCTTGGCGTAAGAACGCCTAAGCGGGAGGGGGATGTCGCGATACAGGCCGTGGTCGTAGAGGATGATGTCAAAGTTGGGGCCACGGCCAAGGCCGCGGCGGGTGGTGTTTTTGCGGATGGCGAGGTTGCCGCCGTGAGGATCGCAGTGCAGAGGAGCCCCGTCGCCGAAAATCATCTCGTTGAAGATGCGTGCCAGCGTTGCCGACACTTCGTCGCGATCGATGCCGTTCTTGTCCAAGTACTCGAGGTCATCTGGTCGCCGGCCGGATTCGCAAGCCATGACAAGGATGCGCTTCTTCGCCCACATGACCTCGGGAACGACAAGAGGCAGCATGGGGATTTTGGCGAAATGCGCCTTCATGCGACGGGCGTTTTCGGCCTCCTCTCTGAAGTCGAGCTCCTTGGGCAGAGACACGTCCATTTCCGACGACAGCCACTCGAGGTCGTACTCGGGGAAGAAGCGCTTGAGCGTCGAGAAGGTATATCTGGTGAGAGCGAGATCGAGAGGTGCCCAGGCTTCCAGTTCAGGGTGCTGGACCTTGACGGCCACTTTGCGCCCGGTGTCTTTCATGGTTGCCAGGTGCACCTGCGCAAGCGAGGCGGCGCCAATTGGCTCTTCGGAGAACTCAGAAAAATAGTCCCAGAGATCCTCGTGGGTGTCCTTCCGGAACATATCCTGGATGGACGCAAAAGAAGAGACGGGGCATTTGTCTTGCAAGGGTACAAACGTTGTCGTCCACTCCGGAGGTAAAAGGTAGTTCATGGCACTCTGTGACCGGCTTGTCAGTCGCTTCTTGTCCAATTGGATGTTGGTTGGGGTTATTGTAATGTCTCCTTACCAGGTGCTGCCCGAGCTTGATAAAGATGCCGCCATTCTTCTCCAACACCTTGAGGGTTCGCTCGGCGCATCGCTTGTGACATGCCTTGAGTATCTCGTCTTGCCGTTCCTTGTCATCAATCGTGGCCTTTGTGTTTAGAGTCGTCCGGTAACTATCCAGCCCGAGTTAGCCCACCGCCGACAAGCCGCAACGTGTCTCCTCCCTTGCTTCGAGACACACAGCGAATGCGCCACTCACTCATTGATGCAGACCGCCAGCGCAGCAACGACCCGACCAGTCCTCTCCGCGGCCTCGTAGCTGTTCTTGATCTCGTCGGTAAAGGCCAGCGCCGCCGTACCAGCCGCCGCTCCGGTCGATGCGAACAGAATCAGCCTGGCATTGGGCCCAGACTTTGCACCGCCATTTGCATGTGACGACGACTGGCCCGAGACAAATCGTCGCGCGATAAACTGTCGAGGCGGCTTAGCGCGAGCCAATTGAACGCGACAAGTCGAGCAAGTCCATGTTCGGTTACCGATGCGGGCCGTCGCAAAGGTCGATCTAGAAAAGACGTTCATTTGTGGTGCCGAGGGGGCTCTTTAAAGTCGTCGACCGCAGTTCGGCATTATATCGTGGCGAGAAAAAAAAAGGACGAGAGAAAAAAGGGAAAATGGTATTACATGAAGCGCCTGCCTTTCGCTTTGGAGAGAATCAAAGGAAAGAAGAAAGAAGAAAGAAATAAAACTATTTATGCGCTTTTGGCGACTATCATGGCGCAATACCGAGCAAGGAGGAAGAGGGAAAAAAAAATAGGAGACGGACTTTTGTTGGGAGACCCTTGGATTTTGCGGTGGATATTTTGGCGGCTTTCGACGACATCATCACCAGATTTTGCTGCCGGGCTGTGATTCGCCGGTCCATTATCGGCCCTGCTGATCTCGGACCTGCGACGACGCCAGAAGCGCATCAGTGCATCATTAGCGACACGTGACTGCGCGCCTGTGTACCGCGTCGAAGCGTGTTGAAGTTGCCTCCAATTAACGGGTGACCGAAACAATTCATAGCATTTATAACTGCTGCGACGAATTATATATCATACATACAAATGGAGATTTCAACTCCGTGAATCCAAACAACACTCTATTGAATACACCGTTGGCTAAACACCATCGAGCAAGACTCTTGGTTACTCTGGACTGGACTCTCACTCTCCGTCCCATCTTTTCATGCAAACCTCGCCAGACGAAGCCGCTCCAAGCAAAAGCAAAAGCAACATGCTGTCCTTTACCCCAAAGCCAGTGCATTCCTGGGACAACCGTCCTGCCGTCTCGTCCCCCCTATCGTCATCTCCAGTTCGCGCCTCATCACCTCTCTCGGCCGATGAGCAAGCGCCATGCAACCCTCGCCAGATCCAGTCTTCACCCATTCGGCCCATCAATTTCAAGTACCAAGCACGTCCCGCGCGGACAAACCCCGTCATCAGGAGACGAGAGGAGGCCCAAGAGCAGAGGCGGAGGAACTTTCTGCAAAATGTCCGCCAAAAGGCCGAAGACAAGTCCTGGCAGAGGAGGGACATTGAAGGCCAAGTAAGCTCAAGGGAAACCAACGCCGCCGTGTTGTGGATATGGGGCACTGACACACATGCGATAGTTTCTCAAGACAAATTGGCTTGCCAATGTCGGCCGTCTGTCTTATGACGCGCCCTCGTTCTCCGAGGCCGATATCGAGGATGCCATGGCCTTCTCCCAGGAGGCTGAGCAGTCGCAGATGGATGACGACATGATCCCGGAGGAACTCGTGGAAGAGGAGCACATGCTTACGTCTTACGAAGAGGAAGTATTGGCCCATCAAGGGTCACAGCTTCCAACACTAGCTGAGGAGAATGACGAATACGACGACATTTTTGCCGAGCTCATTTCAAAAGAGGGACAATTTTCACAGCAGCAACCGCAGCAGCAGCAGCAGCAATCTTCACAAAATTCAAATCAGATGGATATTGATTGATTGATTGGGTCAGCATCATCTTGTCTAGAAACATTGAATGGTCAAAATCGTCCGTCAATTGGCGATATGGAGTTTTGGTAATCATCTCGGGGCTCTCGGAAGAGTCTCTTTCACTGGCGTTGGATCGGTATACGGTGAAATGTGCTTGCATTTAGATTGCGCACTATGGGTATATGTATAAATGTGCGTGTATATAGTATGGGTGTGCGCCACGGCTACATGTCAATGATTTATTGCGGAGTGCACTGGTCTTCTGTCGCGTTGAACGCTTCCTGGGCAGAGGCCATATCCCCAACCAGGTCTGAGGGCGGCGACCCTGCCGCTTGCATCTATGATTTGTTAGTCGCATGGTTACCAGAGTTGCCGTGAAGAAGTCGAGGCTCACCCTTTGCATCCTGTCCACGATGTATTCCCTGTCCTTCGCGTTGGAGTCCGAGTAGGTGGGCTCGTTGAATTTGGCCACAATCTCCTCCACAATCGTCTTTTGCTCCATGTATCTCTTCAAGTCGTCGGCGGGAACCGAGTCCTTGTTCTTGGCAAGCCAAGCGGGGAACTTGTCGTGAAGCTCCTTCATCGGCTCGTACAGAATCTCCTTGTTTGTCAGCTGCTCCATCATGCCCATGAGCATCTTGGAGAAGTCCTCTTCGCTGCCGCCAGCAAACTCGCCGGCCGTAAGCTGCTTGAGCATCTCGGCCAGAAAGTCGTCCTCGCCACCCGCCGCCGCCGCCGCGGTGGCCTGGTCGCCAGACGACTGCATGCGCTCCATGGTACGACGGATCGTGTCTTGAAAGGCCGCACCGCTTGGCCCCTCACCGGCTGGCTGAGAAGGCTTCGTTGCGGCGGCGGGAGCGGGAGCGGGAGCGGGAGCACTCGTAGAGGCAGCCGCAGTAGTGCTCGCAGTGGTGCTTGCGGCGGTGCCTGCGCCGGCCGGGCTTTTGTCTTTGCTGCTGGTTTGCTGCTCTTCCTCATCGGCTTCAAACTCTGTGCCCATCTCGGCGCCCATCTGCTTGAACATCTCTTCAAACTGAGCTTGTAGTTCGGGCTGTTGGAACAAATTCGGTGTCAGTACCACGTATGCGGCGGGCAGAGGGCAAAAAGCCGACATACAGATTGCTCCAGGTTGGCCAGCAGACCAGCTATGCCTGCCTGCATCCTCTTGGTGACTTCTTCTTCTGACATGTTCTCGTAGTCCAGATCAGCAGCCTCGTCTCCCTCCTTTAACGTGTTGTCGTTGATCATCTCCTGCCGGACAGCCTTGAAGCCGTCGAGTAGCTCTAGACATTGCTCAAGTCAGAATACAGATCCGCGGCCAATTGGAAAGCTCTGGGAGGTAGGAATCGCAACCGTACCGTCGAGATCATCCAGATCTTCCTCATCTGGATCGGGAACATCGTCGTCTAGATCGTCCGACACAGTGGCCACAGGCGGTGCTGTCGCTGCTGCCGCTGCTGCCGCTGGTGCTGGTGCTGCCGGCTGGACATTCTCTTGCTTTGCCCCCGCCTCTTCTCGCTTCGCCGTATCTGCCACGTCAGACGGAGAGCTCATGGTGTTTCGCTATCACGATCGAATGTCGTTCGACACAACAAGCCACAGGCGCAAGATTCGGTATTCTCGAGGTTTGGTCAAATAGCTGCGGCGCTAATGGAGGGGGTTAATAGCGTGTACAAGGGCCGGGAAATGCAGGGAAGAGGTCGCAGCTCGGTTCGCTTCCTGGAGGGAATTGCGAGGAGAAGAGGATGAAAACTCGAATTCCGGTATGAAGGTAACACCAACAGTATCCAAAACAGAACGCAACGGGTGTGGCTGTTGCAGGGTCTGGAAATGGACAGCCTTGCGCGACAGCTCGTGTCTATAAAGTTACAAGCCCGGCCCGTGCTTGGTGACATGCAGCCGTCTTGAGCTGGATGAGCCGAGGGAACAGAGCGCTGCCCCACGGTTGCAGCTAGTAGCCTGCTTCAGTGAGCCAGCCCGCTGAAGGGTGTTCCCCTTTAGGCCTGTCAAGGCCTGTAAGTTGATCGCTATGCCGCTGAAGGTCATGCGGTACCCCGCCACCACAGCTTGATTGAGGCTCTGCAACGCCCATTTCTGCTCAATTGGCTGCAAGGAACATTGAACTGATGAAGAGATCTCTGCAGTCAACATCCCTGGCATCTCCGTGGGAAACGCACTAGGCAGATCGCGGCGCTATCCGCAGCCTTACGCTTTGGCAGCTTTTATTTTTAATCCGACTGTTGCTTCTTTTGTCTTCCATCACTCCGTTCTGCGCGCAACACTCTTTGTCCTTTTCCCCCCCTTCCTTCACCACTAGAGTTGACGCTGTTGTCTTTTTTGCGCGTGCAAAACTCGTCATCTCCGGTAGAATTTTTTTTGGGGGCCAACTTGCCTTTACTACCAGGCGCTGTCACGACCTGGTCTCGCGACTCGATTGCCGATCTCTTGGTCTAGCATTCCACCATGGCCCTCTGCCAGAACAGATTACAGGAGGAGCGGTATGTGATTCAATAGTCATGATCATCCGCACTTTAGGAATCCCCAAGGCGCTGACTGATATTCGACCGTTAGGAAGCAATGGCGACGTGACCATCCCTTTGGCTTCTTCGCCAAACCGGCCCGGACAAAGGAGGGAGTGCTCGACTTGAAGAACTGGGAGTGCGGCATTCCGGGCAAGGAGAAGACCATTTGGGAGGGAGGCCTGTTCAAGATCAACATTGCGTTCCCCGACGGTGAGTGCTCGTGCGCGCATAAGGTGGATTGGGCAGAAACTGACGTTTGTCGTGCTTCTTCAGAGTACCCAACAAAACCCCCCAAATGTAAGACATGAAGGAAACCCCCCCTATCTTTACAATCTACAGCATCTAACCGGGTTCGCAGGCAAGTTTGTCCCTCCGCTGTTCCATCCGAACGTCTATCCCTCGGGCACCGTCTGCCTGTCGATTCTCAACGAGGAAGAGGCATGGAAGCCGGCCATCACTGTCAAGCAAATTCTTCTCGGCATCCAAGATCTCCTCAACGACCCCAATCCCGAGTCACCCGCGCAAGCCGACGCATACAACCTGTTTAAGAGAGACAAGGTCGAGTACGAGAAGCGTATTCGCCGCGTGGTTCGCGAGAACCCGGCGCCGTAACGGTCTTGTTTCGGAGAAAAGGGGGCTTTTTTTTTTAGATGTGGAGGATAATCCTTACTGAGAAGATTGGCCATGGCGTTGGATGGGGGGCAATACCAGGACAAATGATTTTCAACCTTTTTCCTTTTTTTTTTCTTTTCCTTTTAGCAAATCTCATGAGAGATAGTCATGGCTATAGTCGGCATGAGTGAAGCCAGAACGCCATATGGAGACTGATTAGATACGGGGGTAGCATCGGCGACAGATTCCAACCACTGAAAGACAATGACTGCTTGCTCGGTCCGATGGATGGAAAGGCGTTCTTGGTAGATACTGGCACGTTAATCAAATTAGTAGCACGAGAGAAGAATTTACAGTACGCTATCGAGACTAGGACGGGCTATGGGGAAGCATGTCTGGGGTGAAACCACTGGACGGCAAAGCGTAAAGCCGCCCTTTGTTTGACATCATCAAGGGCACACAAGCGATAATGAGCAATGCCCGACCCCAGCCCGCCACGTGCAACTCGTCCATCCTGACCTGATCTAAGCTGAGCTGGGCTGCATAGCTGTCATACGAATGCCACGTTACCAAAAAAAAACAGTTACCAGTAGTTGAGTTGTGGAGGAGAGTCGTGTCGCTTCGTAGCCCGGCCGGCTTTTCGCAGGGTCCATCCATAGGTACTAGGTAGGTATATGGAACGCGATAAGCCGTCAGCATATGCTCGTGCTCTTCTAGGTAGGTCGTTTGACTTGACACCAGCCAGGCATTGGAATTGCCCTTATCAGTAGGTACAACTGCGTTTGTTCACTTTAGGTAATTGGCAACTCTGGCTGGATTGCCGCCAATGAGATCCGGCAGACAAAAGCTGCGAGTGACTCTGAGCCAGCCGAAGTCGGCCGCCCAAAGCTAGCAGCTTTAGCCTGCTGGGCTGCGTCTTAAATTTTTAAAGATGGCTGCAACAAGAGTCATGGCCTCTGTCGTTCCATGCTCTAAATTCCACGGCCGGACCCAGAATTCCTTTCCCTCCTCTTGCAACAGTCTACTGTTCTGCTCTCTCTCGAGAATTCTGCAATTCACGCATTTCTTTGGTCCTTTCCATCTTATTCGAGTGAGGAAACTTCCGTCGCACAACCGCAATCATGTGTGGCATTTTCGCTTGCCATTGGTACGTCGCAACCTGGTCCCCTGGTCCTCTGCCGCCCGTCGATCGCGTGCAGTGGACAACGGCACTTTGTACCTCTTAATTTTTTTTTATTTTTTTTGGAGGGGCATCTTCAATCCGATCACCCCGCCATCTTTCGGCTCATCGCGAAACAATGGCAGAACTGACAGATGTGCTCCAAACAGTCATCCTGACGTCCAAAAGTTCAAGCCCACAGCGCTGAAGCTGTCCAAGGCGTAAGTAGTCCTGATTCCTACCGAATAGCAGCTTCAATTGACAAAGTATGTCTCAGGATCCGACACCGCGGCCCCGATTGGAGTATGTTCTTGAGCCAATTGATACGATGAGTGCTGTGTAGCGACAGGAAGAGCTGTTGAGCTGACTGTGTGGTTTCTTTGCAGGTGGCAGCGTCATCTCTCACAACACAAGTAAGTCATTTGGCCTTGAGTGCATCCATTGGAGTCTTAAGCTGACACGTTTCCGCAGTCCTCTGCCATGAGCGTCTTAGCATCGTCGGTGTTGGTAAGTCTCGATCCTCGACGTAACATTCTGCAGCCTCAAGCGCTCGCTCACACAAGGGATAGAGTCTGGCGCCCAACCCCTGACCAATGCCGATGACACACTCATTCTTGCTGCCAACGGCGAGATTTACAACCACCGTCAGGTCCGAAAGCACTTGAAGGAGCCCTATCACTTCAAGACAACATCGGACTGCGAGGTCATCATTCCTCTGGTAAGTTGGGATTGAGTGCAAGTTTAAAGAGAGATGAAGAGTCGGAGACTGACATTGCCGCTCTACCACAGTATCTGGAGCACGACATCGACGCCCCCAACCACCTAGATGGCATGTTCTCCTTCGTTCTATATGACAAGAAGCAGGACCGTACCATTGCCGCCCGCGACCCCATCGGCATCACAACATTGTACCAGGGATGGTCATGGAAGGAGCCTGGAGCTGTGTACTTTGCCTCGGAGCTCAAGTGCCTGCACCCCGTCTGCGACAAGATCGTGGCCTTCCCTCCCGGCCACGTCTTTGACTCAAAAACCGGCGAGACGACCCGTTACTTCAAGCCCACTTGGTGGGATCCCACCAACGTGCCCTCTGCCCCGATCGACTACAAGGCCATCCGAACTTCACTCGAGACCGCTGTTAGAAAGCGCTTGATGGCTGAAGTCCCTTATGGTGTGCTTCTCTCCGGCGGTCTCGACTCTAGTCTGGTTGCGTCCATTGCCCAACGAGAGATGCTGCGGCTCAGGAAGAAGGCCGACGAGGCTAGCGGCACGGATACTCCTGCGGAGGCTGACCTTGACCACGGAGAGGGCCTTGTCGGCGTTGACGACGACGACAACCTGTCCACTGTCACCTACCTGCCGCAGCTCAACTCCTTCTCCATCGGTCTCCCCGGATCTCCCGACAACGAGGCCGCCCTCAAGGTTGCCAAGTTCCTCGGCACCAAGCACCACGTCATGACATTTACAATCGAGGATGGTCTCAACGCGCTGTCGGATGTCATCTACCACCTGGAGACTTACGATGTCACAACAATCCGAGCCTCTACGCCCATGTTTTTACTCTCCCGCAAGATCAAGGCCATGGGCATCAAGATGGTCTTGAGTGGTGAGGGTAGCGATGAGATTTTCGGTGGCTACCTCTACTTCCACGCTGCCCCTGACAAGAAGGCATTCCACGAGGAGACGGTCCGCCGTATCAAGAACCTGCACCTTGCGGATTGTCTGCGAGCCAACAAGTCCACCTCGGCGTGGGGTCTCGAGGCTCGTGTGCCTTTCCTGGACAAGAAGGTATGTTGAGACTTTACATCTGGAATACCTGGTTCCTTGAAACTGACACTCTTCCCCTAGTTCATTGAGACTGCGATGAGCATCGACCCTCAGGAGAAGATGATCACCAAGGAGAGAATGGAAAAATACATTCTCCGAAAAGCCTTTGACACAACCGACGAGCCCGGCACTCCCGCCTATCTGCCCGACTCCATCCTGTGGAGACAGAAGGAGCAGTTTTCTGACGGTGTCGGATACGGATGGATCGATGCGCTCAAGGACAACGCCGAGCTCCACGTCACCGACGAGATGATGAAGAACCCCAAGGCCGAGTGGGGTACCGACATTCCGGACACCAAGGAGGCGTACGTACAATGTGTGGTGGCGGTTAATGACACAAGGCTAACTCATTGTCCCAGTTACTGGTACCGACTCATGTTTGACGAGCATTTCCCTCCTCGCTGCGCTTCCACCGTGGAGCGATGGACGCCAACTTGGTCCAACCAGACGGATCCCAGCGGCAGGTTCGTATTTTGTTTCGTTACTTACCATTATTGAATGTGAATGGACTTGGCTAATATCATGTACAGAGCCATCGCGACTCACAACGCCAAGTACGACAACGCCGAGTAAAGTATGCATGTGGCATATTGTCAAGTATCTTTTGAGGTGCTGGTGAAGATGCATCCTGGGAGGCGGAAGAATATACTACCAGGGGGTATATGGCATACAAGCAGAAAAGTTTACCTCACAAAATAGCCAAGAGTCTAGAATAGTCCCGTCCTTTGTAGTTGTCTGTATATATCCGAGGTACGGACATGGCTCGGCATTCGAGATGAAATACACATGGAGCGCTATTGCGCCATTGGTTGAACTTTCGGGAGTCGATTGCGTGCATGTTTGCCATTGAAGAGGTTGGCTTGACGTTATTTCACGGCCGATGCGGTGATGAGCGGCTTTACTTGTTCGACATGGCCAGGACCAGGGAGGTAATTGGACTCTGTGCTAAATCCAGGAACAAGGATAGGGGACAAGGGGGGCTATTGTGTTAGTCGTCTATTAGGCATAGCAGCCTTTGCCCCGCCAAGCCGCGTTGTTCAACACACAACATGGGACAAGATGCATTGACGTCCATGAGGTTCTCGCCGGCACGGCATGAAGCGATAGTCTAGTACTCGAACAGAGACATGAAATTGAAACATACCAAGGTATCACGATATCATACCAATCATGCAAACACCGTCAAATAGCCAGAAACCCCATCACGGCTCCCCCCACGTGGTCACAGCACACGCCCCAATTGAGTTTAGACCCTGGCCAATCCGCCATACTCATATGCCCGGCCCGACATCAGCCGACGCTCTCCCTCGTCTTTTTCCCCAACCAACCGGCCGGCCAATCAGCGGCCTCGCCTGTGCCCAAAACATTTTCCCTCGCCTCAAACCTCAGACTAGAACCTCTTCTGTTCTATTCCCATTAGCACACCGCAATCAATCCTCCCCCTTTGCCTCCGTCTGCAAGCTCATCTTTTGATTCTCTCTCTCTTCCTTCCTCTCCCAAAACCGCCAAAATGTCCATCCCCGCCTTCTCCGACATTGCCAAGCCGGCCAACGACGTATGCGCTCCTTTCCAGCTGGTTTTTTTCTTCTCTGGGTTTCCTGCTCGGCTCTTGTTTGCCCCTCGGCTAGAGAGAGAGCTCGAGAGGATACCTCAGCAACGAAGCGAACGCGGCTGACCTACTTTTTCTTTTGCGCCATATAGCTCCTCAACAAGGACTTCTACCACCTGTCCGCCACCACCTTCGAGTTCAAGGACACTGCTCCCAATGGCGTTGCCTTCAAGGTGACGGGCAAGTCCAGCCACGAGAAGGCCACCTCTGCTGCTGTGAGTTTTTGCTCCACCCGCCCAATCTTCTCCTCGACTCTTTTCCCCCTCCCCCGCCACCCGCGGGGGGGCTAGAAACAACAGCAAGAACTGACACGGCAATTTGCCAATGTAACAGATTGAGGGAAAATACACCGACAAGCCTACCGGTACGACATCCCACCTGTCCCAAGACTTGAGACACGCAAGGCCACTCCCCTCCTGGGAGCGCGCTTTTCGAGCCTCGTTGCTCGGGTTGCGAATTTAGGGCCCATTGACTTTTCTTTTTATTTGTTTGCTAACACTCTTCGGCGTCCACAGGCCTGACCCTCACCCAGACCTGGAACACCGCCAACGCCCTCGACACCAAGATTGAGGTCAGCGACTCCCTCGCCAAGGGCCTCAAGCTCGAGGGTCTCTTCAACTTCCTGCCCGCCACCGCCGCCAAGGGCGCCAAGTTCAACCTGCTCTTCAAGCAGCCCGGCTTCCACGGCCGCGCCTTCTTCGACCTCCTCAAGGGTCCCACCGCCAACGTCGATGCTGTCGTCGGCCACGAGGGCTTCCTGGCCGGTGCCAGCGCCGGCTACGACGTCAACAAGGCCGCCCTGACCGGCTACAGCGCCGCCGTCGGCTACGTCGCGCCCCAGTACAGCGCCGCCATCACCGCCACCGACAACCTGAGCGTCTTCGCCGCCTCCTACTACCACAAGGTCAACAGCCAGGTCGAGGCCGGTGCCAAGGCCACCTGGAACTCCAAGACCAGCAACACTGTCGGCCTCGAGGTCGCCAGCAAGTACCGCATTGACCCCGTCTCCTTCGCCAAGGTTCGTATCCCCTCTATTCACGCCCTAATGACACTCATTTTCTGAACAAACTTTGCTTACCACTTTTTCTTTTCGACATAAACAGGTCAAGATCAACGACCGTGGTATTGCCGCCCTTGCCTACAACGTCCTCCTCCGCGAGGGAGTCACCCTGGGTCTCGGTGGCTCTTTCGATACCCAGAAGCTCGACCAGGCTACCCACAAGCTCGGTGCCAGCTTCACCTTTGAGGGTTAAGCCTCGAAAACCCAACCCCCTTAGCGCTCTCCTGTCGTCTCATTTGACATCCCGCATGCAATGCAATGTTGCGCGTGAGATGTTAATGGGCGAGGTTGGCTAGGTTGCTATTTTTGCGCAACTTTGTCTCCATTCAGAAGCCCCTCCCCTCCTTGGAAGTTTTTTTTTGAAAAAAAAAAAAAAAAAAAAAAAAAAATAGAAAACGAAAAAGGAGGGGTTTGCCTCTGTTACGATTTTTTGATCTCGGGTGGTAGATAGATGCCTTTTTTTCTCTTTTCGAGCAACCGGGTATTGAACACAAAAAAAAACAGAATAAAGAATATTTTGCGCAAGTGAACATACGCGGTTGCTGTCTGTCTGTCTGTCTGCCGGTCGATGTTATGTTATGTTTATGTTTATGTTTGTGATGTCTATTTTCCTATTGCTCTCTTTTATGGTGTCGAAAAAGCATAATGCCGCAAAAAATACGTGTATATTAGTGTACGCTTGCTCTCTGTACCACAATCGTCTGTGTAATGCTAATGCGCAATGTCTTTATGAGCAATGAAGCTGACCAACTCTTCATCATGCCTGAACATCTTGTTATTAGCAAGTAAGTTGATCATATTGCTTAGAACCGGCATTGTCCGCCCAAGCCCTCATTGCCTCTATCTATGTAAATCTTCTCTATTCTTTGTACAATCTCCCCTATCCCACTCCAGGCGCCATCTACATACGCTCCTACACATCTGCCTCACGACTCCTTCTCCTTCTTCTGCCTCCCCAGGCGCATAAACTGCAGATACACCGCCGGCGCAAGAAACGTCGCCGCCAATATCCCCGCCACGATCAAAAAGTGCCCGGCCAGGCTCGTCTGCGGCTCGAACTCGATGTCATCGTCCCCCACAGCCCGCCTCTGCCGCTGCCACCGGCGGTGATCCTCCCGCTCGTGCGTCCTCGTATGGCCCGCCTTGTCGAAGTGCGGCACGTGCTGGTCCCGGAAATGGTGAGGGTCAGACCCCGGGCCCATGCCGGCATAATGATGCGCGTGATGAAAGGCGCCCGTGTTCCAGGGATTGGCGCGGTCCGTCTGGGCTCCCGCCGACCCCGAAGCCGCGCCGCCGGTCGACTCTTCGTGTGCCTGGTGGCGCTTCTCGGCTTGGGCACCCCATCCGCCGCTGCGGTAGAAGCTTGGCGGGGGCCCGCGAAAGGTTCCTCTGCGGCGGCTCAAGCCGGAAGGGGGACGGCCACCGGCGGGATTGGTGCTATGATACGAGGCGTGGTGGTGAGGATGGTGGTGATGCTCGTGGAGGCGCAAAACCTCGCGGTCGTAGGTGGCGCGGCGAGAGGCATTGGACAAGACCGTGTAAGACTCGGACAGAAGGGAGAAGTTGTGGGCGGCGTCGGGGTCGGAGCGATTCGCATCGGGGTGGTGAGCTTTCGAGAGCGCATAAAAAGATCTACAAGCAAAAGCGATCAGCCACCAGAGTCTCAGAATACCAGATTTAAAATCGCCATCCCATACTTTTTGATCTCGGCCGGAGACGCATCCGGCGATACCTTCAGCCGTTCATAATGATTCTTCCCCTCAAAGCTGCTCCTCGCAAGCTCCCTCGACGCATGAAACCCTCTCCTGCAGCCATCACAGCAACGCCTCAATCGGCCCCCAGCCGATCTCGAGAAGGGAGTCCAAGTCGAGACCGGAGCCGCACCGAGCCGGTATTGGCCGTACGCCTTGACAGCAGATTCACCGGTCACGCAGCGTCGTGATGTTGATGGCGCAAAAAGACAGGAGACGGTGGCGAGAGTGCGCGGGAGGAGTAGCATGCCTTGCGTATCCTCATCACGTTGGAGAGAGGAGGGGGTTGAGAAGAGAAAGGTGAGACTGTGAGTAATATGGTGGTTGATTTCGGTATCTTCATAGACTAGAGATACGGATAAAGTTGGTTGAATTTGTGACACACAGGTCACGTGGCAGACACCACAAGCACAGTAGATTAGGTAGATAGATAGCACACAGTCCAGTAGGGGACAGAAAACCCGAGACAAGGAAGATTATAAACACCTACACGATAAATTATACACCAGCCCGTTCTTTCAGAATCTGCAACTATATTTACATTTCTTTATTAACTACTACTATATTTATATTTCTCTATTAACTACTACTATATTTATATTTCTTTAGTAATTACTACTATATATATATATATTTATAGTAACTGCTACTATATTTATATTTTTATAATAAATGCTACTACTTATATAGTTATATAGTTAACTTCAGGCACTAGCTTAATAGGTGTTCCTTTACAAAGGTACCTACTAGATAAATTTAGTAATTGAGTGCTTATATTGCGGTATACACGTACTTATATATTTTGCGGTCTTGCTTTTTCTGACCTTCACTTGACAGTTGAGAGGATAGAAACAATACAAGACTATTCCATCCACAGAACGCTACAGAATTGATAGCGCGAGGTGATGTCATCGACCCAATTGCCTTTGGCGGGTATGCATAATGCAATGCTGGGGGGTCAGTGGCCATAGCGGGGTAGATGGTTACAGTAGGAGTTGAATAAGCTATTAGGAGCTGTGGAAAGGAATTAAAAAGGTCAATATCAATAGAATATTACATGTTAGATGGAGCTATAATGACATGAATAGTTTCCTTATAGATTGTGAAAACATTGAACGCGCTTTGAAAACATGCCTTGTAAATGTCCATAAATATCCAGAAATCCTCACTGTGCTCCGTTGGGATGGACGTCTTTGACCAGGTACTCGCGTGCATCCCTGCGCCGATCTTACAATACATCTCACTCACACTTTTACCCCCATCTATATCCTCGTCTCATATTTGCTTTCCCATCACACGCATATACTCGTATATAGCCATCACATCAGGCGTTTCCCTTAAATGCCGTCCTCACACCACCGGCCGCTTGAACGGATGGGCCTCCGTGTTAAACACCCACTCGTCCAAGTCGATGACGCCCTCATCGTCGAAAATCAAGTAAAAGTACTTGAGCGTTTCAGCCAGCCAAAACGTCTGTACAAGTTAGCAATTGTTCGTTGACCACGTTTGCTGCTTCGCTGGGAAACTCACCTCCATCACGTCGCCGTTGGCGCCCTTGCTCACGGTAACGTCTTCAACAATGGCAAACGCCAGATCCACCTCCGTCTCCCTGACAATGTTCTCCCACAACTTCCACGCCGTATCCCTCCAAACCTGATCCCCGGTAATGCGGTACATGTAAAAAACACTCTCGATGGCTTCGGGCCGTAAGAGATAGTGCTTAGCCTTGACATTCACAAAGCCCGGGGGTAGTCTCGGGTCAGTACTCAGGGGCAAAAGAGTTTCGTCGTATGGGCAGGGCCCGTCGAGTTTTTTGCAGCCCACCAGATCTGCCGCCTCGGGCATGATGCCAGAGGCGAAGGAGTTATACGCCCACACGCAGCCAGACGAGAGGCGGGAGCCCAGATCGACAAAGTCGTCTCGCTTGAAGAGCTTGCCAGCCATTGCATACATGCCGCCCGCGAAGCAAGTCAGGTGCTGCATCTCATAAATACGCTCGACATTGCCGTGGTCCACCAGTGCATTTCCAGCCATGAGAATGTTCTCGTCCTTTGGAGTCATGGGGCGATACAGCAGGTTGTCCTTGGCGGTATCGAGAGCCTTGATGGCCATTTCGGGATATTGGGGGTCCAGTCCCCCCAAAAGAACGGGCATCTTGACCAGATATTCGTACATGGAATCGGCGCCGGCTCCGAGGGTGTATCGAGTCTCAATGATCTTCTCATCGCGAAAGTTCATGGCCACTGGCCAAAGGCCCGGGAGGGAGGTCTCGTTCTGGAAGCGATAGTAGAACTGCTTGACGCGCTCCGTGGCGTCGTAATACTTGGGATCGCCCGTGATTTGCGAGAGGCGGGTGAATTCCATGCAGAGGGTGCCACCAGCGGCCCCCGACATGCTGTCTTCGGCTGTTGTTTCGCCCTTCTTGGCCTTGGCGTAGTCAAGCCAGTGTGACGGCAGACGGTTCGGGGTATCGAAGGTGGCGTAGAGTGCATCGCCAAGCTCAATCGCCTTTGCACGCAAGACGGGCTCCTGGGAGAGATCGTACGCAGCAAGCAACCCGCCGAGATATCGAATAGTCACCTCGAACAGGTTGATAACGTTGTTGTCGTGGGTGGTGGCCCAGTCAATCACCGCCACTTCTTTAACCGCCAGATTGAAGTCCTCCTTGAGGTCCATGATCCACAGGGTGTCCAACGCATCCACCAGCTGTGCCAACCACCCGCTGAAGGTATCCTTTCCACCGCCCGAGAGGGGTTGCAGTTGGTCCTTGCCCCACGCATGGGTCTTGTACGCCTCCCAGCTCTTGATGAAGGCTTTCTTGACGGCCAGTTTCCGCGTGCTGGAAGTGGCGTCTTGGTTCTCTGAATGATTCTTCAGCTGCACCTTGGGAAAGGCTATGGGCGTTCCCTGCGGCAGCATCTTCATGTCCTTGACGGGGTGATAGACCTTGGCCTTGGCCCAGTTGTAGCTGCTGGGCACATACTTGAATCTGCCGACGTTGTTGGAAGGCCGAGGCACAATATCAAGGCCGCTCCAGAGGAAGAGGGTGACGAAGAAAAAGAAGGCCACAAGCGCAACGTAGCGGCGAGGGACTCGGCCCTGGATCTGGTTGAATATGGAGGCCATCGGTAGGTTACGGTGAGCACATGGTTTTTTTTTTTTTTATACAAAGGCCTTGGTATGCAAATGTTTCCAAAATTCGGTGTGGTGTGTCCCGAGAGGGCCGGTGAATGAATCGAGAGTGTAGATGGATTCCAAGGCAAGGATGGATGGCTTCGAAAAGAAGCAGTAACCAGAACAAGAACAACAAGAAGGAAGATAGCAAGAGCAGAGCAGAGCGGAACGGGGCAGAGCAGAGCAGAGCAGAGACAACAGCGACACAGCAACAAAGAAAAAGCACCATGAATCAGACAAAGAAAAGAGAGAAGAAATATTAGTACAACCAACGGCGACTAGGGGGGGAGAGGAAGAGGAGAGGGAACCAGCTCGACAGGGTACAATGACAGCCCGTCTTGGCGGCCAAAGTCCCCTAAACGCCAGGAGCCACCCCCTGTGACAGTTCAGTTCAGTTGGACAAGATGAGCTTCAGCTGAAGCTTGAGCAACTCCAGTCACTCCCACCTCCACATCTGTCCATCTGCCAAGCCACACAAGGTATTTTAAAAAAGTCCCCCCTCAATAGGTACTCAAGCCAAGCCGCAATTTTTTCATCCTCCTGCATTCCTTGCACACCTTGGCAAATCACACCCAACAAGCAAACATCGGCTTTTCTTCCTTCCTCGCTCTTTTTTTTTTTTTTTTTTTTTTTTTTTTTTTTGGCTCTTCTTGCCTCGTTTCCGAAGGCACCGAACGAAAATCACTAGCGCACCGTCCTAGCCTAAGCCCCAAAGACGGTAGTAGAGCCCCGAAACGGTAAAGCGCCACATCTTTAGATCCAGCACAAAATAGGGTAGAGTGCGGAGGTTGAGAGATGGGGCTTGATTGGCTGGGCGTCTAAATAGTTTCGCGGGAACTTTGTGTTTCTTTGCCCTGTTCTCTCTCCTGTGTCTACAGGGCAATAGTTGACTTGTCAATCGTCCATGGATGCGTGTGTCGTGTCAAATCAGCGTAGTATTTGGGTTCATGACATGGCTGCGTGGGGGTACATGGAAATGCACAAGGTAGGGCACTCTATAATATCACCACTCCGCAAATAGCTGCCTGATAGTCCTTCCATGTTGAGAAAGCACTCGGGTTCGATACCCGAAGAGATGGGTGCTCGACGGCCCCCAAAACCCCCCTATCCATGTACCCCTATTCTCACCACTCTATCGTGTGTGGTAATACGAGTAGTAGTAAGCATGTGCCTGCACATTCCGAGTTCATATTCGGAATTAACGTCACCACAATGCTCCCTTTTACGGTAGCACTAATCGGCGCTTCGACTATTTGGTAGACCAGTACCCTACTGCCCCCGAAAGCACGCCGTGCCGCAACTTCAATTTAACCAACAACGCCCGAATTCAAAGAATGACTGTTATTTATTCATCGACGTCTTGGTAAAAGAGCGGCTATAGTTGGTATTAAAAGATCAACTTGCATCTTCTCAAAAAACAGCGGGACAAGCGGCCTGGAATCTTACGAGAGGGTCCAGGCTCAGCAGCACCCCCAGATAGGTAGCAAGTTGCCAATATGATGGAGCCCTACTTTCCGGCAGCCTGTCCGCCATTTCATCTCCCTTCTCCACCAAGCAAAATAAAGAACCCTCCTCAAGTCGTTGTCGTCCTTCCCCTGCTGCTCATCGCACATCTTGAACGAGCAGCCGCAGTAGTTTTCAAGTTCCCACTGCCACTCCCCGTAGAGAGCGAGTGTCAAGCAGGTTATCTCGACAGGCCTGACCACAAACCCCTGCTCATCTCGACGGTGAACTAGTTTCAACTACGATACGCATCTGCGGCAACAAACGGAGTTGCCAGGCACGAAGTCATCGTCTTCACCCAGTCTGTTGGGCTTTTTCTTTTTCCCACGACCGGTTCGGCGGAGCGGCTGTTGTAGCCATCACGTTTTTGATGAGTCCCACGGAAACTATTGCTCGTGCTGTAGAGCCCTTGGGCGATATCCCTGTAATCATCGCTTGATCCTGCAATGATGTCATTCTGAGAGCCTTGCGCTTGTCACTCAATCGTAGCCTCCACCAATTTGGCTGTGGAAGGCAGTGCTGATGCTTTTCTCATCGTCGTCGTAGCGTCGCCCATAGCCGCTCCCAAGGTTCATGCGGCCGCTGCTTTCCACGTAATGCTTCAGTCGGTCGCTCTGACTGTACGAGACTGCTCGCATTCCTGTAACAACGTCGTGCAAGCCAGCGCCTAGGCTGACGCCGCCTTGGCCAATCCCCTTGGCACCAATGACGCTGGCTGAGGCATCCGTCAGCTCAGAGTTGGCCACGCTTTCGCCAGCAACGCTTTCGGGCGCTCGGTTGCGGCCCTTGTGTCCTCGCCCCGGCGCCGACACTCCAGGTAAGCCGGGCCACTGCTCGGGCGCAAAGCTGGAGAACATCGGTGGGAAAGCCGAGTTGAGCGCTGCGCCTCCAAAAGCTGAGCCCTGGATCGAGGAGACGTCATCTGGGATGTAAGAAACCATGGAGCCGGCGTCAAAGTCACGACCGGGAGGACCGCCGTTGAGCCTGCCATTTTGCTGCCTCGCACCCGGGTACTGAGACGGCTGGCTGCTCTTCTGGCGGTAGCTCACTCTTGGGCGGCTAAACTGCAGCAGACATGCCTGCAAGTTAGTAAGGGGTCCCTCGACGAAGCACTTGCGATCCTTGAAATGGGCAAGGAGGTTGTGCCAAAGCTCGTGCTTGGAGAGAACCTTGGGGTTGCCGAGAATAACCAGACCATACTTGGCTCGGGTGAGAGCGACGTTGAGACGGCGAGGATCTGACAAGAATCCGATGCCCTGGTTGTCGTTGGATCGGACACAAGATAAGACAATAAAGTCTTTTTCACGGCCTTGGAATGCATCCACCGATGCCACCTCCACATCCTTGTACAGCTCCTTCTTGTACGTGCCGGAGTTCTGCATGGTTGAAACAATGTAGCTGCGCTGGCCCTCGTATGGTGTAATGACTCCAATCTCGGATGGCTTCACACCAGCCTTGAAGAAACGTGTCACTGTCTTTTCCACGTTTGACGCTTCTGTTCTGTTCAGGTACGAAGTACCAGAGGTGGAAATTTCCTCGTGGCCAATGTTGGACCAGAACATCATGGGCATCTCCGTCACGGGCCAGGGGAAGTCGACGTCTTTTCGGACTCGTTGCTCGTGGGTAATACCATTCTGGAGGGTACCGTCATAAAACATGTTGGAAGGGAACTCTGAAAGGCACGGGTGCATGCGGTACTGTGTCTTTAGCGGAATGGGGTTGATCTTCAAGTTGATCAAGCGTTCAAAGAGAGACCTGTTGAGGCCAGCCTTGGCCGCCTTCTTGTTCATGATAACGGGGCCCAATTGCTTATGGTCTCCGACCAGGACGACCTGCTTGCATCCGAGAACGAGAGGAATCATGCATTCTGGCTCGGCCGACTGTGTAGACTCATCAATCAGGACATTTCGAAACTTCATCTTGGAGAGTCGCGGGTCGCCCGCACCGACGCAGGTACAGCAAATGACGTCTGCGTTGCTCAAGATCTCTCGTTCGGCAGCCTTGGTGAGCTGCCTTAGCTTCTTCTCATCCTGGCTCGAAAGTTCTCCGACTTCGACCTTCAGCTGCGATAGCTTCACGAGCTCACTATTATGCTCGGACATGCGGACCTGCTCGTGCAGCGCCAGGAAGCTGACAGACGACTCCACATCCTCTCTCGACTTGGCCGTAAGTCGGACCACCTTGAGGCCTGTGCGGTGTATACGCTCACAGAGTTGATCTACGGCAACGTTGGACGGGGCGCACACGAGAACTTGGCTGCCGCTCATCTTTGCAAGGTGATAGATGATCGTGGCAGAGGTAACAGTCTTTCCGGTTCCAGGAGGTCCTTGGATGAGGCTGAGAGGCTTCTGCAAAACGGCCCTGATTGCATCCACCTGGCCCTGGTTCAGGTCAGGAAGCCCGGGGGCAGACCACTTCTTAGGCAGCGTGACTTTCATGGGTGGCGGCTGGCAGATGTGGCCAAGCAAGATGTGGAAGATGTATCCCGAAACACTCATGTCGTCAACGGCAAATGTCTTCATGGCGAGTTGCATGCGATCGTACGACGTGGCCTTCCAAACGTAATCGGCCGAGAAGTTATGGGAGAGGTCGATGGGGACCAGCTTGTCGTTGCCAGTCTTGCGGAGTTCGAGGCAAACTTCGTCAGATTGGCTGTTTGGGATCTTGATGACGTATCCAACTCCTTCCCATTCCTCCCTGAGCTCGCCAGTGTAGCGCAGTCGCATCTCGTCGCCGACTGCGAGTTTGACATCGCCCGACTCGATTTTCTGTAGGTTAAAGCTAGCAATGTGCTTGTTGTTGAGAGCATAGTCCCAGCGGACGGTCAAGCCATCTTCCGACTGTGCTTCCTTGAGCTTCTTATCGTAGTCGGATTCCATTTTAACAAGAGGACCAAAGATGTTTTGATAGTGGTAGGGGTCATCATAGGTCAACTGGACGGGGAGAGGGTCGTCGTCGATATTGGAGGCCTTCTCCAAATCTTGGATTGTCGCATCCGGCTCCTGCTTCCACATTTCTTCGAGCTTGGCAATCGTGTTCATCGTCAGGTGGCGGGCACGTAACTGTTCAGCATCGGATGGAGGGTTCACTAGCCAGGGCAAAAATGCCCGTTCCTCGATGAGGGGCTCCCATCGCGACGTGTCCCAGTTCATGTCCTTGTTCGAGTTGGCGGCGGCGCAGGGTTGGCGGCATAGCAAGACGACCACGGCGTCGGATTTCGCGGGGATAAATCCAAGGATGAAGGCATTTTTCGTTCCACAGCTATAGCACTCCAGCACGGTATCTCCGAGCGTCGATTCGGGGTGCAGTTGCACTTCTTTGTGTCGTGCGCGAACTAGATGGTTGACGATGTGGGTCGAGGAACCACTGCCACGAGCACTGCAGAACCATTTGTTGCATGTAAGACACTTGACGACACAGGCCGGAGAGTGAATGCCACAGTATCTTTCCGCATCATGTTAGCCTATATCAGCCACGAACCACACGGTATTGCTCACGCGCATGCATGAGGTGGGAGTTCTTTCTCCTCCTCAGGGTGCTTCAATTTCATGCCCATCATTTGATCAATGGGAACGCTATTGAGGCTGTCATTATCGTCCTCCTCAAACGCTTCCGTCTGGTTGTCGTCGTCGTCGGCTCGGCGCCGGCCACTCTGGCCGCCATATTTGCCGTAAAGGAGAGCCTCGTCAGGGTCGAGCGCCGAGAGATCGTCAGCATCGGCCTTGATGGCCGCAGCTGAGTCGGAAATGAGGTGATTGCCCACGTGGGTGAACGCGCCCTCCATGTTGTATCGGTGAGTAGGGGAAAATGCGCCGAACGGTGCTGCGATGGTGATAAGTCAGCCTCGAAGCCGGCGAGAGTGAATTTGTTGCGAGTTGTGACACAAGAGGGGAGGAAGAAAGTGTGACAGTATTATGAAGCGGAGGAACGCTCTAGTAGTTAAATACCAAAGCAATCAAGAGGGAAAGCTACCTGGCAAGTATAAATTTTCAAAGTCTGGAAAAATCCGCTGCGACAAGCTTCGGCGCGGGATAGTTCAAGGGAAGGGATTCGTGCTCCTCGTCAGCGGCCTCACATCATCGCCGCAGACACCGGGCGGGAGACAGAAATAAAGAAACAGAAAGCTGCGATTGGGATATGTGAGTTCCCAGTCTGGCCTTTCGGGCAAAGGAGTTGTCGGTGAGGGCGTGCTGATCCAAAAGTCAGAAAGTGGTTTTCTGCACCGCACAGCCTGGATCTATTATCAAAGAGGTGGAAGCGGCTAGACGGACCCTGGCGCACGGTGGATTGCCAGGCTTTGGTGGGGTAATATGTGCGACACACAGGTCACGTGGCAGGCACACAACAAATACAGTAGATACTACCTGGTACTAAGGTATAGTAGCTTACCTGTAGCACACAGTGGAGGATATAGAACAATACAAGACAGGTAGGTACTAATTTGACCCATACAACGCTACAACTACAACCTACCTACGCTAAAGCCAACCACCTGCTGGGCTGTGCCTTCCACACAGGGCTCTAGCTGCCTCAGGCAGCCTGTGCGTATTTAAGGTGGTCTTCGTCATGGACCTGGGTCTCTTCTTCTTCTTCCTTATGCATCCCTACTCAATTCAATGTTGATCTCTTTGGCACCCCTCTGCCGTTGTGACCGTGCCCTAGCCTCCAATCTCCACCCACCTGATCAGTCATTAACAGCTGGAAAACAAAACCACCATAAATCCCATTTTGCTCTAAAACACAAAAGTATACCCTCTAAATTCACCGACCTGACCACTGATTTTGATCCCGGCAACGCATACACAACCGGGTGCGACAGCTAACAGTACAAACCCAAAGTCGTGGCAAATGCTGTCGACACAACTCACAAATCCAGCGATTCCGATCCATCCCTGTTCGCATATTCCAATAGTGACCACAACTATCAATAACCCTGTCACGCTCAGGATTGCGCCGCACATTAAGAGGGAAGAGCCGTGGCACAGCGACATCAGGCGTTTGCTCAGGAGCCACAGCGACATAGTTGATGGGCACATTCCCAAAGAGTCTTACTAATTTTCACCGTAGCGTTTTGCTATTTTCACCGTAGTTGCAATAAGTGGGGATATTTCCAAAACTACCTAAGTCTTCAACTATAGTAAATAAGGCTTAAAAAATAAACAAAATATTTAAAAAATATTTATAGGTTAATTATTACGTAATTTATATTAAGCTATTTTGAAAAAGTAATTTTATATTATTATTTTAGTAGATTTATATCTAAATATATATAAAAGAATTTAGTTAGTTATTTATAAGTAAAAATTAAAAAGTAAATACTTTTTATATATTTTATATAAATAAAAAGCTGTGTTCTAAAAATTATCTTATTTTATATAATAAGGACATAAGGAAAGTTAAAATTAAGATTTAAGTTTTTAACTTAAGCTTTCTACTATATATAAAAATAAAATAAATATATTTTAATATATTTTAATATTATTTAAATATTTAATTATTAAAATATAATTTTTAAAATATTATTTATATTTTTAAATGGCTGGTTTTAGCTGTTTATAACTGTAGTATATTTTTGGAATTTTGGGATTTGTCTCGCGCACGGGCCACTACGGTGAAAATAGCAATACGATATACTACGGTGAAAATAGCAAGACTCTTCCCAAAACGATCAGCTTGGCCTATGTTCCAATGATCCGCAGCCACCTTCATTATAGTGTACAGATGGATCAAAGTCGAAATCCCCGTATCCACAGCGACGACACCATTGATACTGACATGAGTGAGACATGCATCTGGAAAAGGGAAAAAGTTAGTAACATTATAATAAAACATTTCACAATACACTTACGTGATATGATTGCATCCACCAGCGAATTCAAACATTGACCCACAAGACGGGCACTGCATCGGGTCGCGGTCCAAAACGACCGCAAGGAGCTGCGACTCATTGTTTTCTGGCTGCCCATTACATTCAGCTGTTGCTAAATGTAGTGGGAAGGCATTTTGAGAAATTGAGCAGTGGACGCAGCAGAGACTCTGAAAGACGAGTAGTAAATACGCGCAGAGACAGCGAAAGATGAGTAGTGGATGTAAGTAGAGTTGTTGAAAAATGGTGGAATGGGAAGAAAAGAAGCGAAAACAAAAACAAGAGGGGGGGAGGGGTATATATACTAGTAGGCAGGAAAACTTTGGCCGCAGAAGTATAAAGTCTCAGGATGGAAGTTACGCTTCCCCTCTCACTTAGTACATCTACACTACAGGTACCTTACTGCTAATGAGTACATAACCTTGTGGTAACAGGTATCTAATGACTTGGAAGTAAGCAGCAGAACAGCAAGGGCATAAAACCAGCTATCCTCCTCCTCCAGCCTTAACAGGCCCTTCTATAACTCAAGACAACGGCCTTCTCTTCCAACCCTCGTCTAAAAGTTGGAGGTCCTCATCCTCGTCCTCCACCTCTAACGCCGCCTTTGCAAGCTGCAAACCCTCAGTCTACACTGCCAGATTCCACTTCCGCAAGCAAGATGCCAATCGTCAGGTTCCTTTTATCGGTTCATCTCGTTCTGAATTACCTATTAATTTTATTGAGACTACTTCTTCTCCACAAACGTTACCTCTTTCTGCGCCTCGCACCACCGTGAGGATACGATGCCTGTCGCGGGCGAAAGATCGAGTGCGATGGCATCAAGCCGTGCTACAACTGCATTTCGGATCGGTATTCCTGTGTCTACACTCCCAAAAGACGATCGTTTTTCGGTGCCATATCCTCATTAACAAGTTGATATGTGCAGAGGTTTCAAGGTTACAAGTGTAAAGAGTCTCTCGCCACCTCCAGACCCGTGGCTTTCACCACATCTGGAAGAATAACCTTTACCATCCGAATGGCAGAAATCATAGTCTCTGTAGCACTCGAGAGGCTCACGAGACTCGGGGTTTACAGGTTTGAAGACTCGCACGGTAACTCCATAACCGGCGCCACCATAATCATAACCGGCGCCACCATAAGATAGACGAGATTGTTTAATATCCAGACGACAAACACTAGAGCCGATATAGTTCCCGGCATATCCATAAGATCTCTATCTACTGGGTTTCCGATGATAGTAACTCCTGAAAAGTGTAAATATTTATCCCGCTAAACATTGCCCCAACTACTATATCCTCGTAAACTACTAACTTACCTTAGTACCTACTAATGCAAGGTATATAAATACCTATAGTAGTACAGTAGATAGGTAGGTAGTACCTGGTAGATAGCACACAGTGGAGGAGATAGAAGAATACAAGCCTATTCCTGTGACACATGGGTCACGTGGCAGGCACACATACGTACAGTAGATAGGTAGATAGCCACACAGTGGGGGGAGATAGAGAATACACGCCTCAGAACGCTACAATTCCATCCACAGAACGCTATAATATGCGCCCACGTGATAAGGCGGGCAGGTTATCGATAAGCTCGAAATTCGGCAGAACTGATAAGCCAACTTTTTTTGACTGTTTTCGCGCCAGCCTTTAAGAGCCATCAGTCAAACCTGTTCAGCAAGGTTTGGAGCAGCCAATATGATTGTAAGTTGCTATGAATTCCATATGGATACTGAGTGGAGATTTGGGAGTTGCTCACTGTTTGACTGCAGCGCAAACAAGCACGCCAAAGGCGGGATTACCTGTACCGACGAGCGGTTCTTCTGCGGGATGCCGAAATCAGCGAGAAACGAGCTAAGCTGAGAGCCTCTCTCGCTTCGGGAAAGCCATTGGACCCGACAATCGCCAATGACAAGTCCCTGAGGAAAGATTACCAATATGATGAATCACGAGACCTTACTACGAACGAGCAGCTGGACTTGGACGACGAGTATGCGCAACTATCCGGTATCGTTGACCCTCGAGTTCTCGTAACGACTTCTCGCGACCCCTCGGCCAGATTATCAGCCTTCGCAAAGGAAATCAGACTTCTTCTGCCAACTTCAATCCGAATGAACCGTGGTAACCTCATCTTACCCGATCTCGTCAAGTCTGCCCAGTCTGCAGGCCTATCCGACATGCTTCTGCTTCACGAGCATCGTGGTACACCAACGGCCTTGACAATTTCCCACTTCCCCCACGGACCGACAGTTTCATTCTCCCTACACAACGTTGTGCTCCGTCACGATATTCCTGGTAGCGTTCGAGGAACCGTGTCAGAGTCGTATCCTCACCTCATCTTCGATGGCTTCACTACTCGCTTGGGAGAGCGAGTCGCTAAAGTCCTAAAGCACTTGTTCCCACCCAGAGAGCCAATTACTAGCAAGAGCAAGATTGGCAACCGAGTGGTGACATTCAAGAATATCGACGACAGCATTGAAGTCAGACACCACGTTTTCGTACGGACAGGCTACGATAGCGTTGAGCTTGCTGAGGTTGGCCCCCGAATGACGATGAGAATATTCGAGATCCGTGGCGGTACTCTTGAGAATAAGGACGGGGATGTTGAGTGGCATCTATCTCAATACACACGAACGTCCAAGAAGAAGAATTATCTTTAATTCACGGCGAGGGACGCTGCATCTGGCGAATCGAGTTTCCGACCTCTTCTCTTTGCATACTTGATGCTACTCCCAGAATACCAAGCGGCCCGTGGTTGGGCAAACTGGGTGTAACCAGTTGTGGCGGGCTTCAGAACTAAAGCTCAGACTAGCTGACCCCAAGGCCAATACGCACCTGGATGAAAAGTCAGCAATCATGTTGAGAGTGCTTCGCCACGATGGCGACGTAAAGCTTCGTGGACGGCTCCAAAGTTACAATACTGGTATACACCACCGAGAGTATTGTGATGGAGGTGTGGGATTGCGTGTATCTCATTGGTTTACAATGGCTAATGTATGCCCGTTGGCGATTGACGAATCCAAGCGGGTAGTGGGATTGAATTTTCTAGACACACTGTGGGATCACGACTGTATATAATGAAGTTTTAAGGTTATTGTACATACCACTGGGCATTTTGCGGTGAATGTTATTGATTTTTCGAACCAACATGAATAACAAATAGAACGTGTTTGGCGTCAATTAACCTATGAAGATGGAAGCTTGTGATCCATTACTTTCACAGAGATGCTAGCAGCCACTGCATGTGGATTGTAAACCATTCGCGACTGGAGCTTTTTAAACAGCGCTGAGCCATGAACTGCACGGATTTTGCACTAATGGATCGCCTAGCAGGCACATGCACATACTAGAGCAGGAAGAGAGATCAATTGATGCAAAATACTACATCCAATGTACCAGAGGATGTAACCGCTACTACTGTACGGCCCTGGATGGATACGAAGCTACAGACCCCTGCCCATCATCTGATCCTCCAAACATCTGACGTGCCGCTCCTCGCACGACTCATAAGTGTGTCTCGGAGCGCAATTCGGCACAGCTACAAGCAAAGTAAATGAAGGGGATTCCCATTGCTGTGCTTTTGAGATGAACTGAATAGCCATCCAGCTTAAGCCCTGAAGAAAATTCAGGTTTACCTATGTCCCTGGGATATCAACCAACTGGAGCAAATACTACCGTCAACGGGTAATGTTTTAGTGCCTTAAACCGTTACTAGCAGCTCAACTGGCGAAGCCACTAAAAGTCTGGCTACTGACGCGCAATGATCACATCCTCCGGCATGCCGTCCATTGGCTCGTTTGGGAAGTCCAAGCCATCCATTGATGGATTTGAGGAAGATACAGATTGACATGGTTCACGGCCATGACTTTGATGCGCATCGATTGGCGGGCGCTTGGGCCACTGCAGCTGCTCTATTTGGCCCTGCAAAGGGCCCTGTGGAGCTGTCAAACGACGTGAGGGCATCAACATTTAGCGGGCTTCGTAATGGCGCCCAGCTGCTAATGGACCGCTAAACACTACAGGTAACCACTAACCACTAACCGCTGGGCGCAGCGCGCTGACAAAGGCTCCGCCGTTCCGCAGCAAAAGGATGGACCCGACCTTGCTTTTTCGTTCAAGGACACGCCGGAATTCTCCAGCCTCGGGTCGCCGGTAAGAACGACAAGAAAAAAACAACTAGAAGCCACAAGCTCTCCAGGGCTGTCTTTTTATGCCTTGAAAGCGTTGCCTGGTACATAGTAGTAGTAATACCTGTAGTACAGCTTTTCCAATCCCTTCCAACGGAATCCCCAGCCACTATCCGGCGGCTCAAATTAGCCATCGGCCGTACGTCATCCCCGGGGTCCTCTCTGGTTCCCTTGCCTTGAAGTTCTAGTTACATCTACCAGTACATGTGCATGTGTTTTTTTTTTCGGCCTTACTTTTCTTCACCTAACGTGCTCGTACAGTAGTGTTGCGCCTCTGCCATCTGCCGCTTTTGGACGCGCAAAACAGATTGCCGTCCTGAACCTCTTTTCTCCTCCTCCACCTCCGCACAACCCGAAGCAGCTTCGGTATAGCTACTGTATTGCTGCTGCACTTGTTTGTACTCGCACTGCGAAATTCCCCCACCAATTAGAGCTCTGTCTGTACTGGTCATCCATTCTTCTCGAACACCAGACCGTCTCTTCCGTCTTCACACTCTATTCACCACCTTTCCCTGCGTAGCTGCGACACCCCAAGGCCAAGCTTTCGCACCTGCTCTAGTCCCTTCGCCTAAGCATCATCACCACCTCCATCACCAGCGAGAAATCACAAAAGTTTCAATAGACGCTCTTCCAGCATGTCGGGGCAGAATCCTTATTCGCAAGGCCCTAACCAGGAGTCTGGCTACGGCGGCGGCGGCTATGGTCAGGTAAGCAGAATCGAGTCGTCCGTCTCTGCTCTGCAAGGGCGGTCGTGATCCGTGTGCAGCAAAGCAAAGCAAAGCAAAGCATTGAACCAAGGATGCTAACAAGGATTGCGCCGGGCAGCTGAACCCATATGCCACCAACACCAGCGACAACGCTTCGCCGTACAACACCGGCAACAACTATGAGCTGCAGGACTACAACAACCAGGGCGCCGCCGGCAATGGCTACTCCCAGGAGCAGGGCTCCCGGCCTTCCGTCCTGTCGCAGCAAGACTTCCTCAGCCGCGTGCAGAGCCTGCGCAACGACATCAAGGCCCTGACTGGCGACATTGACTTCATTGGACAGCTGCACCAGCGCACGCTCAGCGCTACTGACCAGGATGCGAACGAGCAGCTGGAGCACTACGTTACGCAGACGCAAGTCCGCAACACCGCCATCAAGGACGGCATCAAGGGCCTCGAGCGCGACCTGCTCAAGACAACAGACGCCTCTCGCACCACCAAGCAGACCCAGCTCGAGTCGCTCAAGACCTTTTTCAAGTCCGAGCTCGACAAGTACCAGAGCATTGAGCGCGATTACCAGGCGCGCTACCGGGAGCAGATTGCGAGACAGTACCGCATCGTGAACCCGGGAGCGTCGGACGACGAGGTGCGACAGGCCACAGAGGTTGACTGGAGCAATGAGGGTGTTTTCCAGACAGCTGTAAGTGATTTCCCCCTTCTCCCGAAAGGCTCGGTTCTACTCCCTTTCCCGCGCCTGTTTGTGTGGAGTGTATAAGCGTAAGCATTGCTGACCTAGCCCTTTTCTCTGCAGCTTCGCTCCAACAAAGCTGGCCACGCTTCCTCCGTGCTTGGCAATGTGCGTGCTCGCCACAATGAGCTCCAGCGCATCGAGCAGACCCTCTCCGAGCTCGCCCTCCTCTTCCAGGAACTTGCTGCCATGGTCGAGCAGCAGGAGAACGTGGTTGTTGCCGCCGAGGTGAACGCCGAGAACACAGTCCAGAACATCGAGAAGGGCAACGAGCAAGTCAGCCAGGGTATCGAGCATGCCCGCCGCACCCGCCGCCTCAAATGGTGGTGCGCCTTCATCGTCTTCCTCATCGTCCTCGCCATCGCTCTCGGTGTTGGTCTCGGTGTGGCTTTGACCAAGAAAAATTAATCTGGCCAATGTCCCAAATTTGTGTTTGTTCCTTTTCTTATTTCTCAAACTTCAAAGGGGGGAGCCTCTTTCTATGGCTCACGGGGCGTAATTAATTTTCCTTTTTTTTTCCTTCTTAGACCATGAAATATGTATCCAACTGCAACTGGGGGAGCACCACGCCTCTTCGCAGCGAACGACTATTTGTACAATCTTAATTCTTACTTTGAGACGCTACGCCAGGGACGAAGGGGGGACGAAGGGGGGACGAAGGGGGGACGAAGGGGGGGCGAAGAGTAGCGTTGATTGCAGCGGCCAGTGATGGGGAGAATGAACAACCCGGCGGGGGGAGAAAAAGCAGGTTGCGTGGAAATGGAGGGGAGGGTGCCGATTTGATGAATCTTAATGCCATGAACTCTCGGATGCTGATGACTTGGGAGGACGGACAAGGGAAGGGGGCACGGGAGTTCATGTGGGTGGTACGGATGAACATAGGATAGGGCTTTTTATAACTTTATGAAGTGGACAATGGCGAGGATTTGTTTTATGAGAGGAGTCTCTTTTTCGCGTGCTTTCCCGGTCGTACAAGTGATGATAGTAATACATGCATCTGTCTGTCCATCCATCCCATCTATCCATACCTAGGTACACAAACAGGCAACCCCAATGCTTTTGCTGCTTGGCTGCCTCTCCTCGTACAACTTTTTTTTCCTATGGGCGAACAAATGGTGACAGATCCAAAACAAAACAGAAAAAGGAAAAAGAAAAGAAAAAATACAAGTACAAATACAAAAGATCGAGTACTTCTTGACACCATTACATATCGAAGGACGTAAGATGCCATTATAGTATCAATGTACAGAGAGAGGTTTCATTTCTGCATTAACAAGCGAATTTTTTTCCTCCATCTTGTTTCCCCCTTATTTTTCCGTACTCCCTCCCCTTTTCAGGCTATCCAGTCCTTTGCACATTTCTTCTTCTTCTTCTTCTTCTTTCTCTTGTGCTTCATTCATTCCCCTTTCCCCTTTTCTCTCTCTCTCTCTCTCTCTCTCTCTCTTCCTTACCTATACGCCCTGAACCATGGAGCTAAATCAATTCCCCGTAAATTGTTTTGGTGGTTTTTTCTTTTGCCTTGCGCCACAGGACCAAGAGAGGGGAAAGGCGGAATGCGAGCCCGAAAGAGTAGAAAGAAGAATTAAAGAAAAACTCCTGTCAGTTTCCTCCAACTCTCACATCGTTGGCAGTATAAAATATGTTGTGCCATGTACATCGGTGTTACATGAGCACGTTGGATTCATGACTTGTCACACGCAACAGCCTGTATCTGTGCATGTGTGCGTATCCGAGGGCGATCCTCCCATCTTTGTTTTCTCCGTTTTTTTGCTTTTGTTTTATTCTTGACTTTGGGGATGTAAACCTACCCGCCTGGCATCATGGTGAGATGCAAGCCTAAGGCATACGCAGGCCGGGAGGACCGCCTGGGCCGCCTGCTAGCCTTTCTGCCAGCTTGGGGTACTTCTCCGTCACCTTGACCTGGGTTCGTGTGGCCTCGGCGTATGAAAGAGCGTTGACAATCTCGCCCTCGGTTCGGGCAAGCTCGGCAGCGCGCTCAAAGTACTTGAGCGCCTCTGTCACCTTGTTCTGCTGCAGCAAAAGCTGTGCCATGGTAGCAACAGCAATATCACACTCGGGATCGACTGTGTACATCGTTAGCATTGTGAGATAATGGGTGTTTTTAAAAACAGGGGACACTGACTGATGAGGGCCTTTTGGCACAGCTTCTCGGCCTCCTTAAAGTCCGCGCTTGACTGGAAGAGAGCCAGAGCCTTGTTGATGAGGGGCAACACGTTCATGGACATGGGCTTGGACTGCTTCTCCATCTCCATGGCGGTGTCAAACTTCTCAATGGCCTCGGGGAAGTTGCCCTGGTCCAGCAGCAGCTCGCCGTAGTAGTTGTAGACGTCGGGGACCTTGGGGAAGTTCTTGATGCATCGGCGGAAGGTGGCCATGGACGAAGCAATGGAGCCCATCTTGTACTGCGTGACACCCAGCTGAATGTGAGAGAAGATGAAGTCCTTGTCCAAGTCGATAGACTTCTGGTAGTCCTTCTGCGCGCTAGCGAGGTCGCCCTTGATGAAGTGAGCCTGAGCGCGGTGGTAGTAGACGTCGGGGTCGTCATTGTCCTGCTCGAGGGCCTTGGCGAACTCGGCGTCCGCCTTGTCGGGCTCGCCCAGCTCCAAGCTGATGCTAGCTCGCTTGATGTAGCTCTGGGTCATCGTGGGGTCGAGCTCGATGCTCCTGTCAAAGTCCTGGGTGGCTTCGGCGTGGTTGCCGAGCAGGGTGCGCATAGTACCCCGCAGGTTGTAAGCGAGAGCTTCGTGCTCGCCGAGATCGCCCAGCTCAATGGCCTTCTCGAACGCTTGCCTGGCCTCCTCGTATCCTTCAGCAGTCTTCTGTTCCAATCCCTGGAAGCCGAGCTGCAGCTGTCCGAGGCCAGTATGGTAGGGGAGCTCGACTGAGTCGTCAAGAGCAGCCGGTCGAGGCTTCTGTCGGAAGCTCTGAAGGTAATTGCCGACGAAGATGGGGCTGGGAAGCTTGGCGGGCCTGGACGCCATGACCTCCTTGGCCTTGTGCTCGGCGAAGACCTTTAGCAGCCTCTCGACGGCCTGGGCGGTCGCCTCGCTCTTGAAGTTATCGATGATGCAAGAGGCAGTGAAGTCGAGCAGGGCCTCTGAGTACATCTTCAGGTGCTCGTAGGCAGTGGCGCGGCGGTTAATAGCCTTGACGTAGTCGGGGTCCATGGTGATGGCAGCCGTGGTGTCCTCGACGACCTTTTCCCACTCGCTCATGGCGCTATAGCAGGCAGCTCGGTTGGAGTAGAAGACGGCATCGGGCTTGCAGAGAATGGCCTGGGAATAGAGCTCGATGGCCTTGTTGTACGCCTTGTCTCCGTATGCCTTGTTACCAGCCTGCTTCAGACGAGCGGCGTACTGCTCTCGAACGTCCGAGGTCAGCTGCAGGACAGAGGCCTCGTCGACTTCCGGCAGCTCGGATTCGGTCTCGACGGTGGCTTTGGGCTGTGAGGCCTTTGTGTCGGCGGCCTTGCGCTCGGCTTCCTTGCGCTTCCTCCTCTCTTTCTTGCTGAGCTTTGGCGATGCATCGGACTTCTGTTGCGAAAGGCTCGAGTCAGAATCAGAACACAATACAGCTTTCTCCACGTTCACCTCCCTGTCCATGCCATCCGGGTTGTTTTCCCCCCCGGCCCAATTCGGCGACGACGGCAGCACAGCTGTGCGATCCATATGGTATGTCGTCATGCCTAATTGAGCATCGCATCCCCAGACAACCCCTCTATGCTATGCTATGCTATGCTAATGCCATGCAGGCAATGGGCAAAACGTACCGAGTCGGAATTCAGGTAATAGACAACACCAGCACCTGTGACGACGACGGCCACGCCGGCAATGGTGTAGACAACGGCCTTGTTCTCCGACACCCACGAGGATATCCGGTCCCAGGTGGAGGAAGAGCTCGCGTCGACGGCGATGGCGCCCGGAGGCATTGACGGCAGCGGGTTGGACATGCTGGGGGCGGGACGAGGAGCGCTGCCAGGTCTGGAGATGGAGGCGACAGACGCAGATGCTGCTGTCGATATCGATGATGTCGGGGCGCAGGAAGAGCGGCAGCTGCTGGGCACGCGCAAGAGACAAGGAAATGATGGCACAGAGGTTCAATCCTCTCTAGTCGAAATTTCCACGGGCGGTTACTAACAAGCGATCGATTGAGCGCAAAAAACCACCCACTTGGATCCCAGCCCACTGAACCTGCGCCTCTGCTATTTTTTGGTCTCCACCAGCTCCAGCTCTAGCCGCTGAGAGAGAAAAAAATGGAAAAATCAAGGCTGGAACACCTGCATCGCATACGCACCACCGGGTCGCCTGCAGATGCCTGAGGCAGCGTCTAATGGATTGATCTCTTCTACTTGTATACGGCGCATGTATTTTGGTTTTAATGTTTGAATATCCGACCTGTAACTGTTTGCTTTGCATCGCCTCCAATCTAGTCTACAGCGCGCCGAGGTCTGGCATTTATACGTGATTGATTGGATAAGGCATGATATGATGTTGATGACATGACTAGGTAAGTTGTTAGTACTAGTAGGGCAGCGCAAGGTGATATCATAGCAGCTGGCGAGAGGCAAAAACCCGGCCAGTCGCGGATACTGCAAGTGTCCCGTTGATTCGTGTCATATGCCCATCCAGCCATTGGCCCATTACACGCTGCGAACTGCCGCCTGTAATATCTGATCCATTCCATCTGTAATAATGCTTCTGCAAGACATGGAGATCTAGATACAGGTGAAGCTGCCCACTCAGAGCTGCATGTGAGGAATACATTCGATGTGCATGTGCCCAAGTTTCCAGCCTGAAAATGCCGTTCGGCTTCCATCGCGAGCCGCGGTAATTCCTAAAGCCGATTCGTCATTATTTTCATCCTGCGAGGCTCTTGCATTGCCCGCTAAGTGGCTGCTTGTCCATTTTTATAGGTACTATAGCCATTTAAACTTGAGTGTTTGAGATGCGCACTGTGAGCCCCTCCACATCTCCAGTTCGCGAGAGCTGCTTTTATACATGCACTTGGTAAGATTGGCCTGTTTTTTGGAACATCCTTGACCAATTTTCATATGAGATTATAGTCTATATAGACATTCATACGCCCTTCATATATCTTGTACCTTCATTCACCCATATACATTAGTATTCTCTCATTACTTGACTAGTAGCGCACAGATTCGGATTTCAACTTGAACAGTCACACAACGACACGCTCAAAGACCACCGCATTCACCATCTTGTTAGTGCAAGAGTAAATTGGCCATCATGGCGGACAACTTTTCTCTCTTTACGTCTCTTCGGTATGACCCTGTTTTACTAGAGGTTGCTTCCAAGGACATCGATTACGCTGGATGGAATACCGCCAACGAGTCGTCCTTTTACATGCTCGACTACCATCGCGATCGTATGCTACGGGCAGCAACCCATTTCCAGTGGGACAAGGCTGTCCAACTTCTCTCAGGTCAGAAGGGCTTGGAAACATTGATCAAGGCAGCTGAAGAATTCATCGGTCCATCCCAAAAGACTCCTCTTCGCTTCAAAGTTGTTGTCAGCCGTGAAGGCGATATGAGCTTCGAGAAGAACAACACAGCTGCGGTTGGCATTGAAAATCTATTCCCTCTACGGCTGCCTTCACCCGGTGCTCCATCCACCTCTCAAGAACCTAAGAAAAGTCCATGCTGGGCAATTGTGCTCGACGATGCTCAAACGACATCGTCAGAATACACGCATTTCAAAACGACAAAGAGGGAAATGTACGATTCTTCGCGCCAGAGGCTTGCCATTGCGCTGACCGATGAGCGGGAGGTCTTATTGACTAACCAAGACGATGGATCCATCATGGAGGGAAGCCTGACAACGCCATATTTCTGGCGAGATGGACAATGGGTCACTCCACCAGTTTCTGCGGCCTTCAACCCGGGGGCTGGAAGTGGTGGCCAAGACGGTACCTCGAGACGATGGGCCTTGGAGAGGTGAGCTGACGAGCTTTAATTGAAACAAAATTATATAGTAGGACTGGCTAACGACAGAAAAAACAGGGGACTAGCTATTGAGCAACCAGTATCTGCGAATTCTTTGGTTGATGGCGAAGAGTGCTGGATTAGCAATGGTGTTAGGGGCTTTATTGCTGGTGTTGTCCGTCTTAGATAGTACGTGGACTCTATGATTTCAAACAGCGACACCATATTCTTCCTCGAGTGGTTAAAAAAAAAACAGTTAAACAAATCTTTAGACACCGCCTATCCATTGAAAGCAACCATATATAATTGCTTTTCTCTTCGGGTATGGTAATGATGCAAGATGATGTGATTTGCCTGCGTTATGTAGGGTATGTTCTTGGGCGGGTGTTTGGTGACCTAATCAAATGAAATTGTATGGGCAGCCCGTTTATCACCAGAGTGTGACATTTGTTTCTCTATGCGACTCGTAAAAGTTCAACCAGCTTCTGATCGGTTTCATTCGCCTTTTACATCCCGTCTTGCATAGTGGTGATCGTTGGTGATTCTACCTATTGGGCATCAATCCACTCCTAATACAGCAGAGACCTGCAGACCGGTAAGCCTGCATAATAGTGGCGGTGGCACCTCTAGCAAGCGATCCTCTAATACGCGTTAGCAGAATCGCGTCCACTCCAGCTTCTTCTTTACAACATCCACCATCTACGAATACGTTACAAGCACTGCATTCTCGAGCCATCAAAGCGACGCGCTGCCATTTTGCATGGCTGAGTTTTAATCGCTTCCTCTTCCAAGCTGATACCATTTGATGTTCCATTGATTCAGCGCCCATCTTTTCGGGATCCATCAGCCAGAGTGCGTGTGCAATCACCATGTCGCCTGATGGCGGGGTTTCAATGCAAGAAGCTATTTCAGACGGCCGTGCCAAATATGTAGCCCGGCGTTACAAGCTGGCCCTTGGTTCTTTCACTGATGTCAGCAATCATTCGCCATAGTAGCATGCCCAGTCTCCCTGCTAACTGCCTTTAGGCTATCAAGCTTTGCCCATGTGAAAAAGAAAAGAGGAAGAGGAAGCGAAGCAATTCAGTGGACCAGGAGCTCGACCAAAATGCACAGCCAGACCAAGAAGCTGCCAGTTCGCCAACACTCGAATGTGACAATCCCCTTCATATCCAAGCTCTCAACTACCGAGCTGGAACATTTGAAAAGATCCCAGACCTTCGTCGCGCGCTAGCTGATGCGCGGAGGATGATGGACGTTGCGCCATGTTCGCCCGAGGTATGCATCTCTCAAACAGCCTCATCACGCACCGCAACCTCTAATTGCTTACCTTATCCAGGGATATCTCCGGGCAAGCAAGATTCTTCGGATGGAAGACAACCCAGTAGATTCACTCAAAGTATTGACGGATGGCATTCTGACGTTCCTTGAAAGAGGCGACTTTCAAGTCGATGATCTCCGAGTACGTTTCCTTATCTTGAGCTCTTGGCCAGAGGTAGTATACTGACATAAATAAAGCGTCTTGACAAAGCTCGAAATCCCCTCAAACCGAGATTTGCCAGGATTGACCCCCTGGGTGACTTTCTGAGTCTTAGTTGGATGTCAAAGGCTCATCTACCGCCGGAGCTTATACTGGATGTTTTTGGCCGCTTGGAGCTATCAATGCTGTGGTACGCCGCATAATCCCTCCATCTATTTTGGTCAAATGCTAACCTAAAGACTTTGTTTTATCCAGCCAATGTCTGTGCGTCTCCAAATCTTGGAAGAACGCATTAACAGCGCCAGCATGTGCACAACTCTGGAGATCCCTCATTTTCACTAGTGCTCTACACCAAAAGCCCATTTCATTCGACTCCCTAAAGAAGTTGCTCTCATACTCATCGAACAATATTAGGGAGCTTGTAATAGGCGATGCTCGAAAACTACACCTGGATCGGAGGAAATTCAACGCCTTCTTGAACGCCGGAACCAGATTGGAACGCTTGGAGGTAACTAACCCATTTGAAGCCGTAGACCTCATACGACCTCCAAAGCATCTCAAATACTTGAATCTTGAAGGATTCCATCGTTACTACAGGCCTAGCCATGCAGGCGCGGACCCCTATCAGTCCTTTCTTTTGGCCATTGCTCCTAATCTAGAGACCCTAATTCTATCGGGACTGCCTAGACAATGGTTCGACGAAATGGAAGTGCCCATGATGCCTAATTTGAGAAATCTCAGGCTGTCCAAGGGCAGAGAACAACCGTGGTCGTTGTCTGTTGTAAGGAGTTCAAATCAACGACGTTTCTTGGAATCACAGGCTAACTTATTTCAGTGTGCTCTGTTGAAAAATACTCCCCAGCTCGAACAGCTCTATTTGGAGGGCCTCGCTTTGGATTGCAGGCTTCCAAGGAGCGAGGAATTCGACAACTGCTGTGTTCCCAATCTCAAGTCTGTCACCATTGTGGATACGAAAGCGATAGTATTCGAAAGGGTGGACAACAACCTTTGGCTTCAACAACGCCGATCATCTGCCCTTGAAGCGCATAGATGCGTAACCGCCTTGAATGGTGGAAAGAAACTCAAGGCTCTAGATATACAGTATTATTGGCAGTACACCAACTTTGACCAGGCGACCAACGATATATTTAGTCGCCTGTACCAAGATCCTTCATACGAGTACGAAAATCTAGAATCCTTGCGCCTCTCTCAGCTTGCCTTGTCACCAGAGTCGGCAGAGAGGTTGTTTGCGTCGTCTATAAGATCAGGAAAACTCTCTTCGTTTGACATTTGTTTTCCTCTCCCCAGCTACAGCGAGTTACTCGGGCAAACGAGTTCGGAACACATCCAGAAGTATAAGTGGCTCGAAGGGGCTAGGAGCATTCGATGCCTCGGCATCTATGACTTCAGCTTCAAGACTTATACGAATGGAGTGGATCACCCGCTGGTCCAATTTTTAGAAAAATTTCCGCTTCTGGAAGAGGTGAAGCTGGGGTCAACCAATTCTGGGGCCTCGGAGTACATGCTCATGGTCGAAGATGTTTTGAAGTACGTGAAACTGAAACGAATAGAAGTTGCGAATATAGCTGGCGAATATTTTGATAGAGTTCGGCGGATGGCGAGACAAGAGGGCGTCAAAATGACCTGGGAGGCGCAGGAGCCAAAGTGGCCTAGGGACTTCAAAGATGACTAGACATAGAAGGAGAGAAGCTCTTGCACTCATTTATCGGTGTGATTTTCTTGAGATGGAGTACGGGAAACTTGTGGCATTGATGGTAGATCAAATTGGATACATGCAGCATTAACAGCGATCGGTATGATGACAGAATACGCATATTTTACGAGGATATCCAGGGCAATGGTTAGCGGGATAAATATTTACACTTTCAAGGAGTTGCCATCGTCATCGTATGCATTATTCCGATAAATCTCCTTTGTCCTCCCCTTTTGAACTTGGGATGGGAAATGGTGAGACTCATCTTTACGCTTCCGTCGATTCCCTTGCCCGAAACTTGTCTGTTTCTGTCTTCTTCCATTACACGGCACATTGTATGCTATACATCGGGTAGCTGAGAATAGCGGTGAGCATTCTGTTAATTCACTGAAGTTTTCGATATGGTTAGAGCTGGATAGGCGCATAATATGCCCTCGACGTGCGTCACCACCTGAATGAGACAGCATTCACTCTGCCAGCTATACTGGTAGTTGCTGGATGTGTTATATCTGTTGACTACTCACCAGTTTACTTGGCTATATAAACTCTGCTAACTACCTCGAGTATGGAGATCTCTTTGTCTCTTCAATTTACTCATTACGACAGAGATTTTACAGACAACATGTCATGATATCATATACTTGACATGTCTTTCCTCAGCAATATAGGCTGCGAACAGGCAAACAAGGCCTTTTACACACATACAACGACATCGTGTTGCTATATGACTTCGCAATCTTTTTGCAAATCCGTCTCTCCGGCTTGTTGTTGAATCTTCTTTTCGCGACATCCAACCTCTCTATTAAGACAACATACCGAGACAGGTAAGCTGGCTGTAGAGTCTCCATTTTTGAAGGGAGAGAGCTCCGTAATCGCTGTGTACGCCCCATTGATAACCGACTTATGTGCAGCGACGGCTCCCTTATTCGCGCAAAACAGGAGAACACGCTCGTGGAATACAGAATTTCAAATACAGACTACATACCCATATGCGGCTCTCGATTTGCTAAGTAGAAACGCAGATAACCGGTAGCTGCCCAGCGACTAACACAGAGAAGAACACTTTCAATCACCGAACTACATATACAGAGACATTGAACGCAAAGGAAAGGCGAGAACGACTGCTCATCTACACGAGTATCCGAGTATAAAGAGCTCCAAAGGACTACTATGAGATCCATGAAGCTCGAGGATCAAGTACGTGAGCTATTGTTCAACTTAGACAAGAGCCAGCTAGAGAAGCTGTGGAAACTTCACAAGTTCATGAGTCTTGACGACGACTAACTAGAAGTGTTACAGAGATTGTACGACAGTACGTAGACCAACGCTGATACTATTATCTGACACTTCGTCCAACAAATCTTGCGACTTGGCTGGCACGCATAGCGAGGAATCAATTCCCCCCGCCGGGAGTCGATGGGTGCCAACGAATAACAATACTTCTAAAGCGGACTAGAATACACTGTCAGCAGCTCAATCTAACTCCGCCGACTATTAAATTATGTGCATGAGAGAGTGGAAGATGAGATGATTTACACGTCGACAGATTTTTACTACGACGACGACGAGCCAATATGGGCGTCAACAGAAATTTACTACGATGAATATCACCCTATATGGGCCACCGATCAGATACTTGTTCTACCGTCAAGGCAACTATACTCGTATAATATCATACCTAGTCTGGATCTTCTGACATCTGCTACAATCGCTACCTCATTCCAGCATCTGATATTGCTGCCACTTCTTCTGGTGTCTGTGATAACACTACTACATTCGAATCACGAGACGCTTTCAACAGGTTCAAGATACTGGCCGCATGGATTTCACGCTGTCAGATAATCATAGAGCCCGCGTGGATGTACACGACTGGACTCGAGGAGCACTGTACGTGGCCGATATGAAAATCGTGAATGGAAGAAACGCGTACTCGGTCACGGTTCATCAACGAGTCATCGCAACATGCGCACAGAAGACAGAAGCCGTCGGTCTTCTTTTTGACAAGCTAGACTCTCTCGGCCACGTTTTCCTCAGCAGCAAAATGGGTCTTGGAAAGACCAAAACATTCGCAGCAACCGTGGAGGCGATGGCACGAGACATTGAATCTCGGGCCTCGCCTGGCGACGCGGTGTATCTTCCTACTCTTGTGCTTAACCCCGTGCCCGCTATTCATCAGACGCGCGCCGAATTCAAGCGCAATTTCCCTGGACTGAACGTTGTCCTTTGTTACTCTGTGAAGTCACAGGTGCGTAAATTCGGCGGAGCGAATGTGGTAGAAAAGGGGCGCCTTCAACCACATGATGCGGCTCCTCAAGTGAGAAAAGGATGAAGACGCCTCTGTTGAGTGGTAGTTTGGAGAAATGCAAAGTCTATCTTTCTTTTCTGGGTTTCTTTCCATTTTCGGTATTTCGGTTAGGGCTCTGGTTCCCTAAGGGTTGCTTGGCAGTCAAAGGACGAAGAGGGGAGGGACTACTAGATCTATCTACATCTACTAGATCTATCTATATTTACCAAATCTATCTACATCTACTAGATCTATCTACATCTATTATTACATGATACATCTGAAGAATTCACACGACGTCTTTGTAGTCGCTGGTATCGATGGTGAGGTCCACGGTTCCCTGCTTCTTGTCAGGGAGCTTCACATCTGCTACCATCAGGTTCTCGGAGACGGATCCCGTGGCGAAACCTCATTTGGGTCACGGGCACACCGGCAATCAGCTCGGCCTGCCGCAAACATGTTATTTGTGGACGTCAATGACGGTCAAGAGAAGAGACAGATTGCCAGGGTAGTACCCTGTATTAACTCATGTTTGGCTAGATTTCTACAGTAGCTCAATGACTGAATGACCATCGCAATGAATTCATGTTTACCCCCTTCAGGCCCTATCCAAATATACCCATAAGAAATTCATAATAATTCAGATCGGAACTCCAATCTCTGCCTTGATTTTCTCCAACCTCTCCAGAAACTCCGATATTACCTCGCTACTCTCAGAAATCCTATCAATAACGCCCGCGGATGTCCTAACGCAAAGCTGATTGTCCTCCACATACCAACACAGCGACTCCTCTAGAGCTCCCTCCAACCACATCTCATAAACGGTACATAGAGACTTCTCATCGAGACGAAGAATGAACTGCATTATACCTGATCCAGGATACTTCAGCTCAACCTCCATAAACCAAACCTTCAAATATCTGGGGGCTGTGTTTGGAGAAGTCATGGCTTGACGCGCAATATCTCGGATAAGCGCACAGAATTCTGGAGGAAACTCGCCATATTGGCCCTCTTGGATAGTAACCCCAAACTTGGCCATTGCCATTTCGAATACCCTGGTATGATCCCAGTGTGTGGCCAGGTATAGCAGAGCGCGGTCTCGAACGCTTCCCTCCCAAACTGCCAAGTTGTCCACCAGCATTTGCGAAACGCATTTTGGCAGACGGGGATGCTGGTTCATGATGATTCCGGCCACTGCTCTGTGAACCGGCTTTGTGCCCCCAACCATGGCGGCCACGCTGTTGAATATGACATCTGGCACTCGCCCATCATAGTGCTTTTGCCCCTTGGACGCCAATTCCGCCAAAATGTCTTCTTGGCTGCTGAAATAGGCGGCAAGAATGTTCAAGATACTGTAGCGGATGCCTGGGCCCGCGAGAATCTTAGAAAGTTCCTCCAAATGAGTTCCGTCGAAACCATTTTGGCCGAGAACTTCGAACAGGATGTCGACTACCAAAGTACCCAGACCGAGAGTGCTGAGCTCATCGCCCGGATATTTTGGACGACAGAGGTACTCCAAGATAACGCTTTCGATGCTCTCCAACTTCTTTGTGCAGTTTGCATCGTATAGCCCATCTTTCCAACGCTGAAGGGCCTGTCTTATCATTTCTTCTCTGTTGTCCTGGGGCACTTGTGTCTCCTCCGTTTTGGAGTTATCAAGAATAGCTGTGCTAATGTCCAAGGGCTTCATAGTCGTTGTCAAGTTTATCAGCGCTTCCTTAATCTTTTCAGGCTCGGCATATACTGATCTCATAGCAGTGCCTCTGTGTATTTTCGGATAGAGAGACTGATCGCGCGCCAATCTCTTCAAAAACTCATAGGCGTCTGATGGCAAGTCCAACATGGTCCTTAGCTCTGCCAAAACACCGACTCTAGTCTCATTATTGCGGACGTGTAGACAATCCAGTAAACCTCTTACGACCAAAGGATTGTACTCTGTCTCAGCCCTAGTCTCCGCAAGCTTCCATACAGTGACCGCAGCGTGTTGGTAAATACGCCTGTCCGAGTGGTCTAAAAGCTTAGAGAGAAGCGACATTGCGGCCGGAGTTGGCCGTGGCGTGTGCCAAAGGAGGCTCATTGTTGCAAAACTCAAGTTGAGAGTATCTTCATCGTACTCGTCTGCATCAGCGTCCCCGTCTGCAAAATCCCGAGACCACTCAACTACAAGGTCTACCAAGCTGGGAGAAATTCTCGGCCGTGCTATGAGCCCTTGGGCAAATTCTTCCCGCAAGCTTCTCCTGTAAAAGTCTATGATAACGGCTGCCTCTTTCAGAAGCCTTTCGGGGAATTCTGTCTCTCCCACCAGCTGGCGCACCGTTTGCCGGGAGATCTGAGACTCCAAGATGAGCCAGTCTATCATTTTGAGCTCCAAAGATTCGCGAATTTCCACAGATGAAGTTGGTTCAGACGTGTTGCTATTAATCTCTGCCAGGCAATGCATAGTCAACCGCAAATGGGCAGGACCAAGCAAGTCCTTTGGCTCTTCTTCTATTGTCTGGAAAAAACGACTCAATGCCTCTTCATCGCGCTGAAGTTGGATGGTTCCAGCAACAAAGCGCCAGAAGACATCGTAGCTCGAGTTATACTTCTCCATTTGTAGGAACGTCTCTGGTTTAGTTGGTGTTGCTTTCTTGCTAGTGTAATCAAATACTATTAAATCCTTCTTCGATATCCAGTGTTGTACAAAGAACTGTGCGGCAAACAACTCCTGGAACGTCAAATGCAGGAAGTGATAGCTTCGGGTGGTCGGCGTCAGTGGTCCGTCAGAGGTGCGAAGGAACGAGAGCTTATCCAAATCGGTGAACCATGATTGCATTTTAGCCATAGGGAGGTTGCCTGCAATGATGCTCTGCTGATTGTGGAATGTCGCGAGAACGGCCGGATCGAATTCAACCATGTTGTTGCAGAGCCCGGTGAATGAAAGCGATTGAAGGGCATTGATCTCGGCTTGACAAAGAGTTCTGATATCGTCCGAGTAAGAAGCTTGTGCTTCGTGTTTCAGCAGCGGTTCAGTACTGCCTTCGCGACGTTTCCCCAATAATTCCACGTCCTTGTTCCAAAGCGACCTCTCAATGGCGTGGTATAGTTCGGTCATGGTCTCTGGAGGACTGTTGCCGTCCAACATCCCAGCCATCATGCTGTAGCAGATGGCGTCAAGCTGGATCGGAATACGGGCCAACCCAGCTACCACAGGATGGCTCTCGATGAACGAATAAATTTCGCTTGCTCTCTCACTGCCATGTCTTCCTATATATTGCTTCACTTGATTAGGGTAGAAACCGATTGTTTCGAGCTCCAGGTCAATTTTCTGGAACACGTCACGGTTGACACCTCGCGGGCGTGTGGTTATAATGACCCGACTCTGATTGAGAAGTTTGAGAAGAAGTTCATTACCAGAAGAGTGTAGCTCTCGATGAACTTCATCGAAGCCGTCCAGAATAAAAAGCGTCCTACTGGGGTCGTCCGTAAACGATCTTCCCAGAGCCTCGCCGAGAGTACCTTTACCAGCCCTTTCAACATCGGGGAGAGGTCGGTTCAGAATATCTGCGATAGATTGCCCTGAATCTAGGCTACTCCTGATCTGGCGTAATGGAATCCAGATGACTCGATCAAAGAATCCAGCCCACATGTCCTTGTGGATGAAATCGTAGACCATCTTTTTGCAGAGAGTGGTCTTGCCCACGCCGGCTTGGCCACGGATAAGAATTCTTCGGGGTGGACCTCGGAGGATATTGTGTGATCTATCTTTCTTCCCATCAAAAAGAGTTTCCAAGCTAACACGGTCGGCCTCTGGTGGCTCCCAGACATCCAAACGACGGAGAATAGAAAAGGGAGAAGGTAGACGAGTATCGGAATCCCTGTTTTGATTCGAATCCATGGGGTTTCTAACAATAGCCAGATTTATATAGCATTCGTCTAGAGAGAGCTTGCTACTATCAAGGCGTTCGATTTTGAGCAGGTCTAGATCCGGGTCCGTATACTTATCCCGTAACACTTGATCTGCGTAAAACTCCCGGACCTTGTGACAACTTCGCCATGCGTTATCCAGTAATTGCTTTCGGGGTGGATGGGCCTTGGGTTTCGAGCGTTCTACATTGCTCAAGTATGTTTTGCGACGCCCGGATCTTGACAAGTTCGGGGAGTCAAGTTGCGGCGATCTGGTAACCAGCCGAGCCCATTCGAGTACACGACAGAACTTGGTCTGACTTGCTTGGGCGATAAGAAACGTCGTGAGAACGTTGACTACTTGGTCATGTTTCAAATCGTCTGCCAGTTCAAGCTGTGCGCATAGGCCACAGAGGAAATCTTTATCTTCGCGACAAGGCAGGTCTGGATGCTGAAGCAGAGCTTCCAGATGCTTTGGAGCATTTGCCCAAACCAAGCCATCAGTGGCTCGCAAAGCGACATACCAATCCTTGGGTTTCTTCAGCGTTTTGAATGCTTTACCCGCGTTGGAAGCGTTCTGAAACAATTCGCTGCATGATTTGATGGCCTCGATGATGGAGCTTATCAACTCGGGCACTTCCGTCAAGTCGACCAGTCCCTCAAGAAGCTTCGATGGATCGAGAGACCAAACAGAGCCAGCAACCTTTGCGCCGCCCAAGATGGTCTTGAAAGTGCTGGCTCCAATCTTCTTCCAAGGACACACGTCAGTTGGAATGGCCAGCAGCGCCTGATAGGAGTAACTCGCGACCTCGGCCAGACGAAGCTCTTTATGATCTCTGAGCTTCTCCAGCCGCTTCAGCAAGCTTTGCACTTTGAGATCAACGATGCCCCCCACCTTGACTTCATTCATAGCATCCAAGACTGCCGAAAGCGCGCGTATCGAGTTGTACTTTGTTTGACCATGAGCTGCATCAACAGCACTGTCCAGTGCGCTCTGGATCGAAAGCATGGCACTCCCGAGATTCAATCTCTTTCCAGCCAGCCCAGCCTGGCGACAGTGAAGAAACGCCTCGAATGCGCGTAGAAGCTCAACGTCCACGATCTTGCCGTCCACCGCAGCACTTGCGATAACATTGTGGAATCTGTCGAACACACGTACATAGTCGTCTTCAACGACGAAAGGCGCCAGCGGAGTAATTTCAATGGCATGTGCTTCACTCGGGCTCTGGATAAACTCGTTGATCACGGACTGCTGTAGGGCTTGCAATGCCTGCAATTCCCTGGCAGAGCGGGCGGTTGGCTGCCTCTCAGCCGCATCTTGCTTCGATGGCTGTGCTGCAAGGCTCAACCGGCGACAAAGATCATCCGTGCATGTTGGCCGACAGGAGCCCTCTCTAGAACTCGCCATCAGGAGCGCATGTCAGAAGTCCATGTTGCACTTCTGCGACTGACAGTGGTGAAGCGAACTTCTAGCTGTCGTCGCCTCGTGACAGCTCCAGCCGCTGTTAGTGGCTTCTGTGAATTTCCAATAGTGTCCTGCAGGGTTTCAGCTCTGAATACAGAGGAGGCGTAGCAAGCGGAGGTCAGGAAAAGCAAGGCCGCAAGATGAATAAGTGCATACATTCATCAATATAAACGCTCAATCAGCTCATTGAATAGTTCTTTTATAACGAAAATATATGCAGCTAGCATCCGAATTTAACTATATAACCATAGTAGCAGGTACTAGAGAAATACAGATATAGTAGCATATACTTAAAAAAAAAAAAAGAACAGGAGTTTAACTTAACGCGTGGGTGTTTGTAATCTTCCCAGTCTTGGTTTTTCTGTCCTCTGCTTGCATAGGCAGTATTTGAAGATCCTTGAAACATAAATTCACAATCCGCCATCAATGGCTTCGATAAAATCTACTCAGATAGCATGTTGGATACTCCAGTTACGACAAGCCGGTCATGAGCAGAGGATGGATATCACAAGTTTCTTCTATTTACGACGCATGCTACAAGGCGATGCAATACTCATATCATAAAGCTTCGTTGCTTCCATCATGTCCGCCCAACCTTGAATGATAATACCTGGAGTGCATCTGTCAGTAACTATCTCTCTCAGAGCGGCCGATAGTGTATTAAGCTCACATCATTCTTCCCCACGGCAACGACATCATCTTCAGATACCCTCATGTTTCCAACTCCTTCCACAAACGCAATCGGCGCATCGCCCATCACTTTCCGAGCAACGTCACCCACTGTCAACCCCTTCTTCACCAATACGCAATCTCTAAAGACAAATTTGGATTCGGACGCTCCAGAGCTAAACGTCGTCGTGTTTCGGACGGGGAAAACGGGTACCAAGCCGAGCAGCTCAGCTGCCTTGGACAGCACCTGTACGACTCCAGTCGATCCAAAGCGGTAGAGCACCATATCCTTTAGATTTTCTATCCGATTTCGGTTCTTTTCGTCAAGTTCTTTGAGGCCGCCGCCTGTAGGGTCACCTTGCTCGATGAGATCCTCTCTCGTATCGACAAATTCGCTACCCTCCACGTATTTGATGTATCCTTGCTTCGCCATTTTCCTCAGAAAGATTTCTGAAATGGCCGAACAGAGCACAACCGCATTAGGGTCCTGCATCTTGGCAATCTTGGCAATGTTCTTATCTGCGTCGGGATGATCGATCTTGTTTAGCGCTATAACCGTCGGGAACTTTTCGTCGATGAAGCAGTTGACAATGTGTTCAATCGTTTCGTCTGACCACTCCTCCAGCGGCTCCTTCACGCCTGATCGATCTATTGTCCGCTGCACCGTTACGGTTGTGGATCCGTAACCGGAAAACTGGTTTTGTAATGTCTCGACGGCCGTCGCCTTGACCGCGATATGCCGCCGCCTGATGCCTCCCCATTTCTGCATCAGGTTGCCCAGGATCCATGCAACAACCTCGCTGCGCAGCCAGGCGATATCGACCGAAGGATCGTAGCCTCTCGTCTCCTTGCCCTCCGCATCGACCGTTCCGGACGCATCAACGACGTGAATAAGCGCATCGGCATGTCGTAGATCGTCCAAGAATTTGTTTCCCAGGCCGCGGCCTTGATGCGCACCAGGGACTAATCCTGCGACATCTAGAAGCTCGATCGGTACGGATCGTCGGCCGTCGACGCAAGATCCGTAGTTGGGCTTGCATCTGTCTGATAGCTGGAAGCGCGCGCAGGCGCAGTCGATCTGAAGGTATCCTATCGCTCGCTGAGGATCAATGGTGGTAAATCTGTCGAACAGGAACAAAAGAGTATGTCCAAGTCAGCTTCGCGAGCTTTTATTCTAGTGGGAATGGGGTAAGGTGGGCGACTATTCACGGGAAGTTGCCTGCACCAATGGATGTTAGCCTTAGTATAAGCATCCACCGCCAGATGAGCGACGGCTCGTCTCTTTGCTGTTCTCTTTGCTTCATTTCTCGGTTTAATAGATGGGCAAATGAATGAGGCTACTGACCAACTTTAGAGGAAGCATCTGTCAAGCTGTTGAGCGTGCTGCTCTTGCCGGCAGAGGGCTTGCCTACCAGCCCGATGAGGGGATCGCGAGGCATGGCGGGGCGCGCGCGAAATCTCGACTGGGAGGATGTGAATGAAGATGATAGAATACAATGATATTATTGAATTGGAAAGTAGAGAAGCTAATGGCAATGAATCTATTAATGATGAGAAGAGCCGGAATGCGTAGGGAGACTGTGGGAAAGATGGCAGATATGATATCGCAAAAAAAGATTTAAAAAAAAAAAATCGGATCGGCAATATGCAAAAAGTTGGCGCAAAGTGGGCGACGCTTGTGACGAGCCGGCTGCTTCTGATGTCGTTCAATGTATCCAAGTGGTAAGCATGGCTGCTTCTGATGTCGCGCTGATAAGACAGTTACCTATTGGTAGTAAAGATTTACACCAAGATATATGTACTTCCAATCTGCCGATACTAGCCCCTCCAAGCTCATTTACTTCAAGATACTTCCATACTAAGCAGCTTGTATAACGGACGATTGAGTTTCATCTCCAACAAAGCAGATCATCACCAACGCCTGATCTTTCCTCGCTCAAGCAAACCTCTCAAGATATCTCACATTGTGATATGGCGCGTTCGCAGTTACCCATCGAGGCTTTCCCAGCCTGGGCTGCCCTGAACAATGTAGATTTTGCAAACGCAGAAATACGCAACATTGAGGGCAGAGGCCTCGGCCTTGTTGCCAAACATGATCTCACGGATGCGGGCCATGATGCTCCGAGCTCACAAGCGATCATTCGAATACCTCGGGATCCTGTTTTATCTGCAGAAACAGTAGAGGAATATGCCAAGGTTGATCGGAATTTCAAGCAGCTGCTCGATGTTGCTGGGCACCAAGTAGGTATCAGAGCTCATCCGTGGCAGAGTCCACAAGACGACGACGATGCTAATATCTGGAGAGAGCACCAGGGGCGATATCATGCTGTATCTTTTGACTCACATTATCCAATCAAAAGAAGCTTCTTCAAATGCCAGATTATTTGCTTCAACGCCGTGGACCGAGTATATCAAGTTCTTGCCTCAATACATCCCCATCCCCACCATGTGGACGAATGACGAGAGACAACTACTCAAAGGCACATCTCTTGAGGTAAATTGACATCCCCCATCTACTTCGATATCAACCTATCGGGGATTTTCCTATGTTGACACCCAAATGCCGCTCTCAATGCATGAAGCCGCAGCAGTCATGCAATGATGTACTGACAATCATACCACACAGGCAGCGTTGAGTGCCAAGCTATCTGCGCTTTCACACGAATATGATGAGATTAGCGAGCAAGCATCAAAGATACCCTTTTGGTATGATCTTTTCTGGGACACTGCAAAGGTGGAGGATTGGATCCTAGCCGATGCCTGGTATCGCTCACGATGTTTGGAGCTTCCTCGAGCCGGCCATGCCATGGTACCTGGACTGGATATGGCGAACCACTCACAGACCCATTCTGCGTACTACGATGAAAGTTCTGACGGCGATGTGGTACTACTTCCAAGTTCAGGGTCAAGGGTATTATCAGGTGAAGAGATTACCATCTCATATGGAAAGACAAAGTCACCAGCCGAGATGCTGTTTAGCTACGGCTTCATCGACCATGACCCCTCTGTTAGGGAACTGGCACTACACGTCGCTCCGTTACCCGACGACCCTCTAGGAAGAGCCAAACTCCGCGTTTACAATGGACCCCCCACGGTTCGGCTATCTCTGACAGAGCAAGGCGTCCAGTGGAACAGCCCTTTCCTATACTTGCTAGTTCTCAATGAGGAAGATGGTCTCGCTTTCCGCATAGCGCAAGACACGTCAGGGGAGCGCCAACTGAAGCTTCTTTGGCAAGACGAAGATATTACGGACCAAACTGACGATCTTGAATCGCTTGTGCAGAGCCACGACCTGTACCAAGTGTTTAAGCTTCGAGCTGTAGCCGTTCTGGAGGAGCGGGTTGCGATGCAGCTGGACAGAATCTCCTCCGGACTCTCGTACGGGGTAACGGAGCAACCACAAGCAGCAAATCAGCCGCGTGCGGAGTGCATGCTAGCGGCTGAGACTTTGAGAGATCTTGAAACCCAGGTCCTGCAAGGTGTGGCGGAGGCGCTAGAAAACGAGGTACGATATTTTTCTTTTTTTCCCTGCCCTGTCCCTCTCTCTCTTTTGGTGGTTTTGAGGCACGCTTCCCTGGTCCATGGGATTCCGATGGTCCGGGGTCCAGCCAGACGGCGGCAGATGGCTATTCCCGAACAAGACCAAGTCCTCAGTTTCAACCACAAAGTCGTGGATAAATGCTAATGCGACCACGTAATATCACAGAAAGCAAGGCTGCTTCTGGACGCAGGCGTAGTGACATATCTCGGGTCTATGGAAGATGCCCAAAACGAGCAAGCGTCTGAGCCAGCAGCCAATGAAGACGACGATTTCAGCTAAGCGGCCGAAATAGCCTGGCGGCGTGGGATGAACAGCCGGGGACGCGCTGATATAAACTCTAGCGTGGGGATCGACGATTGATCAGGGAGATGTTTGCGCCGGCTTGACCCGACAGGGAGAGGCAGTGAGAAAGAGGGCAACTATTGCTTGTTGGCCCTTTGACGCTTTTCCAGTCGAATTTGTATCGTGATTCCGCTCGACAAGCTAGCGCTGAGCTATTGACTGAAACGGAACTAAAACGCGGGTTGAACATGCGATCAATGCAGTGTAAGTGAATGCTCAACGGCCTTGTAGATTTGGGCAACCAGGTCTCGGTCATGAACATGTTGAATAGAACTGGAGAGCCGTCTGATATCTGGAGATGTTTGATCCCAAAAGATTGAATGGATTTCATATCGTGGTCATCTTCCGTTGTGTTTGTCTGTATGACATGACAAAGACGCTGGGATGATTTTAAACTTCAAGTTCTTCCTTCCATGCCACCATTTCGAGCGTGGCTGACGCTTCGAACCTTGAGTTGGGGCAAACGAATGCCACTAGCACCTCGGTCTTGGCACAAAATACGGGGAAACAAGTGCTAATCAATGCCATGAAGGATAATAGATGTGCCGACGAGCACTAAAAGTCTCCCATCTGGTGATGATCGGGTATGCTGAACGCATGGGAAGTGGGAGGATGAGTGTGTCCCGGGTGTGAGTGATTAAGCCAGGGCTTTTTGTGGCCTAGGCAAGATGGCTGCAGGATCAGAGAGAACGCGGCACCTCACAGCTAAATGCTAGAACCGAAGAGTTGCATGGCTCAAACACGCTCTCCTAGGCTGCATTGAGTCAACTAGGTATTCTTCACGTCCGTTCATTTCGGTGTCGCGTGGCCCGAGCTGGGGCAGAGAAGCAAGCTGACGGTATCCCAGGCAAGGGTCCGAGGCTGCCGGCGAGTGTCCGCTGCCAGTCGGTGGATAAATCTACGCCGATTCCATTGAAGTGAGATGCTTGGTGAATCCATCTGTGCTGATTCCGGTGCTGCCGTTTTTTTCTCGCGTGCGTACAAATAGATAGACAGGCGATAGCATCATCACGTTGTCGAAATGGCCCCTTGAAGAGGTCACGTTATGGAGGATGAGGCGAAGGCGAAAACCGCTGCAGCAGTACCCTAATCAAAAACCTGCATTCGGTACCCAGGACATCAGGACATGTATCCTCACAGTGGCATGAAACAGTGGCCGTTGGACAAACGCCACCACGTCCTTCGTAGTTTCTTAAGCCCGCTCCCATCTCCCGTTCTTGTTGGCCGAAATGTCAAAAGCAGCACAGTACGAGTGCGAGAGGTGAGAGGAGCTTGCTCCCCGGCTTTTCCCACCCCGCACTATGTGCGCCTTAGGGGGGCAAACCGCGGGAAATCTGGGGTAAATCAGGCCATGAGTCGAGATTTCTTCGGCGCTAGCTATCTGGCAAAGACTTGGAATCCGTTCTAGAGCTCGAGGGCCCTTGCGTGGGCTGGTAAGACTGCAGCGTCAAGGTGTCGAGGAGGACATGGACGTTGTTGGGACAATGGGTTGCATTTTTCTGACTGCGCTCGCTCGACCTGCATCCCCCGTCAGGCCCCGTACATCGGCCAGCCCTCGACTGGACGGACGGCCCATGTGGGTATGGATGCGAGTACGGCGGTCGGGCTAAAATGTCGCGATGCTGGGTCAGGGTTCAATTCCTTCAGCCAGCGAGCCTCACGTCGTAGAGTAGGTACACGTACGAGCAACGATGTTTGCGCAGGGTATGTCGTCCATCTGCCGGAGCAGCCAGTCGCTAGCATCGTTCCCGTGCAAGTGCTAGAAGGCAAACCCTTGGTGAGCTAGCACATACGAGCCCAGGTACCTACTCCGTGCCAGCAACTGGATATGGATATGGTCCTGGTCACGGCCATGGATTAGTAGATCGAGAGAGTCATGGCTAAGGCATGCATGTACTGTACAGTACAGGCAGAGCCGGGGGTGTGGGCGACCCTCGCATCTCGTGGCCTACCAGGGGGGCGACTAGTGAGCCAGCGCAGTGCAGAAAAGAAAAAAGACACCTGGAAACGACCTACGTCAAGCCCGGGACTGATGACAGCCCCAACGAAAGACGGCGGGTGGAGCAGGCTGGCCCGGCTCTGTCCAGTCACAGCGGCGCGGTGCCTATTAGGGCGTGCGGCGTGCATCAGCAATTTGGGTGCTTTTTTTCATGCGAGCAAAAAGAGCAAAGGGGGGACCAAGGGATTCCGACGGCAAGGCAGAGGAGAGATACCGTCGAGTGGGTTGAGAGGATTGAGGCCATCTCCAGGCGAGGATGCGGTGGTTGCAACCACTTTGCAGCCGGCTGCGGCAGGTACCGGGTCCGTACCTCCCGGGCGCTGGACGTATGCAGCACTGACACCCAGGGGACTTGGCGGCGCCCTGCCTGGCACCCAGCCCAGCCGTACCTGCGCACCCAGCCAGCGGCGCTACCTTGGTAGTAGTACAGGGTGCTAGAGCCTAGAGCTAGTATAGTAGCAGTACCTAGAGGCAGCGCCTTGGTCAGAAGGTTTGCGCACTAGCCAATCCCCTTCCCCGGGATTTAATTGCCTGCGCTGCGCTGTGCTGTGCGAACTTCCACTGATGTTGCAGCGCTCCTTTCCACGTCCACGTCCACGTCCTTTTAGGCTCCACTTCGCCATTCTCTTGTCCTGGGCTCGCTCTTCCATTTCCCTTTCCCTTCCATCCTTCCACACCCCCCACAATATTCTTCACTCTCTGCTGTACTTGCATTACTTCTCCAGCTGACGACCCGAGTACTCGTACTTGTCATTATCGAACGCGACAACGACTCTCATTGGTATTGCGACATCTTCGCGCCTCTTGGAAACCAAGCCGTGGCAACGTCGATACTTGCCCACGCTGTCTCGCCATCTGTTGCGCCGAACCACGGCTGGTGGGCGAAGAAAGCCCCAATCAGCACCTTCGCTCGCATAAAACAACGCCTTGACCAACACCGCCGAATCTTCATCTCCCTTTTCCAGTCGACGCTCGGATCGCAATCGCCACAATGCCGGGCATCCTGCCTATGAAAGTCATCAAGGTGGGCAACAGCGCCCAGAGTCGCATCGCCCAAGCCTGTGACCGGTGTCGCAGCAAAAAGATCCGCTGCGATGGCGTCCGGCCGACATGTTCGCAATGCTCCTCGGTTGGCTTCGAGTGCCGCACAAGCGACAAGCTGAGCCGGCGTGCCTTTCCGCGCGGATACACAGAGTCTCTGGAGGAGCGGGTTCGTGCGCTCGAGGCAGAGGTCCGCGAGCTCAAGGACTTGCTGGACGAGAAGGATGAGAAAATCGACATGCTCTCGACGATGCACGGCAACATTCATAACGGACCACGGCGGAGGCCTTCAGTCACATCCATGGCCACTCCGGTATCGCCAGATTCCGCCAAAGACTCGCCCACCATCAAAGAAGACACCTTCCGAGTCCAAGCTACACAATTGCTTCTCGGCGTCGAGAATTCCGACTCATACTTTATGGGCTCATCCAGTGGGCGCGCCTTTATCGGTATGTCATACTTTAGCTGCCCCACGTTCATCCAACCCGCGCGCGCACAATGCGCGGACGCACGGCGATCTTGCTTCCCCAAAGCCCATGACCAAGTTTCTGACGTCGTTTCTGTGTAGCCTCTCTCAAGCGTAAGATGCAAGACAGCGGCAAGCCTTGCAGTGACTTTACCCCAGATGCCTTCTTGCATATCCAAGGCTGCACTCCACTCGTTGCCAAGATGCCGGAGCAGCCATCAAGGGTCCCCCCTCGGCTCTTTTCAGACAGATGTGTCAATGTCTTCTTCCAAGAATGGGCCCCTCTCTTCCCCGTTCTACATAAGCCCACCTTCCTCCGTATCTACGAGGAGTTTGTCAACGACCCAGAGAGAGTCAAGTGCAACTACAAGCTTGCCCAGCTCCATCTCGTCTTCTCTCTCGCGGGCCTCTCGTCAGAGGCTCCAGACATCCAGCAAGTTGCTGCCTGCGAGCACCAATGGACGAAAGCCCTGGAGTCCCTGATGCTGGAAAACACCATGAACACATTACAATGTCTTGTGCTGGCTCTGCTGTACTGCACCGTCCGAGCCGACTATCGTCGTCTCCAGCACTATAAATGCATCGCCGTGGGCCTGTCTCACCGGCTAGGCCTGCACCAAAGCCAGAAGCGCTTCTCCTTTGGTGCCTTGACTCTCGAGACTAGAAAAAAGGTCTTTTGGACACTGTATGCCCTGGACACCATGACGGCTGCCATTACCGGCCTTCCCAAGCTGCTGAAGGAAGAGGATGTCCAAGCCGAGTATCCATCCGACACTGACGATGAATACGTGACGGAGAAGGGGTTCCAGCCCACACTGCCGGGAGAGTACACGCGCATCTCCAGCGCCCTGGCTCTGTTTAGGGCAACCCGCATCCTCGCTCGTGTCCTGGATAGGGTGTACCCTGCGGCAGCAAGCTACGACTTGTCGCTACAGCAGATTGGTGCCTTTGAGGCCGAATTAGACGGCTGGTACGATGATCTGCCGGCTCATCTGAGACTCAACTTTGCTCAGGGCAAGCCGTCGCGAGATGTCACTGGCAGCCGGTCACCTCTACTGGTAAGTGCGAAGATTGATGTATACTAGAGATGCGAAGGCACTAACAAAAGCGGCGCACTAGGCACTCACATATTATTATATTCGCACCCTCATCTATCGCCCCGTCGTTGGCTCGAACCTCGGGCCCAAGGCTGCGCCTGCGCTGATTTCCATCAGCGAGTCCAGCAAGCACATTATCCAAATCTCACAGCTTCTCGAGGAGAGAAGCATGTCGTTTTCCTTCTGCATGAACAAGTGCGATCTTCTCGCCGTGTGCGCCCTTACTCTTCTCTACCAGGCTATTGATCTGAAGCGTGACAGCAAGCTGTTGCGCGAGGATGAGCGGCTAGTCAACGACGTCCTTCAGACTCTTCGCAAGAACAAGTCGCCTGGATTCGTGGATTTGGAACGAGCCGCGAGCGTGCTCATCACCGTCACCGACCCATCAGGGCCAGCGGCGATGAACAAGCACGTCCGCAAGCCGTCGGTGGCGGCCGGCTCCCGCCGCGCGTCACCCCCGACGAGCTATCCCAAGCAACAAAACTCTCCGCCACTGGGCCAATTCCAGACTTCAGCGAGCGAGACCGACCTGACGCGGCACCAAGACAAGCGCTGGATGGGCAACATGGCGGGCCTCCAAGGCTCCAACGGAGAGGTTCAACCGGTGTCGTCTCGTCAATCATTTGATGGCCACCGACAGGAACGCCAGCACTCGGCGTCGCGGATGTCTAGGCTTTCCCCGAACGCGCAAGCAAGGCAGAATCTAGACTACCTTTCACTCAATGACACTCCTTTCCCAAACAAACACGCCACATCTCCCCCAACCAGCATGCCGGCACAGACGGTTGGGATGCAGACCAACGGCCAGAACTTTATGAACAACGGACAGTCAGCCAAGACGCCCAACATGACTGGTGCCGACTGGGAGGCGCTGGTCGGATCCATGGACAGCGGAATGAACAATGTGTATGACGTGATTTACGGAGGCGCCAGCATCGAAGCTGCCATGGCGGGACACTCGACGGGCAGCGAGTGGTCGCCAGATTCATGGGACCTGAGCAACTTCAACATTGGTGAATTCGGCAACAACCCTGCGCCGCCGCAGAGCGTGCTCAGCATGAGCGACGAGAGCCTCAGCTCAGGAGAAGAAGTGTCGCCTTCGGAACTGGGGCTGAGCCTGGGAAACATGGATTACGGAAAGCAGCTGCAGGGGGTCAACTACCACAACGGCGACGGATATTCAACAAACGGGCTGCACGGGCTGTCTCTGTGAATAATGACGTGTTTTTTTAGGCGCTATGGTGTGATGTGATGGCGATGCGAGACGCTTCGGTTTTCGTCTGGAATATGCTGCTTATCGATGTAACGTTTTTTGATACATACTTTTATGTTGGGACGGCGCACATGGCGGAGCGATATATGTTGAGGGCTTTTTTGTGTATCTTTTTTGATTTTTTTCCCCCTGCCTGCTATGACTCGGAGACCAAAAGTGGCTACAAGGCTGCCACGGGGATATGAGGGATTACCTGCCATTGGTGAAATGGATGGATGGATGGATGGAGATGATAGTTTTGAATATTTCCATTACATGATATTTCCAAAACACGCGGTCCTTTTATCGAACAAGCAGCATCAGCATCACCAGTGTGAGATTTGAACTCGACTCAGGTATTGGACGGCATCTTATCTTGGTGCTATAAATGGTCCAAGCACTAACACTAACCATGCGGCATATCAAGGGAATACCCACCAGCGATACGGCATTGATTGATTGATGTTGATATTAATATCCATTAATCCTTGACATGCAAAAAAAACCAGTTTGCCCTGATGCGTTGAAAACTCATTCCATGCTGGATTGGGAATAAGGCGACGGAGCTGACCATCAAGCCCGGCCACGATCTTGTTTAGCAACTTTCGGCACGTTGCGCAATGTCTAGACCCGACTCGAACTCGATAGTGGATGAGAGGGACCCTCCCATCTGACCCTCGGCCGGCGGAGCCCTAAAACGGCTGCTGGAAGCCGGTGACTCGCAGCGGCTGTGCAGGGAGGTGACAGGGTGATTGGGGGAGTTGGGAGTTGGGAGAGTGTCCACACAGCCTTGTAACGTAGCTCTTGTTCTGGAGATGAGATGGAATTGTTTGCCACATGCACTTGGCCATGTAATGGAATGGCCTGGCGCTTATGATGGCACCTGGCGCGGATCCATTCGGCAGGCTTGGGATTTACGCTTCCCGCAAACAAGGTGCTTATCACGGCTCACACGTCAACGGGTATCAATCAATAGTATGCGTATTACGGAGTACATGAGGTGGCTATCAAAAGAAGAAAAAAGAAAGAAAAAAAGGTGGCGACGGGCACCATGTCAGGGGGAAAGAGGGTCATGCGAGGCAGGCTGATGATATGGAGGAGTGGCCTCATGAGACTTGTACAAGTTGAGGTATGCGAGATTTGATTTGACTTTTTTGTGTTTATACTTTGTCGTGGTCTGAGTCAATAACAGTTCAGCTTTGATACCTACGTTAGACTGGTAGCTTGCAGATACCAATGGTGAGATGATGGATGGATACCGAGAGATGTGATGTGTAGTTGCGATACAAAAACGAGATGAGAGGCACCCTTTTTCTCTCGTTCTGTTTCTTCTGCTCTTTCATTCTTTCTTTCTTTCTTCATCAACTTGTTAGTTACTGGTTGAAACACACCGATAAAATAGCCTCATGCCAGTAAAAAAAAAAGACAAGAGAAGAATAAAATAGCCGGCCACTCACACACACAACACACAGCGAACCAGGGCGGTCAACGGACTACGGACTTCACCTAGACTTATATCCGCCCAATCCAACGCGGCGTGACGAACACAAGCAGCCCTCCATCAAAAGTCTCGCGCCCCCCCATCCAAAGAAGAGAAGTGGCCATTTGACCAAGCACAAGGACGCCATTGGCTTTTTTATCTTGTTCCTCTTTGTTTTTTCCTGCTTCTTTTTCATCAAAAGCTTGAATAGGAGAAGGATAGAAATACTGAGAGTATAGAATTCTTTTTTTCTTGGAAAATGACCGCTTCGCAAAGGCAGCCTCTGATGAGTCGCTTTCACCACGGCATCACCGCCCCCAAAGGTACGTACTTTCTCATTTCCTTCTATTCCTTTGAAACAAGCAAACAAACAAACAACCGAGGTTTCGAGTGTAACTATTCACACATCGAACCCTTTTTCCCGGACAAAAAAAAAAAGAAAGAAAAACTAACTTGTTCTTCACTTTGTAGCTGCGAAATGGGCCTCTGCAATCGTCTCGCGGCGTGACCCCTCGCGCTTCATCCCGCAAACCATCGCCCACCGAGGCTTCAAGGCTTCGTTCCCCGAGAACAGCATGGCGGCGTTCCGGGCCGCCGTCGAGGTGGGCGCGCATGCGCTGGAGACGGACGTGCATCTTTCCAAGGACGGCGTCGTGGTGCTGTCACATGTGAGTTGATTGTCCATGATGAAGTTGAATGAGATGAACCACCCAAAGAGAGAGTGTGTGTGAAACGGCTAATGTATAAATGAAAATTCATCTTCATAGGACCCTTCGCTCAAACGATGCTTCGGCGTCGATCTCCTCATCAAAGACTGCACCTGGTCCTACCTCTCCAGCCTTCGCACCCTCAAGGAACCCCATGAGCCGCTGCCTCGGCTGGTGGACTTGCTCGAGTATCTCGTATCTGGGCCGGAGACGGACAAGATTTGGGTCTTGCTGGACATCAAGGTGAGTGAGGCGCGTGGAAATCGAAACGAAACCAGAAAAGTAAGAACCATCTGTCTGACATCGTCGAAAATCCTTGTCTAGATCGACGACAAGCCCGAGGATCTGCTGCGAGCCGTCGCCTGTGCCCTTACAGAGGTATCGTCCGCGACGCCATGGGACGAACGCATCGTTCTCGGATGCTGGAACGTAAGTTGTCTCTCTTTGTCCACCATCTCATCATCACCAGAAACTAACAATACATCCACACGCAGGCCACGTTCATGAAAGCCGCCCTCGCCTTCCTCCCCGGCTTCCCCCTCGCCCACATCTCGACCTCCCTCTTCTACTCCCGCCACTTCCTCCCCATCCCCAACCTCGGCTACAACATGTTCCAGCTCCTCCTCGTCGGGCCCCTCGGCGGCTGGTTCCTCTCCAAGGCCAAATCCGCCACACGGCCCGTCTTCGCCTGGACCGTCAACAGCCCAAAGTGGATGGAGTGGTGCATCCGCAGAAACATCCCCAGCACTCCTCCTCCTCCTCCTCCTCCTCCTACATCGTCCTCAACCCCGTCCTCGTCCTCGGCTTCTTCCCTCTCGGCAGACCCCAAACTCGACTCCTCTCCAACTCCAGCCCCTTCCCCCGTCCTCATCGACGGCGTCATCACCGACGACCCAAGGCTCTTCCTCCACGTCTGCTCCCGCGTCGAAGACGACCTCGACGGCAAGACCGACAAGTCCTCCTCCGCCGTCACCCGCCGCCCCAACCTCGGCGTCGTCCTCGGCTCGCTCACCTCCGGCCTCGGCACCACCTGCGGCATCCTCTTCATCAACGTCTTCGCCACCAGCTTCTTCTGGTATAGGCGCCTTCAGGGCAGGGTGGATAAGTTCGACGTTGGCTTTTTCAAGAATTTCCAGACTTGAAGCGTTTAGAGAAAGCCTCATATCAGTTTTTTCTCTGAATCTTTTTTTTTCTTTTTTGTTCAAGCGGATTTGGGTTGGCCTGCTGTTAGAAACGAATTACATCTCTCCTTTTTTGCCCCTCTTGTTTTTTTTTGGTTCAGATCCTTAATGATCATTAGACTGCACACTCATATCAGAACACATAGATAAACGCAAGGCATAACGGAACAGCACATCAATTTTTTAAAGTCCTCCAGAGTTAGGAATATACCATCTACCTTTGTTCTTGTCTATATATGCCTGCACCTCCTCCGTTTGTCTTTCCCTTGAGAAGCTTCAACTCGTGATTAAAAGCTTCTTCACTCACAATCCTCCTCTCACTTGGCAGCAAAAAGGGTGATGCCTGCAATCGCGCTGAAAAAAAAGATATTGAAATTCCATTCCATTCCATTCCGTTCCGTTCAACTCCAAATATGCCCGCCGCTCTTTTCCACTAACCCGCTTCTCCCTTTTTCCCCCTCATGTATCAACACCTCATCAAATAAAAAGGGGCAATACCAGGTAAAATTAAAAGAAAAAGAAAATAGAATCAAGAGTGGGTTTAAAACATGAATCAAGAGAGCCTAGCCAGCTTAAGCGAAGGAAGCGCAGCTCAAATTTCTACGTCAATTTCCAGATCCAGCGCCCCGATAACGTCGTCATCCATGATGGGCTTGTGAATGGTCGGCAGGCCCTTGGTTTCCGAATAGTGCTTCTCTTGCAGCTTGGCCAGGTGCGGCAGCATCTGGGATGATGAAGGGCCCTTCGTCCCGTTGGTCGCTGCGCCCGCGCCGTCCTTTGGAGCCTCGGGCTTCTCGCCAACCTTTTCGTTGACGTCGTGCACAAACTTGGCCTTTGTTCGAAGTCGTCGCGAGTAGTCTTCGGAAATCACCTCTCCGCGCTTGAGCGCCATCTCGATTTCTCGCGCCTTCGCCTTTTCTTTCAGCTGAGCCTTTCGGACTGCTTCTTGGTTCAGTCGGCGATTCTCTCGGTTACGCTCCGCCAGCCTGTCTTGTTCTGACGACGCCTTGGTGGCCTCTGGGTTTTTGGATGGGCCCAAGCTGGTTTTGAAAGCAAGGCGCTCTCTGCCGAGCTTTTCCAGCTCTTCCTGTAGCTCCTCGGCCCTTTGGTCATCGCCTCGTTGGGCGGCTTCCTCGGCAAGGTTGGCAAGTCGTTGGCGTTCCTGTGGATCGAATCGTTTACGAAGCTCGTTGCGCTTTGCCAGCCTAGCCTTGATCTCTTCGTTCGTCCATTTGTGATTGATCAACGCATTGATATCGTCAATCTTGTCTACAAGGTAATCTTTTGTAGGTAATGTGACGCCATCATTGTGACATGTCACTTTGTACCGATTCAGTTCACCCTGCAAGTCGAGACTGTCAGCACACTTCTTCACACATGAGAAAAGGGGGTAAACCGGAAAGATCATACCTCTGTGAATTGGCCACCTGACGCCGCAATAAAGGGAAACTCCTTGACGGCCTTGCCGTGGGTGGCCTTGACGTATTGATCAGTGACAAACGAGCCTTGGGGGCCGTTTAGAGCGTATGGTCTGCCGGTTGTAAATCCTACAAGAAATCATTAGCACTTGTAGCAAACAGATGGCATCGGGACCATATGACTTTACCTTTAATCAATGCCATGCGATATTGCTCAATGCCGGTTTCGGGGTGGGCCCCAAGAGCGATGCGGATGTAGCACCCCGTAATGGCCGACTCGAAACCAGGAGTAGAGCACACCTGCGCAAACTCGTTGCGGCCAAGGCGGACTCGGTCGAAATCGCGAAGCTCCGCTGGCGGCAGCTCCCTAGCAGCAGCCTTCTCCGGCGAGCGATTGCGCGACTGTCCAAACTCGTCATCGCTCTCCTCCGGCTCTCTCGACTCGCGGCCATGCGGCGACATGCCGTCTCTCCGCCTTTCTCGGTCCTCCTGCCGCCTCTGCTTCTCGGCGCGCGCCCTGCGAAGGGAATCAATCGCCGATTCGCTGCCTTTGCCCGTCTTCGGTCTCGATGCTCTACGAGCGCCATCCTCGAGCTCGGTATCAGCGCTACGCTTCTTCTTGACCTGCTTGCGCTCCTCAATCTCGACGTTGTTGACCATTTGTCGTAGCAGGCGATTCTGACGCTGACGCTCTATCTCAGAGATTCGATCCGCAATAATCTGCTCGCGCTCTACTTCTCGCATGGCCATGATCTCAGCCTTTTCGGCCTCGCTCATAAACATGCCGTCAACAGGATACTTGTCATCGTCGTTGGCAGCCGGGGCAGTGGTAGAACGGCTCGCGCCGTGCGCAGGCTCGGTATCAGAGTCGGACTCGTCCATCGAAGCTGATTCCAAGGAGTTGTGTGAAGGGGCATCGGATCTGGAGAGAAGGAGATGAAAGAGCTGCACGTTAATAACTGTCCGATGACTGGCAGTAAGGGGGGCGTTTGCCAATGTGAGCAGCAACTGAGAGCCAGGAAAAAGCTATTGTTCTCCAAACGGCTCCCAGCTGCCGGGGCAGCACAATAGAGGTAGAGACTATTCACTTACGCCTCACCCTCGTCTTCCGACTCATCCTGCTTTGACCTCCGCTTCGATTTGGTCTCGGGTGACTTGGGCATCTCGTCGTCAGAGGCTGGTGGCGGCGACGCCGACGCCTCTCTGCTCGCGCTCACAGATCCCTCCTCGTCCGAGTCACCGCCCGCGAGAGCAAGGAGCTCGTCGTCGATATCAGCCATGATGAAAATCGGCCGTGGCCCCTGTCGTCAATGGCCTAGAGATGCTTCTCAGGGGGGAAGAGCGGTGGCGAGAAAAGTCCGAACGACGTCGCAGAGTTGGGAGGGCAAACGCGACGGCGCTTTCAGTCCCAAGCGGGTGACTCGATTTAACACCTCGATAGAATAGATAACAGAGCGAGAAAAAGATGAAGATGATGCCAATTCGATTGCGGCGTATCGACACGGTTGGGCCTCGGAAGCACTGGATGCGCACAGCACGTTGGGGGGACTATAGAGCGAGGAGGAAGAGAGAGAGAGAAGAGAGATTCAGCGCTCGTAGCCAGCATTTCCACTGTCCACCACTAAAGCTGCTCGCTATTGCGCTTCGCCTGGCAATTAACGCGACAGCGGCTCAACGCGGAAAAGCATTTGTCCGGGTCGGATGCTGACTGGCCAATCGGCAGCCTTACCGGTTGCAAGCCCCCGTGGCAGCAGCTCGGCATCATGCTTGCATGGTCCGAGTTCGAAAAGTCAACGATGCGGCTGTTTATTGGTGATGCAATCGATGAGCTCAGTCAATTAAAGGCCGATATCATCACACATTCTTTGAATGTTTTTCTCTCCCTAATCTTTAATTATCTACAATGGCATCAATTCGCCTGGCCAGGCCGGCCAGCAGCTTCTGCAAACACTTGATTCCTGCCGCATCTCGTCCTCTCTCCACCACCGCCGTCCTCCGAGCCACCACATCTTCGACTCCCGAGAGCTCAGCCTCCGACTTTGCAAAGAAGCTCAAGCCTCTCACCCAAGAGCAGCGCGACTATCTCTCCTCCGCCGTAAGCCTTCTCTCTCCAGCAAGCATATACTCACAGCAGCTAACCAAGGCTCCAGCTCCGAGTCAACCAGGCCGGCGAACTTGCCGCAACCCTCATCTACTCCGCCCAGAGCCCCGTCATCGTCCGCAAGCACCCTCACCTCCGTCCCCTGATGGCCCACATGTACGACCAAGAGGCCGTCCACTTCTCAACCTTCAACAGCCTCATCCACAAGCACCGTGTCCGACCCACGGCTCTCTACCCGCTATGGTCCGTCCTCGCCAGCGGCCTGGGCTGGTCCACCGCCATCATGGGCCGCGAGGCCGCCATGGCCTGTACCGAGGCCGTCGAGACTGAAATCGGCAATCACTACAACGAGCAGATCCGCTCCATCTTGGAAATGATCGCCGAGTGGGAGGCGCAAGGATACGATGTCAGCGGCGAGATCAAGCAGCTGGTGGACACCCTACGTAGGATACGAGATGAGGAGCTGGAGCATCTGGATCACGCGGTGGAAAACGATGCCAGAAAAGCAGAACCCCATTGGCTACTGACAAACGTCATAAGGGCTGGCTGCCGTGGCGCGATATGGGTGAGCGAAAAGGTATAGAATCATCATGAATAGGCTTGCAGCAGATCGTGTGTGTAAAAATAGTGCCAGTTGTATATTATAGGTGCTTTGTAATATTATATATGAGTCCATTACGGCAATAGGAAAGCACAAAGTCGAATGAGCCTTTGACAGGTCATGAAAGTCTAAGACGAAGGAATGGCGACGCTAGGGTTGAACGGCGTTCAGTTTCCCCTTTTTCCACGGTAATCAGTGTTCACCGTTGTATGCAATGACTTCTCTATCCCGCTGAAATACATATGAAAAATGATCCACTCCATCATCATTCGCTATACCGACCCATGAAGCAAAACGGGAAAATAAAAGCGAGAAAAATCGATTAATTACTGTAATGTAGTTAGCCTCGGCCTCTTCAGATGTAGATTGTTCGACGCATGTCACTTACTAAATGGTAATAGGAGCCACCCCATCCACCGGGTAACCCCAGTTACCATTGTGCTCCTCTGTAAGCAGCCAATCGTATGGGAATTCGACTAGATTTCCTTGTACCAGCTCCAAGAGCTGCTCGGCCTCGGCACGCGACGGCATTTCTTCAATCAAGAGTCCACGACGGCTCCCCTTAGTGGTGGCTCGGCGACGACGCTTGACTGGTGCACTAGCAGCTGGCGCCAGAGGAGGAGCGGCATTCGTATCCCTGGATGGCGGCTTCTCCAGGGTTGAGAAAGTCGGTCTGCGGTCTCTGCTTTTGCTTCGCGAGACTGGCTTTGATGGAGAAGTGTCCATTGCAGGGAACGGTACTTCTCCTGCAGCGTAAACAGGTGAGGGTGGTTCCAACGAACTCTGGTTGTCTGTTGCTCCATCAGTAGGCGGAGGACGGAGCGCCAATTCCTCTCCGCTGCTGCCGCGTGAATCCGGCTTTTCGTTTTCGTCGTCAGCATCGCCCTCGGGCAGCTGAATCTTAGGTTGGTCGCTGGGCTTTGCAACTACTGCCTCGTCGCCAGGAGTACGCTGCCGGCTTGCCTCAGTTTCGTCACTGGCAGATTTTCCCTCCATCATAGCACGGAACTGTACGCTGTAATCCATATATTCACGATATTCAGCCCAAGTGCCCACTTTGGAATCAGGCATGCAACGGAAAACTCTGCGATAGAGCGCTGTATTGTTGCGCGCAGACCGACCCCAGATCTCATCCACAAAGGTAGGATCCAACGGATCTTGCATACAGTCCTTGTCGATGAGAGCGGGCAGGATATCTGCAGCCATCGGATGGAACGGCTCGTTCGTTTGACGGCCTGTCTTAGGATCGATATGCGAAGGAGGGCCACCAATGTTTGTATCATCAAGGACGGGCAAGGGCACCGCTGGTGCACCTGAAGCCAGACCGGGTTGGTCAACCTTATCCGCGCCATTCCTGCTAGCTGGGGGGAGAGGTGCGCTCGAGGTACCGGGCTTATCGTCATGATCCTGGTGTGAAGTGTGGTGACGGCGTGAACTAGGAGACTGAGGATCCTGGTGTGTCCCTGAGAGTCGCTTCCCATCGTGTAAAAGGACCTCACGGCCATCAACTATAGCAGAATCTCGACCCTCATCAGTGCCTGACTTTTCTGCCGACTTCCAGTGGTCCGGGCCGTACCCCGACAAGTCCAACTGATGGCCCTTGTCAGTGACACGAGGGTCGGTTTCGGCCTCTTCTCCTTTCAATGAAGACGAGTCAAGGTCCTGGGTGGCCTCCACTGTTGCAAGATCAAGATCGTGGTTGAAGCTTGGCAAACGAAGGTTATTAATAGGCAGTGATGCACTCTTAGGGCTGGACATTTCGCCGGCAGGCGTTGCATCCTCCTCGTATATAGCGTCCATGTCCTGCTCAAAGGCGGCGTCTTCCATTTCCTCTGCCTCTCGCTCCTCCTCCAGGATTCCATCCACGTCTAGGCCAAGATGCTCTCGCATCAACCTCATCCGAAGGGTGTGGGCAAATCGGCCAACTCGGTAAGGCTTGCCGGCCATTTTGGACCACAGCATGTCGGTGTCACGGACTATGGCGGCAACTTCCGAGTCTCTGCTGCCAAGCAAGGACCGCTCGTTGATATTCGCAGAACCAATCAGCGCAATTCTGTCGTCTACGACGATGGCTTTCGCATGGATATAGAGCTGCTCGGTTACAAGAGCCTCATTTCCCATTACTCCCCACTGCCGGAGAGAGTAAAAGCTAATGTAGTCCTCGGGCTCGATGCCTGCGGCACGGAGACGTCCGAAGATGGAGTTCTCTCCGCGGCAGATGCTGCGGTATTGGCACATGACAATCAATCGGACGCTGGTACCTTCTTGTTCATCGACAGTGTTCTGGAAGCCGGGCATGAGAGGTATGATGATGACGCTTCTCCAGTCTTCACCATTTTTATGAGCGCGAATGATGCGGTCAACCAGGGCGTCTCCGATACGGTTGACGATCTTGGCGCCATACGCCTCCGTGCTTGTAATGAAGAACTGGTTCTCGATGTAAACAAAATGTTCGGATTCTTCAATCATGTGAACGTAGGCGGTTTGGATACTGTACTCAGTGTCATCAGTCCCCAAAGACCAGTTTGACGCAGACCGCAGCATTTGCACTTCACAAGTGCCTGTCAATCCAAGAGCCTCGAGGTCTTCAAATTTCGCATCGGGAGGTGGCAACAAGAATGGCAACGGCCTGGTTGGCTTTCGCCCTCGGCGGAGGTAGTTCCATCGCTGGACAAAATGGCGAGTCAAGTCTCGAGCAGGCTGTCCGACGACCTGCATGGAAATGTCGTGCCACGGCATTCTGGGAACCTTGCCCCGGTCGTACATTTCCTCGTACGGCTCGTGCAGGTTGAAAAAGTCTTGGACTCTCGGGTTTGAATAATCTTTTCCGGGGAACAGCTGTACGTGCTCAGAGTCCTTGGGCATCTCGGATGGCTCGAATCCCGTCGGCTTATCGTCGACAATAGGGTGTTGCGGGCTGTCCCAGCGACCAAAGCAAAGGTCTATACCACCCAAGAATGCGACGTCGTGATCGACAATGCATATTTTTTCGTGGTGGGCAAAGAAGAACTGGTTTTTCTTGAACTGGTTCGGGGATCGCTGAACAAAGATGTTTGGATGAAGATTGAGGAGAGAATGTTTGGTGTATTCAGAATCAATGGGGATGGCCGCTTCGACATTTCGATAGACAATCACAAAAACCTTGACACCTTCTCGTGCTTTCTTCTGGAGCAGTCGATCCAGTCGCCATTTCTGGCTAATACACGCAGGTCGGCGCATATAGAGCTCGGGGGTCAACCACCAGTCATGAATGTAGATGACGTCCCGCGCCATGTTGATGGCCCTCGACACATTCCACATGTAATCACGCCCATCGACCAGCCACTGGGCAAACACGCCAGACCGAACCGGTGCAAAGCTGTCAAACCGCTTCTTCTGATACCAGAGTGTCTGCTTAAGCATCTCGTTGATGGAGTCCTCAAACTGTCGCAACACAGACTGGTAGCGCGAGAAGAGTCGAATTTTACGGTCCGATGTGCGCATTTTCAGTGTGTGGTGTTTCTCGGGGGACGGTTCCATATCCATTTCGTCTTCGGCCTTCTTCTTCTTCTTGGAGCCAATATTCTTCAATGCCTTCCTCTTAGAAACGATGCTAAACTTGGTGTCGACGAGATAAACATCATAAATGTTCATGTTCTCTGGCGATTCCACGCACACAATGTAGCTCTGCCTGACGAGAAACCACTTACGGCTGTGTCGAGCAATGACTTTTGCCGGTGTCAGAACACGGCGGAAATCGAGACCTTTTGACATTTGGAGGTGAAGGTAGCCTTCTTTCCCATGGTAACTTCCTTCGGCAGCGAGACGAACACCCAGGGCCGACAACTCAAGGAATCGACAAAGGCGATTGCTGTCAGCCCTAAACATTAGCCACCGAATCATCTCGGAGAGATAATTCTCCAGAGTTCGTCTTTGCTTCTCCACGTAACGCTGCCTACGGGTCTCTTTATCGAGGCCAGTATTGCCCTCAGCCGTAGACATTTCACCTGCATCGGTGAAGCCGGTAGATCTTCGCCGCATGCCGAGAAAGTTGCCACGAGACTTTTTTCTTGAATGCTGGAATGGTCCTTCGCCGATATCTTCGGCAGCCGTCATCTCAGCAGCAGTCTCTTCGCCACGGCCACTGGCCTGATCGGCCGGTTCATCGTCTTCACTTTCGTCTCCCTTGTTGCGAGCACCACGAAGGTAGGGGAACGCCGAATAGGGGAACTTGGGCTGTTTGGGACGGCCTCCGAGATCTTTCCCAAGCATGTATTTGTCGTTGTTTAAGGCAAACTTGTACCGGAAGTGTAGGTTGTAGATGTCCCTGATGGTTCTGATGACCAGCCAGTTCATTCGGCTCGGACCGCTTCCGTACTCCAACTCGATTGTGAATATCCAGTGGCGCTCTTTATCATCATCGGGCATGGGTGCGCTGTCCTTGATCTTGAGCTTCAACTGCTCCAGTAGGACTGGGATCCTCTTGTTCCCGTGTTCGTCCCGCTGAATCATGCTGGCGAGCATTAGAACAGCAGGGGCACCGGCTCTCAACTCGGCCATTAGTTCTGCAGATTTGTAGTAATCAAAACGATCCTCCTTCTTTTGTCGGAGCAGCTTTAGTGTACTCTTGACCTGCTTCCATTTCTGGGCGCCATAACTAGAGGCTCGCTCAGCTCGCTCTGACGTGAAGAAATGCTTCCTGGGGGTCAGCGCATCCCCGTCAGACATTCCACCACCACCGAAGACAGTGATGCGCCGCGTATGGCCATTGCGCCGCGCGACGGCGTTAGGGTTGTCCAGGTCTTCTACATCTTCATCCGGAGGGCTCATTGCATTATTCATCCAGGAATAGCCCCGTCTAAAGGGCTTTCGTCTCTCACGAATCTCGCCATCGGACACAGCATGATCGGGCTGTGTCGTATCGGGCATGCTTGCCCGGCGCCTCAGCAGGCGATCATATGTGCTTAATGCATCCAGGTCGCTTGGAAACCGGTTAGGGTTTGGGAAATTGGACACAGAGCCCTTCTTGAAGCGCCGGCTCTTGCGCTTGTTTTTCTTGACAGCACTTGGTATGGCCGCTTCATCTGCAGTCTCGACATCGGCATCGGCGTCAGATTGCTCTTCATTGAGGGCTTCCGGGATTCGGGTCGTTACTCTAGAGGCTGTAGGAGAGTTGGGGAACGATTGCGTGCCGAATTCGGACGGAAAGGTCGGTCCACTTAGAGATTTTGGAGTCAGAGAGCCGGGATTGGCTGTAAGAGCTTTGATCTTGGACATGAGGCTTGTTCGAGATCGGGTTGGCGTATCAGGCTCTTCCAAAGGCACCGATCCCGGGGGTTGGAAATCAGGATCAGCAAACTGGATGGTGCGTCCTCCATCTGCCTGCAAAGTCTCTTGGGTACTGGAATCGAGCCCGGCCGGTATATCTCGCCGTTCCAATGGTGGTGGTGATTGGGAATTGGGAATTGGTTCTCCAGCAGCTAATGGATCAGGATGACTCAATCCGCCATTCCAATAATCGTTGACTGCTTTGGGGGAGCCTTTTTCGCCCAGCTGCTGCTCTGACGTATTGGGGGTTGCGGACAGCAGGCCATCGTTCGACTTTGGCGGCTGAAATCGGGGCTGTGATTCCGCGTTTGCTGGAGAGGGAGCGTCGGGAGTCCTCGTCATTGGCGAGACGGACTCGTCTTTACGTTCGGTAGCCATGGCGGTTTGCCAATAGCTCGAGGTTGGGAGAAGCAAATCGAGGTCGTATGTGAGTTGCTAGGTGGCAAGTTGGGGGATGGTGGATGGTGGATGGTGGATGTATTTGTGGTTTTGTAGTTTTACCACCAGAGGGTCATCATCGAACGCTGGAGCCACTGGGAAAGAGAAAGGATCAATGGGAATTCCAAAGCCAAGTTGCAGTCCCGTCACGTAACCAGACAGCCAGCGGGATGATGATTGTCGGGTGTGGTTGGAGGTTTTGCACGCGACGTTGTAGCTGCCGCAGAGGCCGAGGCGGAAAAGGGAGGGACGGTCAAGGCTCGTTGCCCCCCCAAAAAAAAAAAACAGAATGACGGCAGAGCAGACGAGTATCGCAGGGCATGTGATGAAGCCGAGATTGGATGCCGTAAACGAAGAAACAATTAGCAATCCCACGAACAGCGGCAGCCGATTCACGTGGGGAAGAGAATGGTTGAGGCAAGCTCTTGCCGTTGCGCAGTAGTGACGATAATGACCGAATGACCACCTCCTTGGATTAAGTTGGTGGCAGGGGGCCTGGGGCGTTATCGATTAAGGCACGTTAGCGGTATCTTCAGCACCACCAGGAGAGGATGCACGCGCCACATGGCAGGCTGTAGCACCTGGTCTGTAGCGACATAACCTGAAGGTCTAGGTAGGTGCATATTGATATGATTTGATCAATGCCACCCATCCGTCCAATACATTGATGTTGATGAATCGAACACCTCTTCATTTATACTACATTATCCAGAGCATCTCACACAATCCCTTATTCCGCTGCAAACTTATGTCAAGATGATTACACGCCTCCTTTTCCTTTCCCCCCCGAGATGCCTACTAGTACTAGTATTATTGAGACCCTCTCATACAGATGTGCCTCAAATACATTTTTACTTTCATCATTACATGGACGGCTTAGAATGTGGCACTCTATATTGTGGGAGCTTCCATACCTAGCAACACCCAACCAGGCACCGTCCGAAAAGTTTGATTCAATTCCCACCTCCCAGCCAACGCTCAAAACCTGTTATAAACACCTAAGCAGTTATAGCCGTGTATAACAGAAGCCTGTAACACATGCATTAGTTGAGGTATAATAAAAACCTTGAAGTAAGCAATTACGGTGACCGGTTGCGGTGGCGCAATCGTCTCTCCATTATTACCTTCAATATACCTAGAGTAAAGTAAGCTAGCTTAGCAATAAGAATAAATCGACGTGTAAGTAGGAATGAGCCTACTGAGGGATGTCGATGTCGTTGTCGATGAGGATCCAACAGCGATACGAGTTCATACATGGCATTGATTTACAGCTTTAGACAAGAGACAGCGAGATTGCATACTTCTTAATCACCACCACCTCATTGGGCCTGAATATGTGCAGTGCTCTTCTTACACGGAGGCTCACGGGTGATTGTGTTGATTAACAAGGTTTGAAGAGAAGACGCCGAGAGGGGCATATAAACTCAAGATGTCGTACTAGGTACAGAACAAGGTTTGCAAACACAGCAGTGATAGGTACACGCTGCGCCATTCGATCAACTCTAGTTCCACAAGATGGAAGATGTGGTTGGGTCATGCAACGAGCTGCAGATGCATTGCATGACCGAGGGAGATGAGCTGTTGATAGGTCCAAGAATGAGGCTGATGCTACCATGGCCCACTGGTCTACCAGTCAAGCTGGACTGGGTGTGTGTAGACTGTGGCATTCTGGGGTTAAAACAACATGTCCCTACTCAACATTGAGGACATCCTACACAATGCAAGACGCGATAGAATTCGTTGACAGCCATGAGATTTACATGATTCTTGCACGTGATCCTTCTTCTGGACCTGGTGCAAGGTTGCGAGGGGAAAGAAACATCGCTATGCGTACCGCGCTCCGGTCGAAGGCTTCATCTTTTCGCTCCCTTTGAGAATAATAAGATCATCGATTTGGTTTTGAAAGAGGAGCAAACGGATTGCTCTTGGCCGATTGGCTGCTTGAATAGACCCTTAGTCAGAGGCTCTTGTATTTTGGCAGGCGTTATAACTTGAGAGTCGGCGTCTCTACACTATGGCCGTTGTAAGACTGCGAACAAACAAACAAACAAACATGATCTTCTTTGATTGAGAAGTACGGTGTAGAGGCCATATTGTATCTGGCAAGTAAAATTGGCTGAGTTTTATGATAAACCTATTCTGACTGGCGAATGTGCATAAAGTATCTTGTTTTGGATCGTGTAAGCTCAAGCTCCCACTGATAAACAAGACATACAGATCATATCTTTCCTATCATGAATGAGAAGACGAGGCTCTTATCGAGCTCTAGGTGATAGATCGGCTGGAAGCCTCATCATGGCCGTACGAGTGCCGATCCGCATCTTTGGTGTTGCAAATAGGTACCGAGTCTGCCCAGCCAATCCCTTAAAGTCACCGAGCGTCTTGCAAAGACCTCCTGCTTACCTACGGAGCGCATTGGCGTCTGTCGACCAAGGTATGAGCACAACGAGTCATGTTGCTCTATTCGCCCCTTTGCGAAAATGAATACATAAATAGCCCTGCGTTCCCACGTCAACGTTGTTCGTATTTGAGTGCAGCTCATTACCTGATAGTGTCGTTTTGAGACAATCTCACCACAGCGCACGGCAACCCCTCCCGTCGTGATACGCGTATTAAGCCGCTGTAATCTTACGCTCTGCACCAATTGTCTGACTCTGGGTTGTTATTCCGATCAAGAGTACGACACAGGGCCAATACGAATACGGCGCATCGCGGCGGAGATCTGGCCAAGCAAAAGCGCTAGATGGACCGACTTGGAGATCCATAAATCTTGTCCGATACCTCGTCCCGGCCACTTAAACTCGAGAGCCCTAGTGAGAATCCCGCGTATTTCCACTGCGGCTAATTAAGCGGAAAGGCACCAGGTACCGCCGCGCGCTGATTTGGCTGCAGAGGTACATCTCGGCGCTGCCTACCCCTGAATCCCAGCTGCTCGACCCCCGTCGTCCAGCGAGCCAATAGCGTTACATCACGATCCCAAAAAGTTCCCATCTCTGGCTTCTTCAACGCGGTGCGCGACGGAGCGCATTTTTCTGATTTCTTGTCTCGTCTTCCCACCGCTCCTCGCATCTGTAAGCGCTGCCCGTTCTCGTGGCCTGAGGTAATCAGCGGGCGAGAGTAACTAGCGATCTGCTCCAGGTCTGCTCAAGCAATTCTTCCATCGACACCTTCACTTCGCTAGAATCTCGACAAAAGGGCAGCTCGTCACCATGGCGACCCGATATTCGCTGCGCCAGACCCCTCGGTAAGTGCAGCAAATGGCTGTTTTGCCCCTGAGATCCGAGATTGGAGCAACGTCGAGATGCCTGGTTTCTTGAGAGCCCGGATCGCCCCGAGATCGCATCTCGAAAAGATACACGCGCCGCGGCGCCCTGCGAGTAGAGATGCAAATGCTAACCCCCGCCCAGGAAGAAGGAGCTCTTCGACGGCATGGTTGAAACACCAAAGAAGCAATCTTCGCGCGCTCGCCAGTCCTCACAGGCCCCCGAAGCCGCACACCTCGAAGAAGCTGCTGAGCCCGCCGCCCCTCGCGAACGCATCACCCGCCGTCGCACCGCCAAATTCATCGAGAACTTGGATGAAGACGACATCAAGCCCATCAATGGCACTGCCAACGGTCACGCGAATGGCCATGCCAACGGCCATGCCAACGGCAACACCAATGGTCACGCTAATGGCCATGCCAACGGCCATGCCAATGGAAATAGCAACGGTTACTCCAACGGCGCACCGAACGGAAAGGATGCGATTCACACAAACTCTGAGAGTCACATGGTAGACGGCTGGAAGCCAGGCCAGGATCCCAAGGTCGACTACTCGGGCGAGTTCGAGTTCGGCGGCTCGATAGGCACCGGGTTCATGATGCTCTTCTTCCCCATCCTCATGTGGTACATGTGGGCTGGCGCCACCTTCTATGGCGGCAAGTTCCCCTCCCGCACTCCCGGCCAGAGCTGGGCTGAGTTCGGAACTCATCTGGTCGACCTCGTCTGGACCAATGCGTTCCCCCACTCCAAGGCATGGATTTGGTACTGGAGCTACCTCATCTTCGAGGGTGCGTGCTACTGTCTTCTTCCCGGTGTCTGGGGCAAGGGCAAGCCTCTTCCCCACGCCGGTGGCAAGCAACTCGATTACTTCTGCAACGCATATGCCAGCTTGTACACCACGTTCGCCGTCCTCGGTGCTCTGCACTTCTCCGGCATCTGGCCTCTCTACACGGCCCTCGACGAGTTTGGTCCTCTGTTGTCGGTGGCCATCTGCAGCGGCTTCATTGTCAGCTTCATCGCTTACTTCTCGGCTCTGTGGAGAGGCAAGCAGCACCGCATGACTGGCTACCCCGTCTACGACTTCTTCATGGGTGCTGAGCTGAACCCTCGCATGTTTGGCATCCTGGATTTCAAGATGTTCTTTGAGGTTCGCATGCCTTGGTACTTCCTCCTGATTCTCAGTCTCGGTGCGGCTGCGCGTCAGTATGAGCAGTACGGCTACGTTTCTGGAGAGGTCATGTTCCTTGTCATGGCTCACTACCTCTATGCCAATGCTTGCGCCAAGGGCGAGGAGCTCATCATCACGACTTGGTAAGAAAGATGATTTCCTTCAGCTCGCTCGGATTGATGAACTAATGGAAAGCAGGGACATGTACTACGAGAAATGGGGCTTCATGCTCATCTTCTGGAACCTTGCCGGTGTCCCTCTGTCTTACTGCCACTGCACCCTCTACCTGGCCAACCACGATCCCGCCACTTACCGCTGGAACCGCTACGCCCTAGTCGCCATGTACGGTGCCTATCTTTTCTGGTACTGGGTCTGGGACAGCTGCAACAGCCAGAAGAACCGCTTCCGTGCCATGGAGAAGGGAAACCTCATCAAGCGCAACACGTTCCCCCAGGTCCCTTGGCAAACCCTCAAGAACCCCAAGACCATCAAGACCCCTCAGGGCACCATCCTTGTCGACGGCTGGTATGGCCTTGCTCGCAAGATCCACTACACCTCTGACCTTTGGTTCTCTGTCTCCTGGGGTCTTATCACCGGCTTTGAGTAAGTGATGTTTTCCATGAGGTGTACTATTTCGCAAAGAGATTCATTTTGCTAACCTTTTTCTTTTTTCTCTACTAATAGGAGTCCCTTCCCCTGGTTCTACCCCGTCTTCTTCGGATGCATGATTGCCCACCGCGCGTGGAGAGACATCACCCGCTGCCGCGCCAAGTACGGTGAAGCGTGGCTCGAATATGAACGACAGGTTCCCTATCTCTTCATTCCTGTAAGAACCTCCCTTCCCCATATTCCTAGCTCTTTGAGACGTGTCCTAACACAATCCGCAGTACGTCATCTAAGAACAGTTCGTTTTCGTGACCGGGCTCCGTTTCTCCCGTACATATTGAAAGAGTTATCTCTCTTCACAAAGAGAAGAGTTTCTGAATTTCTTTTTCTTTTTTTCGGCAAGGAGCATGTGATAGATATTAATACAAAGGGCGACGCAATTGGGCCATGCTTCTTATTCCCCGTTCAGACGGGGAGGGGGGGAAAACTGGAAAGGAGAAAAAATTTGACGGAAAATGTTTTTTAATAAATGATGTAAGATGATCAGATTGGGATTAGGGATTACCTGGTTATCTACAAGCCTGAATGTTTGTATCATGTAGTTTTAGGATGGATGGATGCAAAGATATTACTAGCAGCATTAATTAATAGCATAATGTATGGAAATGACGGGCAGAGTCTTGCAGTGATTGCGAATCTTGCGAATCCCGTGCCAACATGTAAATATAACGACAGCAGCTTGATCTATTTTGCAGCCTTAGAAGGTGAGTCCCAGTTTATGTGACGTGTAGGCACTTTTTGTCTTAAAGATACCTGTTCATACCTGGTGATCTATCTCAACTCATGGTAATGCTGTGAAACAGACAGTGATTAAACGCCTCGTGAGATGGAGAAACGGGAACTCAAGCTCCTGAAAGAGCATCTGTTGAGAAAACAAACAATGACAGATAAAATTGAGCATCTGCTTACACTAGACCCTTCACCTTCACCGTCTATGAAGAGAAATTCACATCAAGAGCAAACACATCCTGTCACTAGTGTACATATATAAACTTCCTCCTACCAATCCATTACGCGACCTGCATTGCGTGCGAGGCCATGCTTCTCCGATCCCAACACGTTGCTCCATCCAGCACCATCATTTGACCCTGAGCCATCATATCGCAGCACTGACCAGAAACCATATTTCATACCAGATTTGACGACTCCCACAAAAGCAAATTTGTCAAGTTTTTCGGGGTAGCCTTGCTTGTTTCGTTCTTCTATGCGCAGGAAACATCCTGGCTAGCCTTGGAGTTCATCAACAATGCAACAATGAGACCGTACAGACCTAGATATTGGGTTAGAATTCGTGCTGCTCAGTTTCATGTTTGGATCAGAAATGTGCATACCCAAGACTTCGGCAAAAATGAGAATGAGAATCATTCCGACGAAGAGACGGGGCTGTTGGGCAGTTCCTCGGACACCAGCATCACCGACAATACCGATGGCAAAACCAGCAGCGAGACCAGCGAGACCGACCGAGAGACCGGCACCGAACTGAATGAAACCAGTGTACAGAGGGAGATCCTGCTTGAGGCCATCGGAGATCAGGACGGAAACGACGAGGCCGTAGATACCAATGATACCAGCCATAATAACGGGGACAATGTCTAGCTAGGAGATTAGCAAGGAGTAGCGCGCATCGAGGATGAAAAGGGCTACTGACTCTTGACGATGAGGTCAGGGCGGAGGACACCCATGGCGGCAATACCAACACCAGACTTGGCAGTTCCGTATGAGGCACCCAAGCAGGTGAAGACGATGGCGCAGGTGCAGCCCATGGCACCGAAAAAGGGCTGTATGATTTGTTAGCGACTTGGCCCAGCATTTCGAAGATGTGACGGCGATTGTTTCGTTGTCACTGAGGATATTATTTCCGGTGACGTCGCCAGGCAGAGAGGGAACCGTGAGTGTTTACTGACCGCGTAGACGGGGCTATACAATCGTCAAGTCAGCTCTAGGTTCTGAAGACGGCACAAAGACGCGGGAGAGGAAGCAGATGCAGGAGGTTGCGATGATGCCGAAAGCTCCCAAGGATGCAATCCGAAGCTCCACGACGACGCTAGGGGGGGGTTCTCAACGCGCTGACGCAACATACCAAAGTTCGGTGGCCATTGTGACGACGATGGGTTACCGAAGCGATAAAGAGGATAGAGAGGCGAAGGGAGGATTGGCTGCTAGTGGTGGTGCGAAGCTTCCGAAGTCTGGCAGATGCGCGAGGGACGTTGTCGATGACTTGGCCTGCTGGGGCTTTAATATTTAGGTGGATGTTGAGATGGTTGAGGGTGCCAGTTCCGACGCCGACGCCTGGTTGGTAAGGTTTTGCTGCAGGCCGCTGCTGGCATTACATAATTCGGAGGCGGATAATTACCTCACCCGTTGGGCCTTTGTTTTGGTTGCTTGTCCTAATGGGGCAATTGATTGCAGGTCAATTGGGAGAGCTGAAAGGGCAATGAAGTCGTAGTTTGCAAAACAATCAAATACTGATACTAATGTTTACGATTGAGCATTCGTTATTTATTAATCAAGATGTTTTCTTTACATACTATTTTTCTCCTGTGAGTTTAAGCGCCGTCGTCGGTGATACACATCAAACAGTCGTTGAGCCCGGAACTATGAAGCGGGTGCCGAGCTTCAATACTAAACTGCTCTGTGCTCCGAACCGACTCGCCCCTTTGATGCCGCAACATTCGATTAAACAGCGGCTATCTCTCCCTCTCCCTCGCCTTCACAAGACGCAAGCCATCTCCAGCTCCGGAGCACCTGGTCGACAACGCTGCCAAATCTGTAAACGGTAATATTGAGCGATTAGAATGCCCAGTTCGGAGTGCAGATTACGACTCCGCTCCGTGCACGATAAATTCCCCTTGGCACGAGAGGATTAGGTTATTATAAGGCAGATTAGGTATCTAGATTATAGATAGATTGCGACGTCCCCAGCCGGATTCTCAGTGCAACTCCAAGCTTCGCCTTGTACACCCATACTCACTCCAGCGCGTGCTTGTTGCAAAAGACACGGGTAGGACAAAGATCCGTCAACCAACCGCTTCCTTTTCCCCTTTCAATTACGCGGTCAATGCATATTACGGAACGCTAAGTGACCACTCCTCCAGCGGCCCCATGAGCGTCACGGACACGTGCTGCCCAATGAAAGCCAACTCTTTCCATCTTTGTTCATCTCACAACTCTCTCATGCTCGCAAAAGGCCGCCATGTCGGCGCTCGCATTGAATTGACAACCTTGAAGCCTACAGTTTAGCATCACTGTACCTAAACATTTAGTCATTGGTTATGTCCTGTTATAGGCCCCAGAGCTTCAGCCACAACAGCGCCTCCCTGCGTCAACGAAACGCTTGAAACAAAGGCAAACTGACATTTGATGGAGCCCCTTGCACTGCCAACTGCCGTCTACGGCAGCTGGATCGACACTCGCCTCTACTTTTTTCTTCTCCTCTGCGTCCCAGTTTTTGTCCAACCGTGCTGTGCCTTTGTTTACGCGCGTTGATCCAGGGGCTTGATGGAGCTGCTTCCCACGTCATGCCTCGGAAACCCGTACAGTGTACCAGCAAACATCAACGTTGCATTCAGGACGTTTCCACTGCCGTAGCCTCTCCTTGCTCCCTTTTCATCCAGTATATAAAACCGTACTCTTCTCTCTTCTCCTTCGCATCTGTTTGATTCCTCCCGCACGTAATACAATCTGCGAGTCACTAGACGTACCGAATCCACACATTTCGTCACGATGCATCTCCAAGCCCTCTCTTTCCTGGCTGCTCTGCCATCCGCCATGGCCACAATGTCCGCTCTCTCGTACTCTCCTCCACCAGAACTCCTGGCCCAGTCTCGGACTCAAAGCAGCTGCAACCTCCCCCCGGGTTTTCAGATCAAGGACTTCACGGCCAAATCGAACGAAACCGGCCCGGCTGCCTCGTTGACGGCATACAACTTCACCTTTGTGGACCAGACGACTAGCGTTACCACCAACTGCCGGTTTAACTCGAGCTCTGTTTCCACGACGCCTCCAGGTTTGACACCTAGGTTCGCGTGCGATAAGAGCGGCATCAGCGGTGTCAAGTTCATCTGGGACAACACGAAAAGGCAGTTGACCATGGTGGAGAGGATCTGCCCCAATACCAAGGGGTATGTTGCATATTAGACTCGCCGTGTTGTTATATGCCTGTTAAAGCGTACTGACATTTCGATTATTACAGTGCTGCCACGTGGGAGGTGGCCGGCTCAACGACTATTCCCTTGTCTTGCTCTTCGCCATCGGGAACTTGCACAACGAACTCGACTAGTATCGACGTGAAGTTCACCGCATTGGACCCTATAACAGATCCCACTTTGGCCAAGTACTGGGTGAGCTAGAGGTCGAGATTGGACATTAATAGATCGGTGTCATTGTTTAATAGATACATGGTATCCACGGATTGGAAGGGTACAGGGCATAGACGGATGCATCAGGACGTTGATTTCTATTGGCGTTGAACTGTTGACGGTACAGGAGAAGAATTGGACTTACTAATTTGTCCATTCATGAGACGTCATTTGCGTACCAATGGATTCATATCATAATACGAGGACTATCTGGTGAATGTTGACTCTAATGTTTATGAAAACTTTCGAGCAGAACGGGAGCTGCTCACCCGAGTCAGTCCATGTAATGCCGAGGCTAGTCTGCGCGCGGACATTTAATAGTTTCCTCTAGTGGCAGCAGTGGACAACCGAAAAAATGCAAATTACTATCAAATAGTGCCTTGATAGCTCTTCTCGATGCTACTCGTACCTGCATAATCATCTAAATCTATAATCGAAGTACTCGTACATCGATGATTAATATATATGCCCTTCGGCATGTTGCTCCAACAGCAGCTTCAATACGAGGCTTCATTCCCGTCCACCGCCAGAGAGCGGCCGCCATTCCGGTTTAGCACCCGACATTCTCCAGCGCTCTCCCAGCTAACCGTACAGGGCTCAGCGACCCCAGGTTTTGCCCCATTTCTGCAGAGTGCCGCCTGCAAACTTCCCTAGCCTAGCCCAACTGCCCTGGCACCGGCGCCCCGCCGAATTGTGCATGTCCACCTCGTGATCTCGCCCAGCTTGCCACCGGGTTCATGAGACCAAGTCGGGCCAATTCACTTTCTTGCAAAGGAGCAGCAGCGGATCTTGAGATTTCAGAAAACAAAGCAGTTCTTCTGGGTGCGCGCTTCGCCTCTCCGCCAGCGGTTACACCAAAACTGCTTTGTCTCGCCACTCTGCGTCTCGCTCTCCCTTGCGTCTCTTACGTCAGGGCCGGATCCGAAAAAAGCATCGCGATTGGTAGCTGGTTTTTGTTGAGCTGAGACGAGACGGCGCTCTCCTTGCTAGCATCTTGGGCATTTATTCCAGCCTAGCCCCCGTGCCGTCTTCCTTCTCCATGATCTGATCACCGCCAGCGAACGAATCTGAAAAACATGGGGTGGACATTCCCGAGCCGCCTCGGGCTGTTGCTGCTTGTACGGCTCGCCGCCGTTGTCTTGGTCGAGGCCGCTTACATCAATCAACAAGAACCATTGGGCGTCAAAGAGCCGGCGGCTGTTTCGAGCATCTCCGTGTCCCTGTTCGCGTCTCTCGAACGACTGGCGAGGCTCGTTGACGTCTCATATTGCCTCGGCACCACGGGCATTCACAAGCCGTTCCAGTGCGTCTCTCGATGCGATGAGTTCCCCAGCGTGACGCTGGCCTCTACGTGGAGCACAGGCTTTCTCTTCGGCGACAGCTGTGGGTTCATCGCAGTTGATCACGGCTCGGACCAGCAGCGTCGAAACGATGAATCTGTGGGAGATGATGAGCAAGGCGCCATCGTGGTCGCGTTTCGTGGGACCTACAGCATCACCAACACCATCATTGACCTCAGCACCATGCCGCAAAAATACGTGCCATATCCGTCGCCAGACCACGGAGGAGAACCACCAGAAAAGCCTAGCCATGAATGCACGAATTGCACCGTACACAGTGGGTTTCTTGACTCTTGGAAGAGCGCTCGAGAATCGGTTCTGCCAGAGCTCAAGGCACTCCGGGCCAAATATCCGTCTCACCCCGTTCATCTCATAGGCCACAGCCTCGGAGGCGCCGTGGCTTGCCTTGCGGCACTCGAACTAAAAGTGTCGCTTGGCTGGGATGGCGTGACGGTTACCACTTTTGGAGAGCCTCGCGTTGGCAACTCTCAGTTCGCTCACTTCGTTGACGACGTGTTTGACCTCGACGGCATCATCGATCTTGAAAAGAGGACCTATCGACGAGTTACCCACGCCGACGACCCAGTGCCCTTGCTTCCGCCAGGCGAGTTTGGTTACCAGTCGCACAGCGGCGAGATATTCATTTCCAAGTCTGCCCTCTCACCATCTGAGACAGATGTCCAGCTATGCATCGGCGACGCAGATCCTAACTGCAGTGCCAGGGACGACAGCTCGGTGGAAAATCTGCTCAATCGCCTTCTCCATTTCCGGTTGACAACTTCCTCCTTGGAAGAGTATATGGAGAGGATGAGCCTCCCGGCGCGGTTCAGACTCTGGCAGCTGTTTTTTGCTCATCGAGATTACTTCTGGAGGCTCGGGCTATGTGTGCCCGGCGGCGACCCTACAAACTGGGGTCGGCCTCCGTATGCGCCTCACGACGAAGAGCTGCAAAGTCGCGCAACGATTGATGAGCGTTTTAACGAATAGCAAACTGATATATATGAGGGGCGGGTTGTAATAAGATGGGGGTTGGATATCAATGTCCATTGTGGGAAGCAGACAGAGGTACATAATATGGGACTTGGGGAGCGAGCATAAACATGATGAAACGATACCTACCTAGTTAAGAATTCCTCTTAACATGTTGAATACCATTATTGCATTATCGATTCTGTTGAGACATGAATTCTACCAGACAGGTTTAATGGCACTGTGAATAAATAGTACGCCAAGGATGTCGAGATCGAGGAATCTCCTCAGACTAATGCTTGTTTTGCTTCTCTCTTCTCTCTTCTCTCTCTCAAGCAACGGCGGTATCGGCACTTACAGACGCCGCCTTGCCGGGCGTGCAGGCTTCCACGTTGCTCGCCATTATGTATTATGTGGAGGGAGGGCGGGCAGAGAAGTGCTGCTTTTGCCATGTGACACGGCCTAGGTATCAAAGACGCCACGACGATGGGTAGCGCTGTGCCTCGACATCCTTTGTGCGCTTCGAGGCGTGTACAAGCAGGTTGTCCAAGGACTTTGTAGCATTTATAAATACGGGTTATTAGTTCATACATTAGTAGTGGCATCCGCAATTTATCGACGCCTGGAACCGGGACCACAGGTTCCTCGCTGCAACCAAGGATAGCTTGCTGGGCAACTCTAATCGGATCGCGGCGCCAAGGACGGAGTCGCAAAGGGCAAGCTCTGGGCGAATCCGAAAAATGGTGGGGGTTGCAGTAAGGTGTTGTGCCAGGAGGGGCCATTTGTGGCACCTGTTGACTGGTGATTTGCTGCGAACTTTGGACGTGAGAATGGCCGTGATGCCATTGGCCTGCAGAGAATACATCGCAGCCTGTACTTTGTGCGACAAACCTGTGCCACGCGATGGCGATAAGAGAAAGGAGGGGGAAAAGGGGGGGGGGGGGGGGGAGTGAGTGAGTCACGGACGGGAGAGCTGACCACAGCCACAGCACGCGTTATTTGCCAGTCTCTGTCGCCCATGTCCATGGCAAAATAGCAGCATGAACGAGAGAGAGCAGAGCGTCAGGGGGGGTTGGCTGTGGCATCATGTGGACAGCAGAACACACTCGGAGTGTCATCCCTGAAGGGCCTGCACAGAAGTTTGCAGAAGGATGCTGGAGATCGAGTTTGCCGGTCCAAGGCAAGGCAAGGCACGGGGAGGACGGAGACAAGCGAGATACGGAGTAGGAGGTAGGCCATGCATGCATTCCCGTGCTTTGGGACGGATCGGCTGGTGTAGAAAGGGGCCACTAGTAGTAGTCGACTAGGTTGCCAGTGCTGTACGATGGAGGGCTTGGAGCCGCATCGTCCCTGCGAGTACAGTATGTGTATCATGGACGAGGAGGTCTTGACATGATACCTTGGATTAGGTACTATAGTATTCTAGTAGTATTCGTAGGAAGATGTACCAGATATGTGGACATGTAGGTGAGATACAGGCATATACTTGGGTAAAGCAGTAGTAGCACCCAAACAACGCAGCACATCACATCACCGCGGGACGGCTTCATGTCTTGATATCAGACCCGTGGCGTATCGTACCGCGTCAAGGTGGAGGCAGAAAGCGCAAGATGCATCGGAGACAAGCGTTGGACCGACGTGGCCAGCGGGGAATGATTGGGATTGGGAGCAGAGAAGGGAGCACATGCCTCGGCCAGGGGTGAGCATTGCATTCTTGCAGTCTTCATCACTTGCGTTTGTGTGGACGGGGAACAAGAGCAAAAAGCCTCCGTGCGCTTTCCGGAGACAAGCCGCACTAACACGTAGTCGCCGGGTGCTTAGACAGCTGTTAGCAACGGGATCTGCTGGGACGGACCACCTTTACCTGCTAGCCCCCAAGCGGGCGGGTTTTCGTGGGTTTCGACTCCATTCCTGGAGGGAGAAGAGGAAAAGCAGCACAGTTCATACGGCGTACTCCGCGCCGTGGTCGGGCAGCGCAAAGTTTCCTCGTCTCTCTCGAGGGCCCGGCGTTCTGTTATCGGGGGTGGAGGGAGTGTGGATCGCCAGGCCAGATGGAGATGGAACGATGACTGACCGACAAGTCAGTCAACCTACGCTGCCCGAGTTCTAATAAGCCCAATTTGCAGCCCCCTGGCCACGTTTATGACGCCTTTCCGGCAGGCCAGGAGATGGGCGCTGGTTGGACAGCAACTGCAGTAGCAACAGCAATGAGGGCAGCCGCTCGTGAAAGGCGAAAGACGCACAGGCAGCCTTGAAAGCAAAGATACTGAGAGCTTAGCGCCGAGAGGCAGCAAATAAGCTGGACGGGCCCAATGAGGTGATGTGAGAGTTGCGCTTTGATGAGTGTCTCATGGCAAAGCGGGACTCTGATCACTCGGTAACCCTTTTTTTTTCCCGCCCAAAGAACCAGACAGAAGCCCCGCCCTCTTGGCGGCAGGGAAAAGAACAAATAGGGCTGTACATGGCCCGGAGAGTACTCGTACCTGCGAAGTACGGAGTACCACGGCCAGGCTCGATGAAATTAAATCCGCTCGTGCTGTTAATACCATTTGGTAGATATAGAGCCGGCCTACTTAGCATTTCAACCACCGCGTTGGTGCCGATTTGTTAGTCCTACCTTGCCTTCTTGATAAGGTAGGCAGTGACATGAGCGTGAGAGACACCAAGAGCCCTCCTCCGGGCGATGGGAAACCAAAGCTCGGGTGAAGGAGAGGAGAAAAGAATTGAACCTAAGAAAAGAAACAGCTGAGCCCCTTGCCTTGCGTGTTACGGGTTTGTTGTACCGGAGACATTCAGCATTGATGGCAATGCTCCTCAAAGGTACCTGGCAGCTGCGTACAAGGTACCAGAAGCTAAAGACAAGTACGGGTAGGTAATTAAGAGAGCCTCTCAGCATCAATGCGCCAATTTCCAAGTGCAAATTCCTTGCGTGTTTTTGTGTGTGTAACCGTTACAGTAGTGCAGCAAGAAAAGAGGATAGGGTGAGGGATAGGGCCAAGCTGAAGCGGCAGAAGCTGGATGTGCGTCCGTCATCGAAGGAGCTCAAGTGCTGTGCTGTGCTTTGCCTCCCGATCTGCTCTGGCTCTGGCTCTGCTCTTGGTACCTCTGGTAGCTCCGGGTACAGGTTTGTACAGCATGTGCACAAAGCAGCCAATCTCGAGTACGGACTCTATACCTGGTCACCAGGCAGCCAGCCGTCGTACGCCCAGGTACCGCGCCAGTACCATCTGCCGAATCACAAGTCAAACGCTGCTAGAGATTGCCTTGGTGCGCTGTGTCGGGCCAGCAGCGCCTAGGGGCGGGGTGCGCCAGGCGGCTGGCTAGAGCCTAGCAGGCCCAAAGGCGAGCCAACTCCACTGCAAAGCTGGCGCTCTCATCACCTGGCAGTGGGCACTGGCCCAGCGCAGCGCAGCGCTCCAGGCTCCGCCCCGAGAACCCCCAAACCCCAAAACCAATTCAAATCTCAATCCACAATCAAAATATAAACACTCTTCTCGCCCCATCCTCAACCGCATCCCACCTCAGACACCCGCATCATCCTTTTTTCTGCCACCAACGACTCCGCAACCGCACGCCTCTTTCTCCCCTTCCAAGCATCACAGACTCTCAGTCACCATGGCCACCGAGGTACGTCAACTCGTGCGTAGCTGCTGTCGCTGCTCCGACCGCCGCTTTCCGCCTTCTCCTCTCCCCCCTCGTTCACGCAACCCCTCAGCCCGCCTCTTTTGCTGGGAGCTGCGCGGCTTCGGCCACGCGCGGACGAGCCCAGAAACCACATGCAAATTCCATCCTCGCCCGGCCGAGCCTATCATTTCTTCTCTGCTCCCTTTCTGACTTTGAACGCAATGCTAACTTGATACCAGCGTGAAAGGTTTGTCCAACAGCTGGCCCCGTGACCCCACTAACCTCTCATGACGAGAATCCAAACACCTCCCCCTCCCCCCCTTTTTTTGCCTGCTCGAACGCAACGGGCTGACCGAGCTTTCCAACAAACAGCAAGACCTTCCTGGCCCGCCTCTGCGAGCAGGCCGAGCGTTACGATGAGATGGTTACCTACATGAAGGAGGTCGCTCAGCTGGGCGGTGAGCTCAGCGTCGACGAGCGCAACCTCCTCAGCGTCGCCTACAAGAACGTTGTCGGCACCCGCCGTGCCTCGTGGCGCATCATCTCCTCCATCGAGCAGAAGGAGGAATCCAAGGGCTCTGACAAGCACGTCTCCACCATCAAGGAGTACCGCAGCAAGATCGAGCTCGAGCTCGAGAAGGTTTGCGAGGATGTTCTCGATGTCCTGGACAAGAGCCTCATCCCCAACGCCGCCACCGGCGAGTCCAAGGTCTTCTACCACAAGATGTATGTTGATTTTTTTTTTCCCACCCATTTCCCTCGTTTGCACTCCGATGCTTGGGTTTCAATTTTTTTTTTCGCCCAATCACGTTTCAGCTCGCATATTTCGAAATTTTCAGAAGCTAATGCAAATCGCTCTGACAGGAAGGGTGACTACCACCGCTACCTTGCCGAGTTTGCCTCTGGCGAGAAGCGCAAGGTCGCTGCCACCGCCGCCCACGAGGCCTACAAGGTATGCTAACACATGCGTTTGCCTGCCTGCCTGCCTGCACCATGGGGTGGAGAGCCGCAGGTAGATTAGAAAGTGGTGATACTGACGATGCCCCGCAGAACGCTACCGACGTTGCCCAGACCGAGCTGACTCCCACTCACCCCATCCGTCTCGGTCTCGCCCTGAACTTCTCCGTGTTCTACTACGAGATCCTCAACTCCCCCGACCGTGCTTGCCATCTCGCCAAGCAGGCTTTCGATGATGCCATTGCCGAGCTCGACTCTCTCTCCGAGGAGTCTTACCGCGATAGCACTCTCATCATGCAGCTCCTGCGTGACAACCTGACCCTGTGGACTTCATCCGACAGCGGTGAGGCCGAGCAGGCCGGCGAGGCCAAGAAGGACGAGGGTGAAGCTTCCAAGCCTGCCGAGGAAGAACCCAAGGCTGAGGAGCCCGCTCCCGAGGCTACTTCCTAAATCCTTCTTACCTCAATTGCGCTCAAATCTCGGCACAAGAACCGAGGGAGTTGTTTCTCGTTTTTTTTTTTATATCTGAATGCTCTCGCCCTCCTCTACACATGGCGATAGATGGAATCATGTTGGAGGCTGGCCTAGCCGACGCAGCACCGGTACGCAGTGCGTTGCTTCTCTGGTTAATGGGGAGAGTGGTCATGGAACTTGGGATTTTCGGTTTAGGGACAGGAGAGGCGAGTGGCGCAGGGTGCTTGTCCGTCATCGCCTGTTGACGGATCCTTTGTTTGGTGTTCGCTGCTAAATGACGGGCGCTTCTGTTGCCTCTTTTTTTCCCCTCCACCCCCCGTCTACCCAATTTGCCCGGTATCTGTTCCCCTGTTGTGTTTTTTGACATTACCACCTACCTAGTTTACATCTGGTCCCGTTTTTGGCGGATCGCTATGGAAATGTTGTCTCCCCATGATTGTCGTTGTTTCCTGCACTTTGCTTGTTTTCGTCTTTTCCCCTCGACCCCTCTTCACAGTGGTTTTGTCTCGTATGTTGGACTCGTGTGCGTGCCCCGCAGAGAGAGGAAAAAAAGGAAAAACTGTGTATTTGCCCCCCCGCCTTCAAGATTTCTACAGCAGCAACCCCTTGAAAAAATGGCAAAAAGAAATTCCAATCCAAATTCCAAGTTGGGCCTTGCTTTTTGTAGATGCATAGTTGTGATGTCTCTCTCCCTCGTCCCAACGAATCTTGATGCTTGCTGCCTACATGCCTTGATGTCTAGATGACTTTGTAGTTGAGCTGTTGTTACTTGAAGATCTAGTAATCTCGCAACAGCTCTGCCAGCTTAGTTTGCTCTGAACCTCGGCATAGCCTGATTGGAGCTCTCAACCTCTCAACCTCTTTTCTTCCATTACACTAAACCCGGGTTGTTGTCTTGCATCCCCCTCAACTTCACAATTCGTCGCCACAGTTCCAGTTCCCCTCCTCCCAGTGTTATCATCCCACCAGCAGCCTTTGGCACGACTCAAAAGCTACTTCATCACCGTAGCAGAACACGCCGTATGCATCCAGTAACCCATACAGTATGAAAAGAAGAGTCCGACCCCTCTTTCTTCAAGGGAAGCAGAGGCGCAAAAGCTTAACGGGGGCTAGAACAGGAATTTTTTTTTTCTCCTCCCACATCACCCCCCACCACCCCTTCCTTTTGAGGGTTTACGTCAGGGCGGGAAAAACAAAAAGAAGCTGGTTTGGAAGGGTTTGTTGGGGGCGTCCGCGGGAGCAAAGTTCTTGGTTGGTCTTGCGCCGGAAAGGACGCCATTGCAGGAGAAAACCTTGCATGTGAGAAAGACTTAGTTACAAAAAGAAAAAGTGAGACTAGATCAAAACCGACAACTCACATCACGGGGGAGAAAGAATGAAGAGTCAAATATATAAGGTTGATTTTTTAATGTCTTATTTTATGCATACCAAAGTATTGTGGGAATCTTATAAGAAACAAAAACAGACAAAAAAGCCTTCTAGTATGAAAAGCCAAAATCCGACAAAGATGCACCCCTCCACCCATCCACTCCAGAAAAAAGCACAAAAAAAATGCGCACAAGTAGATAGACAAAGGAAAAAGAGAGTGATTAGATGTCGACCAGTATGAGGTTGGTTTGTGGTATTATAAATAGATCGCTTTCCCCTGTAATTACCTATTAAAAAAACATGCCTGCGTTATATTATGTGTATGCCCCCATCTCGATCTTCGGATGGTGTAAAAAACGGAGGTGATGAGAGTCGTCTCGGAGTCGTTTTCATCGTCAATGTGAGGCAGCAGTCCTCTCTTATGGTTTGAGGACTTTGAGCTGAAAAAGTCGAAGAACCCATTTTTTTGGTGTTTTTCGGTTGTTGTTTTTTTTTTCCTTTGCAGAGTCATCCCCCCATTGTCTAATGGTGTTGGCTCAATAGCCTGGATGCCCTGAGCAGCCTCTTCTGCTTATCCCAGAGACCTCGTCCGCGCCCGTTGCTGCTCTCCACCTCGTCCTCGCCAGTGTACGGCTTGGGGGGGAAACCCGGCCGTAGGGTCTGATACATGGCGGTTCGCGTACACTCGCCCTTCCGCGGGGGCATCATAAAGTCCGGCAGGTCAGCAGTGGGTGCTGTGACGCTGGCGCGGCGTTTCCCCGTAAACTGCGTCTTGACCTTGTACCACAGCCGTGAGCTGCGCGACATGGTGGCGAGCTCGGAGGGCGAGAGGGATGTAGAGGACGCGGTGGTTGTGGTGACGAGTGACGGGGCGGAATAGTTGCTGGCGGCGGTATATGAGGCGGATGCCGACACGACCTCGTCGCGCCAGATCATGATGCGATTCTGTTTGGAGGCGGAGATGAGGGGGAAGGAGGGAGATTCAGGTAGGCCGTCCATTGTCGCGACGGCTTCGACCAATCCCAGGTTGAAAGCCGCCATTGCGATCGGTTGACGTCGAGGTAGTTTTTGTCGCTGTTGGTAGCGTTGTCGATGTTGTTGTTTCTGCGGTATTACTTGGTAATGGGTGTTGATGCGGTTATAGTCGAGGTGAGGAATTTAGAGAATCGCCGATGCAATTGAGAGTTCGACAAGAGCGCGTGTTGGGGTGAATTGGCTCCTATACTAGCAGTGTCCGTCCTTTGTCGCAAGCAGTCGAACTTTTGTCGCGGCCGGACAAGAAACAGATCTACTCTGTTCGCAGTCGACGATTCACAAGCCCAAAGATCTTCCCTTGCCCAGATTCAACACCAGCGGCGCGTAATAAAAAAGAATCAACGTCGTTATCGCTTCCCCTTAAGGCAGCTGTTCATGCCAACCCTTGCAGTTCTGGGGGGATCAAAACGACTTCCCCCACCAGTAATCTCTCGATGGCCGTGGTGACGTCGACAGGGTACCGGGAATTGATTAAAATAAAAAAAGACCAGACCTGAGGCGAGCGAGGGAGGGAGGGGTGGAAAAGAAATAAAGATGAGATTATAGATGGCAGCGGCAGGGAAGTCGAGGCGGACGGTGGCTTCGGAACGCTCCGAGTCCAAAATCCAAACAAAATGCGCCTTTTTGCCGATTCTCGTCTTTGTCCTTGTCTCTGGCAACGAGGATTGCCAAAACAAACAGAGCTGCAGCGGGAGGGGATTCCGCCTGTCCGTAATGGATATTTTATGAAGCTCGCTTCTGCGGGTGGAGGCCGAAAAGAGCAAATCCCGTAATGCAAAGCAAATCTCGTAGCGCCACTTGGGACAGGTTCGGCGGCCTGTTAGTGGGTGAAGCGGCCGATGAAGCTCCACCGGGGAGCTGGAGCAAGAAATAGAGTAAGACGCAGGCGAGCGGGCTTCCTTTCGCCAGTTGCGGTGGCACAAGGCCGTCAGCGAGGAGGATCAGAGGAAGAGGAAGAGGAAGAGGAAGAAAAAAGAAAAGGTAAAGGAGGATGAAATGAAGATGAGGAAGAAGACAAGGCTGTGTGCGTGCGTGAGATGGGAGCGGCTGGCTTGCAGGATAGAAATACGAGCCGGGGGGACGAAGCAAGGCAAATGGAAGATGAAGAATCGTCGAAAGTGGTTGAACCGGCACCAACACTAATATGAGGGAGGGAGGGAACAGAGACAGAGACAGGGAACAGGCCCGGAAAGTGGAGCGGCGCAGGGGCGGTTTCAGTGGTCCGAGTCGCTAGTTGGACGCTGGGCTTCCGGGGGAGATTCAGGGTGGGCTTTGGCTGCATTCAAGGCATGTGAGCCAGTCATTGATTGACCTGGAGGCTGGAGGGCACATTGGGCTGGATCCATGGGGCCGCCTGTACGAGCACTCGCACTGCACTGTACCGTAACTAAGCACTCGCTATAGCATCTGTATTTACCTGTACAGGCGCACACGGCAACAGGTCCATTGCAGGTAGGTACCCGGGCCGTGTCTGTGGGGAGCCGGCACAAGCCAAGGGATCAATCGAAAGGAGTCCATCCATTTGATTTCCATGTCTCGGCCGTTTAAATTGAGGCCTGGTGATGATCTGTACCAGTCCCGCAGCGTGCCTCGATGTAGATACAGAGAGTAACTCGTACAGTAAGTCGCTCACTGTCATGTCCACTGCTTCCTCTTCTTCTTCTTTTCCTTCTGCTGCAAGTGCCGGAGGTGGGCTGCCCGTCGCTGACTCTCTCACCACCACGCTTCTCGCTCTCTCGCTCTCGGCCTCTGTGCCGTGCCGCCGCATCGGACAATCCATGGGATCGCCGACAGTATCAAAAGCCTCTCGATCCAGCCGAATTCCCTGATTGCGTTGCCCATCCGATCCGGCTGCAAAGTTCAAGTTTGCACCTCCACGGAGTACTCCGGCTCGGGGCCTTGCTAGCAATCTTAGTGGAATGGGTATCGCCACCAGCTGCTGCTCTTCTTGAACTCTCTGACGCAGAAATCAGATTCTACTATCACCGAGCCAAACCCATTAGCCGCCCCCCCCTCCCAAGTAATACATAGTCGCGTGCTAAGTCCGGGCTTGACGACATCGCGGCTTTCATTGCTTTTTATTTCGCGCCAAGTCGCTTAGCCGGTTGATGAGCAACGGGGAACAGGGAACATCGAATCCCTTCCCCTTCGCGCCGGGTTGTTTTTTTGTTTGTTTTAATCTGCCGCGTGAAAGCCCTACTGTACAAGTTCCTGCTACTATATCTCTTCGTCCCCAGCCTGTCGTCTAATTAACGAGATGAACAATCCTTGGCCCGTGTTTCTACAAATAGATAGACGGGCGGTGGCCAAGAAGCAGGGCTGAACGATGGACAAATATCGGCATCATCCCGAAATAACCAAAATACTTCTCTCTGCGAATGGATTGAGGCACAGCAAAAATGTCTCACAAAATTCCACCCTCCCATTTTTCCCCAACACCGTCCAACTGGCGGTCACGAGCCAAACCCGATTCACCACATGGGCACACACACTTCATCCCTCTCCCCCTCTCCCGTGATGCAAACAAGTACAAGGCATAAAAAGTGGTGTAACTGGTAGCGAGGGCTGGCAAA